GCATCAATGCGGCCGTTGAAAAAGGAAACTTCCCCGGCAGTTGTTTCGGCTGTGGGAAGCAAGGGTACCGATGCTTCGAGTGCCCCAACTGTAAGGACAAACCTTACACAAAACGCGCCGACGCGCGGGCTACGGTTGCCTCAGGCTCCACCCAGGCTGCGACAAGCGCCCCCATCAGGACAACACCCTCGGCAAGTATAAGTGCCGCTTCAGCGAAATCCGAGCAATCGGAGCTGGCGGACTTAATGGCACAGGTGAAGTCGATGCGCGAGGAGCTCGAGCATTATTGGGCGATGAAGGAAGAGGGTTTTTGATCCGGTCCGCGCTTCGTGCCGCACGCGTCGGGCCGCATGTAACAAGTATGGTGTATTGTCGACTGCAATGGTGTATGAGTTGGACCAGGGGTCCCAGCACTTTCACATCCCAGTTCGACTTCAAGGAAAAAGACGGCACAAGGACATAATCGCTATGGTGGACAGTGGAGCCACCACGAAGTTTATCAACAAGCAATTCGTTGAAGAGAATAAGGTGCAAACGCGGAAATTGAAAGAACCAATTCCGCTGTACAATATCGACGGCACCCTAAATAAAGACGGAAGCATCTCGGAAGTAGCAGTGCTACAGATGCAAATAGGAGAACACGTCGAGAAGACGGTGTTCACGGTCACGGACATCGGTCCGGAGGATGTAATCGTTGGGTTAGACTGGCTACGTGAGCACAACCCCGAGATCGACTGGGAGTCAGGCTCTCTCAAATTATCGTGCTGTCCTGAAACGTGCAGTGCCAGGAAAACTGGCCGAATGGAGCAAGCAGCGACTGCGCGTGACACGGGGGTCAGGCCCATGGCGTGCAGGTGTTCGCCGAAGTCCAAACGGTCAGTCATAGGTGCCTGCCGGAGTAAGGTACTCCCGGACTTCGAACCCAAAGAAGATCCGGCGGAAATAGAATGGGATGAGGCTGACTTGATCGAAGCCTGGGAGCAAGGTGTCACGCTTCCCGGTGCCCCTCAGCTGTTCATCGTAGCCGGGCATATGTACTCCCAGCTGTTCGCTGAGGAAGAGATTAAAAAGAAGGTCGTTAAGACCGCCGAGGAGTCAGTACCTAAACAGTACCACGAGTTCCTGAATGTCTTCTCCAAGGAAGCATCAGAACGGCTACCCGAAAGGAAGCCGTACGATCACGTGATCGAACTCGTGCCTGGCTACTCCACGTTCCATTCGAAGGTATACCCATTGTCGAGCAACAAGCAGGAGGAACTGGACAAGTTCCTAAAGGAGCAGTTAGCGAAGGGCTACATACGGGAGTCGAAGTCGCCCATTTCGTCCCCCTTCTTCTTCATCAAAAAGAAGGAAGGAACACTTCGACCCGTACAAGACTACCGCCGATTGAACGCGATCACGGTCAAAAATCGTTATCCCTTGCCGTTGATCGCCGAAATGGTGGATAAACTCCGCGGCGCTATGCTCTTTACGAAGTTCAATGTCCGATGGGGATACAACAACGTCCGGATCAAAGCCGGTGACGAATGGAAGGCGGCCTTTGTGACTAACCGAGGGTTGTACGAGCCCTTGGTGATGTTCTTCGGTCTCACTAATTCCCCTGCAACCTTCCAGGCAATGATGAACGAGATCTTCCACGATCTCATTGTCGGCGGCAAGATCCTCGTGTACCTAGACAATATACTCATATTCTCCACCAGCAAAGAGGAGCATGAGAAGGTCACACGCGATGTTCTGCGCCGCCTTCAGGATAATGATCTGTTCCTGAAGCCTGAGAAGTGCGAGTGGGACATTCCCAAAGTCGACTACGTCGGCTATGTGTTTGGTGGCGATGAGGTGGCAATGGATCCCGCGAAGCTCAGAGGAATTAATGAATGGCCGGTACCCCGGAACAAGAAAGATGTTCAGAAGTTCCGGGGGTTCTCCAACTTCTACCGCCGCTTCATTAAAGACTTCGCTAAGATCTTGCGACCACTCGACCGGCTCACTGGGAACGACCCATGGCATTGGGGCGAAGAAGAGCAGCACGCCTTCAATGAGCTCAAGCGGCTCTTTGCGACGACTCCAGTCCTAGCACTGTACGATCCCAATCGGGAGACGCGCATTGAGGTCGACGCCTCAGGATATGCCACTGGCGGCGTGTTGATGCAGAAGCAGGACGATGGCAAATGGCACCCTATTGCCTTCAGATCCCATGCGATGGACCCAGCACAGCGGAACTACGAGATCTACGATAAGGAGATGCTCGCGATCATCGAAGCACTGGACGACTGGCGCCACTATCTCGAGGGCCTATCCAATCAGTTCGAGATTGTAACCGATCATAAGAACCTCGAGTACTGGCGTACATCTCAGCATCTCACACGTTGTCAAGCACAATGGTCACTGTTCCTGGCTCGCTTTGACTTCCGCATCACACACAAGGCCGGGACGTCAAATGGAAAAGCTGATGCCCTGTTGCGTCGATCAGACCATCAGATCGGCAATGAGGACGATAACACCGATCAGGTGGTTCTCAAACCTGAAAGGTTCCACATTGCCTCTGCCAGGCGCGGTCATGCTTCGGTGACAGCTGATCAGTTGCTTCTGAAGCGCATCCGGGAATGCTCGGAGAAGGATCGGGAGGTGGCCGAGGCACTTGAGAAGGTGCAGGACCTCGGGCCACCCCGGCTGCAAAGGGGCTTTGAAGAGTGGAATGCCGAACAAGGGCTTCTGCTGTTCTGCGGGTGCGTATATGTCCCAAAGAACACGGAGCTCTGGCGGGATATAGTCAAGATCCACCACGACTTGCCGATCGCCGGTCATGGCGGCCGTGCCAAAACCTTGGAGCTCGTGTCACGGAACTACTGGTGGCCTGGGATGTCCAAATTTGTCAATGAGTACGTCAGCACTTGTGACGTGTGCAACCGTACCAAGACATTCCCAGCCAAACCCCAGGGTCCGCTGAAGCCGAATGAGATCCCCGAGCACCCGTGGCAGATCATCACGACCGATATGATCGTCGGCCTGCCGAAGTCTGATGGATTCGACTCGATCCTGGTCACCGCCGACCGCTTTACCAAGCAGGTCCACTTCTCGGCCTGTCATGAGACCCTGACGGCAGAAGGTGTGGCAGACTTGTACATCTGCAATGTGTTCAAGCATCATGGGGCCCCGGCCAAGGTCATATCAGACCGAGGTCCCCAGTTCGCTTCGAAGTATCTCCATGCGGTGTACAAGGGACTAGGGATCGAGTCGGCGCTGTCCACAGCGTTCCATCCTCAGACGGACGGCCAGACTGAGCACTGGAATCAGGAGATCGAGCAGTACCTGCGTGCTTTCACAAGCCACCGGCAGGATGATTGGGCGAAGCAGTTGCCGCTCGCGGAATTCGCATTGAACAACCGAGTTCACTCCGCAACCGGGCATTCCCCATTCTTCCTGCATCAGGGGTACAATCCTGAGATCCAGGTTCGGATCAATCCAATGTCCACGATGCCCGCCGCCGCCGACCGGCTTAAGATCCTGAAGGAGATTCGCGACGATACGTGCTCTGCGCTTGAGCTGTCAGCCGAGCGCATGAAAGTGTACTACGATAAGCACGTGTAGGAGGCGCCGGTCTTTGCGCCGGGGGACAAGGTTTGGCTTGATGCCCGGAACCTTAAGCTGAAACAGCCAAGCAAGAAGCTCAGTCCCAAGCGCCTCGGACCTTATGCCGTGTGGCGAAAGCTCGGAGACCTGGATTACGAATTAATCCTGCCGAAGTCGGTGCCAGTGCACCCAGTATTCCATGTCTCCTTGCTTAGCAAGTACACGCGTAGCGATATCCCGGGCCGGGAGCCGGAGGAGCCGCCTGCGATCGAGGTTGAGGGCGACGAGGAGTACAAAGTTGAGCGGATCAAGGACTCGAGGATCTTCCGGCGTCAATTGCAGTACCTTGTCAAGTGGAAAGGTTATGACAATTCGCATACGTCATGGGAACCAGCGCGCAACGTTGCCAATGCGCTGGCCCTCATAGCCGACTTCCACCGGAAGAATCTGAATGCCCCTCGCCGCCTCAATGCTGCTACATTTGGTGGTCTCAACTTCCAGCCGATGCCTTCGCCGCTGACTGAAGCACGCTGCCGCTCCGGGTGGGAGATGGGCAAGGGCGCCTCGCATGAGGTCATGCACCGTTGAGGGGGGGTAATGTCACGAGTTGGTACAGCGTCTAGCCATTTTTTAATTTTTCCTTTTCACGGGCTCGAACCCGCGACCTCTGTACTACCTGCCTGATATGGACACGTCATTATCTACTGTACGATAAGATTAGATAGGACGGCAGGGCACGGCACAGCTCGGGCTCCGCTGACACAGCCGCTCTGACTCACCGGCCCCCGGGGCCGCGTCGGCATGCTGTGCACGGACCAGCTGCACATGAACCAGTGCGCACAGCCTGCCCTTAACCTCCCCTGTATATAAGCTGGCCTCTGCTGCCCTAGGGACCTTAGTTTCGACCTCTTGTCCCTAGGTCAGTAAGCCCTCAGTTGTATTCTCTCTTACCCTACTAACTAATACATATTCTTGTCCCTAGCCTAAGGTTTGAGCGTTGCTCACCATTGCTTCAGTGAGATCTAGTCGAACGCCCCCAGCTCTTTAGGTTTTCCCTGTCGCTTGACCTCAAGTCACGACAAATATATTACTTGTCCCTAGCCTTAGGTTTGAGCCTTGCTCACCATCGCTTCGGTAAGAACCAGTCGAACACCCCCAGCATCCTTCAAAGTCTGTGTTTCCACTGTCGCTCGACCCTAAGTCGCGACAACCATGACATTTTGAGGAATGGCTGCAAGCGAGCAGCCTCAATCTCCCTAGGGGAACCTGTGTGTAAGTTGGCGAGGGGATATACAATACTCAGATCGTAGGCAGTGTACTGCAGTGTGGACGATCTAATCAGAGATAAGGAGGAGGATACAATCGGTGACCGGGGCTGCAGTGTTGGAAATCACAGTCGATACTTACCTTATCGGTAGTAGATCGATCACATGATCGCGTATGGTACTACACCGATCGACCTGTACTTAGTTCCTTACGTGTTTGCTGGCTACAAGCCGGGTCAAGCACGATTCATCCTATCGTCTTCAGTCTCTATCTCTGCCATAAATCTAACAGGTTGGTGTCAAGAATTGGAGAGACGCCAAGCTGCCTCTCGACCCCGGCATCGCACACGGTGACCTTCCGTCCCCGACATTCGAGAGCCTCACTCCCCGCGCAGAAGGTCTCCAATATAAACTCGAAACAGAGCCAATGGAGAAAGGAAAGGAATCAGTTCTATCTGAAGCTTCTTCACCCTTCGACAGGACGGACGCTGATGTAATCTTGCAATCGTCCGACGAAGTGCAATTCCGCGTCCATCGAGTCATCCTTGCTCTAGCGTCCCCCGTCTTTGCCGATATGTTTGGCTTACCGCCACCTCGAGCCCCTGACGGCACGACAATGGAGGCCATCCAGACCGTATATATTACAGAGTCAAGCCATGTCCTACGCATTCTGCTGGACATGTGCTACCCCGTTACCAACGTGCAATTCTCCTCTCTCGACGACGTACACGCCGTCTTGAAGGCAGCAGTGAAGTACGATATGTCCAAAGTCATTGCACTCGCATACAGAGCGCTATCGACCTTCATATCCAAGTCAGCTATGCGAGTCTACGCTATCGCATGCCAGCTCGGCGCGGAGGATGTGGCCAGAGAGGCCGCTCCGCACGCAGCCATACAGGAACTAGTTCCAGGAAATTATAAGGCGGAATTCGAGGGCATGCCTGCTGGTTGCTTACACCGGCTCTGGGAACATATGCGTACAGACACCCAACAGGCGTCCTACTGCTACCCTGAACAGCTAAGGGATCAGACGGATACAAACGAATCGCTGTCTCGCGTCAACTCGGCCACATTCCTCCCCGACGCTCCAAATGCTGACTTAACAATTGTCACGTCAGACAATGTGCAACTTCGCGTATGCCGGCAGACAATTTCGCTCTGCTCTCCTGTCCTCAAGGACATGCTTGAGCTCACAACGTGCGACTCATCAAGCACATCTGGAGGTGACATGAGCGATTGTGGGCGTACTGCCGGAGCGACGTTGTCTGTCCCGGAAGACAGCATTACTTTCGTACCGACTCTGCTGCTCAGTTATCCTACGGGAACGCCAGAGATGAATGCCACTCAGCTTGTTTCCTTACTTCCAACCGCTGAGAAGTATGGGATGCAAAGGGCGATCTGGTTCATCAAGAGACAATGGCCCGAATTCGCTAGGAGTCATCCCCTGTCGGCTTTCCTCGTAGCTGCTCACCATAATTTGGACAGATCAGCAGGCCTGCTCAATAAATTTCTTGTTCATGCGTACATCCGACGAGATCCGCAGCATATACGTGCCGGAGCTGGAAACATCCACTGCGGGGCTATATTATCGCCTACTTCAGTACCATGAGAGACGTGGGGAAATCATTCATGGCAGCGGTCCCCGAAGTTGGCCGTCTTTGAATGTGAAGGGAGCAAGTTGTCCATATTGTATGAAGAACGGTCGGCCATCATGGATGCCTCCTTGGATACACGAGGCTGTGGTGATACTGCGACAACGGCCGTCACCATGCACGATCAATGATGTTGAAGGGCAAGCGTTCCAGGCTTTGCTATCGGTGGCAATGTCAAGGTGTTCAAACTGCAAACGCAACGGTGCGTCATGGCTGGTATCCTTCAGCCGTGAGCTTGCGCAAGCTGTGGATGAGGAGTGGGCCACTGTGAGTTTCCAGAGTGTCTGGCTTTATCTAGTAAACTGAATATAACTGGCATCTCAAGGTACCCTTCGTGCTGGAATAAAAAAGCGACGGGCGACGAGGAAACACCTTTTGGCGGCAGCGTCGTGGAATACAACCGCGAGGAAAGCGGAAGCTACCTTCGCGCGCATAATGAAGTCTGATCTACCATGCGAACCCGCCCCAAAGCTTCAAGTGCCAACACGTTGATGAGACATCTCAAATTACGGGATTAAGACCAACTTGCTAGCGTGCCATGTCTCGGTATCTTAACTTCAAATCTCGTTTTCTTCTAGTCTTGGACTGATGCACGCCGCGTTGATGTGTAGTCTCAATACAAAGCTTCTCCAGTGTAACAACATCCCACTCGTGTATGTAACATCTCGCATCATAAGCAACGGTGCATAAGTACACGGTGGAACGGGGGGACATGATGCAGTCTCAACAAGAACTCATACGATGCTGACCGGCGTATGCTAGGCCCACTGCTATAAATCACCTGCCATAAATATGTAGTGCAGACTTGTTACGAAACATGACGGCGGCCCTTGCCCGTTCCATCTAATTCTTCCATCAGTTCGTATGGCCAGCCAGTCCGGCTGAATACAGGTCTTGACAATAAGTCGAGATTCTGAATCCGATACGGAAGATCGAGGAACATGTAGCCTGCTCTCGCCGTCGGATCGGCGAAGTGGACGATGAGCACGACTATTCCGACTCCATAAACGATCCACTGTGGCAGCGACATGACTTCCGCCTCCAGTTGCGCACGCTTTATGGCGAGCTTGGCGAGGTTTTGTCTTATCCACGCATCCTCCGACTCCTCCAGCTTCTGCCACCTCGTGACCATGACCTTCGTCGTGGAGAATCTGTCGCTGAGATGCTGCGCGCCTGGCGAATACCCGAGCTCGACCATCAGCAAGGTTTCCTGTTGAGCTTGCGGACGATTGGGCAGATCCAACGCCGCGAGCAGGCCATTGTAGCACGGCGTGCGGTTCCGATCGGCCCAGCGCTGCAAATCCATCCAGAGCTTCCGCTCCTCCACACTGTTGCACATCACTTGTCGTGTGGCTCGGGCCTCGAGGCATTCGCCCTTATGAGAAGGCCACGCCGCCGTCTGACATTTCTTAGACTCAAGGCCACTCAATTCAGCTCGCCGCGATCGACAATGAAGAGACGCCACTCACACAATAGCGCTTGATCTTGCATCCTTGACATCGCTTTAGTTGTATGCCTCTGGATTTCCACACGGTGCAACCGCGGTTGTTGCAGAAGACGACGGATTCATTCGTTGGCGGCGGCGTCATGCTGTAGCTGTGGTGTGGTGGAAGAAATGGGATGAGTTTTTCTCGAGGTAAAGAGGATGGCTATATATCTGCCAGGGGTGAGGAGGCTGTCTGGATAGCTAACAATGCTGACCGGATACCTTGCTGCAACGGCGAGGCAGACTCCTCGCCTCAGATAGCAGGCGGACAGAGTGGCTCATCACCAGAGGCAAACTAATTGGCGTACGAGGCTAGTCCGCACCTAAAGCAGGAGAGCAGATCCCGCTCGCCTCGGATAGTGAGCCGTTCGCTGTGACGCATTCTCTGCCTTGCTCTCTCAACTCAATTACTTCCTTTGTACTCCTCCCATCATGATTGAAGATCAGATCTGGTAAGAGGGGAAAATTAATGACAATCGAGCGGCATGTGCATGCAATGCAGCGAAAGCATGGAGGTGATGTCTGTATATTTCTCCACACATAGCTCAACCTCTATGATTCACCATTCATCTCCAATAGCGCCTCTATGCTCTTGCCGAGGTCACCTTCGTTGGCCTCCAGAACCCATTCCACAATCTCAGGATCTGTCGTCGGGAAGATTTGGCGGAGGGTCTCCCGAGCAGCCACAGCGGCCCGCTCATGAGCACGGTCGATCTCGTCTTGAAGGCCAGCCAGATCTAGATTAGGCGTCGGCGTCCGTGAGACATGCGCCGATTGAGGACGAAGATCCAGGGAGCCTGGTCTTGATCGGATAGCTGACGCGCTCTGAGAGGGACCCACAGCCAACGGTTGGTTAGTGTATGGACCGGTCCCAGCTCGCGGCCGGGTGGGCGTGTCCTCCGAGGGAGGGGAGTTGAACTGGAACGACCCAGACGATTGAGCCGACGATAATGGCGTAGGGACCCTCCGCACGCGTGGCTTGTAGGGTGTGACGTACCCGCCCGCCTGCTGATGGGTTTCTGCGGCACCGTGTGGCGTCTGCGGGACCCCATAGCCGAGCGACTGTGCAAGCTGGCGGTCGTGCTCGATCTGCTGCTGACTGTCTTGCCGACCACGGAACGTGTCACCCGGCGCGAATGGCGAGGGTAGAGATGAGAGGGACTCTTCTGCGTTGTCGAGAACCTCGGTAAATATGCGGCCGATGGCGTTGAGCGGTTTGGATATTGTGTCCCCCGTCTTCTGAAGAAAGCGGCGTGCATCTTCTCCCAATGCTTGTGCAGGAGTGGGAAGGGCAAGAGGCTGCGCGGATTCTTCTCCGGTATGCGAAGAGGGAAGGGACGTAGACGAAGAGCGCGGTGAGGTGACAATGGGCGGCGTTCGCGACTCTGGTGTCACAGATTCGGTGCTTGGTAGGGACTGTATGACCTCTTCGACATTCCTACCATGTCCAAGGTCAGACACGCTACCCAGACGGAACGCAATAATGCTCACTTCTCAAATTCTTCCTGCGTAATTTGTGATAGTGACGTGTGGTCCATTGTTTCGATGAATGAAACAGCTCCCATCTTGGGGACAGTCAGTACGGTTTGCAAATGTATTAATCTGCGACTCTCTACTTACAAGGCTTGAGAGATAGTAACCTGCCTCACTCTGCAACTTGGTAGGGTTTCGGAAACGATTGATGAACCTGACCCCAGCCATCCGTCAACAGGTAGAATATACCGTCATTGATCATTGCTTACTCAACGTTCGACAACAGGTGAGGCGGATTCGCCTTCAAAACAACGTAAATGAGAACTGGTATGAAAGTATCAGCGCCCTCCTCTTTGCGTAAATGACGGATGAGGCCTGTATACGAGAACGAAATAGGATATCAGTATCACAGAACTTACGGAGAGTGTAGAGAGCGAACCAAAGATGACTTTGCAACAATTGAGTATACATATCAGTTTGTCCCGGGGTGCTTTGTAGTGATTGACCTTCAACAGCTCTACGGCGTTACCCGGCATTCATGTGAGACAATCATATACATATCGCATATGTTAGAGTGTATACCTTGCTGCGCGAACGTCAAGAAGCCTTCACTACCTTCACCCTCTGGTACATCCAAGTGCTTTGGCTCGATCCAGCGGAACAGCGCTATTCGTTGAGATAACACCCGATCTCGCTCGAGGTCATCGACCGTGACAGGCCGTGGAGGCACCATTCGTACCACTTGGGGAGTGAACGTGCTACCAAGGTGTCATTCAACAGCACAGGTGGCGGAAGGCTGAATGGGACGCACAACTCGTATAGTCTATTCATTACCAGCTTCTCCATACCCTCCAAAGCATTGTCAAACTCGACATCTGTGGCATTCCGCCAGATATCACATTGACGCATACGCTCAGAGATAAACTGGTTTGACATTCGTCAAGAAGTAACAAAATGCAAAATGGATGGACTCCTTCTCACATTCAAAAAGTCATTGATGAGCTTCACTTGGTCAGTCACAGTGAACGTGCGCTTCGCAAAATTGCTCAAGAATCTGTGGGAACGAAACATTCGTTACGGCAAAAAGAACGACCGAGAGACCGCATTGAGTGACCGACTAGACAAGGAGAGTAACACTGACATACGACCGGAGGTACTTCGCTACAGGCTCCGCGCTCCTAGACTTCATCTGGTCTAGAAACTTCTGAAAGTCAAAGTGCGGGTTGTCCCTGTCGACCGCTCTTCCTCTATCCCGATGCGACTCGATAACCGCAGGTGTGCTTTGCCCACTGCTACCGCCTGCGGGGCTCGCGCTGGTTCCGAAATCAGTGGTACTACGAGTCGCAGGCGCAGACTGCTGCTGGGCAAAGGAGGATAGGGTTGCTGGCGATGGAACCGAAGTCGCGAGGTCAATGGAGCTCGGCCGCTGGCTGCGACTGCCGAGAGGAAGGGAGAAAGTACGGGCGAATGCAGCGAGCGCAGGGAAGGCTGGCACAGGAGATGGCCGAGTTGGCGTGGAAGGCGGCTGGGGAGACGGTACTGACTGGTAGTCTGTACCTTTCTCTGAACCATCGCTGGGAATGCTCGCTGCACCCGGAGATGGTGGCGGATGTGGTGTGGTACTCGCCCATGCCTCGCGCGCAGCCTTCTCGTCGGAGCTCGCGAGGGGATCAAACTCGAGCAAGATCTCCTCCTTATGACGTGCTGGGGACTCCTCTGGCTCCGTAGCGAGTCCCTGCATGGCTGCAGGGTCTAATGAGGAGGCATCGAGGATACGCAGAGCATGGTGTGACGATTCCACGCCGGATTGCTCAGTTGTGTCCAAGGCGTGCTGAGCAGCAGGGTTTTGCCATGGATTCAAATTGTCCTCTTCTACGTTCAGAGCTTTGGTCCTCTCATTGATGTGCAAATTGTCTAACGCATGCGTGAGGTCACGATCCTGAAGTTCTGATGGTTGCGCTGCCGAGGTCATGGTCTTAGTTACACTAGGTTCTCCCCAGCAGATGCGGAAGAATAGAGCAGCCTCAAGCGAGTTGCAGGAAAATGTGTAATGCGCTAGACAGTAGTTTGAATTATGGGCAAGACCAAGGCTGTTGGACCGAGGCACGCCACAGCAGCGTAAGCGGCGCCTGCAGCGCAGTCGTGGGGCTGAAGTTGGACTTCGACCTCGACCTCGACTTGTATATACTTCGACATTCGTTCTACTTTTTCTGCTTTCCTCAGCCTCTTAATCAAATCCTGGTGCCTTTGTCTGTTTGAACAAGGCTCTCAATCACAAATTCCAACAAAGAGACCAAGGGACAACGACATCCTTTCATGTACGTCGAAGTCGCGATAATCATTTCCTAAAGAGTATTGCAATTTACTGATGCTGGCAGTGTTGTCAGTTCTTCTCATATGCCTAGTGTCCAAAAGTTGGGAGGTGGCGTGTCGACTAGGTCGGTGACATGCCACCCCTTCAATAAGGCTTCGGTGGACGTGATCTTATATTCTTCTGACGGCGTCGCCTTTCGGATGCACTACGCGCTCTTCAACGAGTCCTCTGGATTCTTCAAGGCAAATCTGCGACCCTCTGCTAGCAACGCACGCAGCAAGCAGGTCGTCCAGGTGGAAGTTCCGGAGCACAGCGCTGTCCTGAATGTGATCCTCTGCTTCTGCTATCCGATGGAGAGCCCTGTCTTGTCTACGCTTGCTCTTACTGAAGCCGCGCTCGAGGCTGCACTGAAGTATAGCATGCAAGACGCAACGTCCTTCCTCAAACACCAAATGCTCCACTTCGCCTGCAATTCACCACTTCGGGTCTTCGCTATCGCATGTCGCCACGGCTTAGAGGATGTTGCTTCTGCCGCAGCGCTCGCACTATCCAAGAAGGCGCGCGAGCCTTCAGTTGGTGACTTCGCAGATGAGCTACATGATCTCACCGCTGGCCAATACATGCGTCTACTCCAATTTTGTCAGAACCCAGAGACGGCCCCCGAGAGTTTCTGTCGCGTCAAGACGACTCAACCTCGAAATGGCGAAGATGAATACGAGAAGGACTCATTGGTATCGCCATACACTCTCAACGCCGCGGCCACCGACGCAATCTTGTGCTCGTCAGATCATGTAGGCTTTTTTGTCCACAGCGCCGTTGTGGCCATACTCTCTCCTGTACTTGACAGGATGCTATCTAAAGCCGGGGATAGTGTGGTGATGGTGGAAGGACCCTCCTTGGACTCAATGGAACCCGATTTTGGTGAGTGTGGAACCAGCGCTGATGGATGCCATACACATTGCCAGGTGGACCACAGCTGCGGAACGACGGTTACGTCAAGCTCGTCTCGCACGCCGAGATCAGGTGCCGCGAATAATGCACAGACAAAGAAAGCGATTCGGGAAGACGAGTCCATGTTCACCGCATCCTATCCGGATGAGACTAGTAGTGACCAACCAAGTTTCATAGCAACTAACGTCGACGCCTCGCAAAGCACAGCTGACACGTTTCATTCTGGTCGTACCAGAGATGATCGAGCGTCTGCGCGTACTCGAGAACGAGCCGATTCAGAAAGACAACGACGCCGGACGCATTGTTGCTTGCGCGACATTCGTATCATCGAATTACCCGAAGACAGTCGGACAATCTCAATGCTCGTGCGTCTCTGTTACCCGCTCGTAGGTCCCGTCAAGATCGATAGGTTCAACTTTGCCGACTTATACTCAGCGGCGAAGAAGTACGGCATCGCAAGCGTCCTAGACCTGCTCGAAGCTGTCTTGAGGCAACATGCGCTAGAGGAGCCCTTCGCAACGTATTTTGTCGCGCGACGCTTCCACTTGCAAGACATCGCCACGGAAGCCGCCCGTCGAACGCTCGGGCTGCCTGTCGACAACATGTCTTGTGTCGAGATGGACGATGTCTCTGCAAGAGCCTATATTCAGTTGGTGAAGTACCACGAGGCGTGCACTACAGCAGCTGTGAACCTAACCAAGGACTACGACTGGCTAAAGTCGCAAGGGTTCGACCTGACACCCGGCCACTGTCTCGTTCCCACATCCAAGCCACACTCGCTCAATGTCGCAATCGTCCCCACATGGACGCGGATTCTCATGGCGAATTTGCGACCGCTCTTGCGCAAACATCCTTCGGGTGGCGTTGTTATGGACGGCCGTGCGTTTACCAAGACGGTGACCGAGCTACACTGTCACTCTTTGGTCTGTGGTCCGTGCACGCATCTGGATGTCGCCCATGCTGTGTTTAAAGCTTGTCAAGTTATCGCGTGTGGTGTCGACGATGCTGTTTCTCAGGTGGGTATTGCAATCATTGTCTGGTAGTTTTGTTGATGTCAGAACGTTCGTAGGTGCAACTGGAATAATATGGGCCCCCTTCGTCGGGCTTGCTCTTGATCGGTCAATGTCGCTTCGTGTATCTATCCATTCCGTACTGTCGCTCACCAACCGCTCATTCTTATCATTCTTATCATATTGTTCGACGCATCTCAATACTGTAGTCAGTAACTTTTATAGCCCGTTGTGGCAGATTCCCTTCATTAGTTGTCCAGCAACATATCTAATCATTATTTATCTACAATAAAGCTGCGTCGTGTGTGCCTAAGGGCGCATGTCAGAGGAGAATGAAGACTGCTACGCAAATAAGGTTTGATCTACTTGCAGAATTGGTACGTCCAAAGCTTGATATAGCGAGACGCTTCAACTTGCTAGTGACCAACACAACTGTCTAGGTGTAGTATCAGAAACCGGGCAGAGGAGCGTCGCGGACTCGATTTATCAATCGGCTCTTCGCAGATTGGCTTGTATCTCCGTTAAGAGTTCTCACAGTACAAAGCACCGGTCAGTAGCTTCCAACGTAGTAGACATACGGCTCCTGCCCTTCGACTAACCGGTCTGATTATGACATAGGTCTGTCGATATACAGATGCCGGAAACGGTGGAGAAAACTTCCTCAGGAGGCGATAGTGGCCCTGCGAGCGTCACAAACCATCCGTTCACGAAGGACTCAGCCGATGCTGTCCTTATCTCCTTCGACAAGATTAAATTTCGAGTCCACAGAGTCATTCTGTCTGAAGCATCCCACTTTTTCGATGAGCTGTTCTCTCTTCCGCAGGAGTCCAAGTCAGACGATGCCTCCACGCAGACTTCGCACGAAGAGGCTCCCGTAATTCATGTCAGCGAACACAGCTCCGTTCTAGACCCGCTACTCCGATACTGCTATCCTATGGCCGATCCAGTTTTGACTAGCCTGGACGTCACGATAGCAACGTTGGAGGCAGCGCTCAAGTACGAGTTGACTGAGGCCACGGAGCTCTTGAAGGTGCAGCTTTCCACTCACGCGAAAGCTGCCCCTCACCGTGTCTACTCGATTGCCTGTCGACACAAGATGGAGGATCTGGCGCTGGTGGCGGCCGAGGAAGTCCATCGTCAAAAGAAAGCAGCGGTGTTTCATCCTGATATGAAGTCCATCACTGCTGGCCAATATGCCAAGTTACTTCAGTTCTGCCAAGAAGGAAGCCTGCCCACGCGCCAGACTTTCATCTCCAGCAGCACGACCGCGCGTATACAGAGCGAGTATGGGAAGGGTGGGGAGGATAGCGCCGTCTCATTACTGCCATCTGAGACGGAGACTGCCGATGTCATTATCGCCTGTCTAGACGGCGTTGACCTCCGCGCCCACCGCGTGATACTGGAGTTGGCTTCTCCTGTGCTCAAACGGATGCTATCTGACGCATCGACAACATCCCAGTCTACGACGGATAACCCTGCAAACCACTCGGACATCATGGGCGGTACTACGACCGCAGCTAACTTGACTGAATCCCATCTCGCCAGCGGCGTAGCCACCAATCCCCGAATCAACCTGGCGCAACCCAGCCGGATAGTCTCCTTCCTGCTGCGATTCTGCTACCCCTCGCCTGGCCCCACGCCCATGACGCCGCTCGATATTGTCGATGTGCATTCCGCCGCACGAAAATATGACATGAAGAAGGTATTGAAGACCTTCGAGACGAGAATCAAAGCCTCTGAGAACTTAGAAAAAGATCCTCTGCTCGTCTACTTCCTCGCTTGCCACTGTGGCTATAAGTCTATCGCATGTATCGCCGCCAGGCGCACGTTGGGGACGGAAGTCAATTATGACTACCGGCCAGAAATGGAGCTCGTTGCTGCGCGCGCGCTCTACAACCTTAAGATGTACCGCGCCAGGTGCATGAACGCGGTCACGACACTGATGCAGTCAGACGACTGGCTGTTCAACAAGAAAGATAAAGCAGTGTCGCGCTGCGCGTATTTCGCGAGACTGACGCGCCCGTGCTGGCTCGAGCCCCTTGTGATGCTCATCATCCCCACCCTACACAAGGACCTCACGGGCGCCACAGTGAAGCACTGCTTTCCGGAGCTGTTAGAGATTGTCTCGAGCGCCAAGACTACCTGCGACCGATGCAAGGGCTGGGATGTCGCGGCCGTCTTCTACCGGACCTGTGACACCCTGGCGAATGCGGTTGATGAAGCTATTTCGCGCGTGAGTCCTGGCCCAGCATCGATGAATCACAAACTTTAATCTCATTTTCAGGTGCAACTTCCATGGGAGCAGTATTAGGATGCAAGGTAATTATCCCGTCTGGGTCCTCGCCCCGAAGTTCGACAGATATGGCAAGTCTATTTTTTGATTCGTTAGTGTTCTGCACCGTGTACCACTGACCGTTTGCCAAAACTGAATGCAAAGCCTGTGTGTATCATGCTGCATACCGAGAATGACTGTACTGAGACGTATGAGACCCACGAAGGTCAGGTGCTTATTTCCGTCGGGTCCGAGCAGATACGACTGATCGTGCGAGCATAGCGGCAATATCTCGCTGTGCGCAGGTCTCAATCATTGAGACGGTCCTTTAAACGGCGTTGTGGAGCCTCCCACCCGCAGCTTGCCGCGGGAGGGGCCATGGCAAGCCGCAGTTCGGATATGATTAATGTCAGAATCAGTCGATATACGTCAATAACGTACGTCGCCGTCAAGACGCTATCGATGGGACGTCTTCAACGTCCACCGTAAAACCGACCTTACCCACACTGACATGCGGAATGTGCACACACTGGACCCGGCACGTAATCTCAAGGTCTAGAGTCCCTGGCCAGAAGAGCGTGAACGTTGAAGAAAGGAGAGAATACCCAGCTTGGGATGGTCTCGACTTCAAGCAGCCGCACGAGATCGAATAGCACAGCACATTGAGCGGCCGCAGACGACTAACAACCGTCCAGAAGATCGTGTGTTCGATGCCCACATCGAGTTATTGATTGCGTGATGTGTATACGATCGTTGGGACATCTGTCCCACTGGCACAACCATGGACAGGAACCTGTGGTCAGATGTTCGGACATGCAGGAACCATGTTCACAAATAGGCGACGATTGCTAGTGGCATCTCAGGCAATGACAGGTTCAAGTCGTGCAACGCCGAGATGCCATAGGGCAGAGATGTGGTCCTGGACGTACGACTTCGAATTCCGAGTGATCGTTCGAACAGCGGCGCAAATGATATCTCCAGACGCTGACAAGACATGCACCGATATTGCCTAGCCTCCAGACGGTGAAGATGCGGCTGAAGCACACGCACAGCGATAAGAGACCGAGCGTATATATGAAGCAATGTAGTCGAGGCGGGTCGGAAGTTCATTATTTGCGTCCGATTCTCCACCGTGAGCGCTATAGGGGCAAGTTTGTGCAGACAAGCAGTGCAAGTACAGTAAATGAGAGATGTCGGACGACATGAGTGGTGAACGGAGGAATTGGTAGCCGAGTGATGAGAGCAGCGGAGGAGCCAATCAGGAGTCACAGGCGCGAGGACAAGCAAGCGGTCGTACCACCACCATCCCCCGGAAAATGATTTTTTCGTCTCTCGTTCCATCTCCAGAATTTATATATATTCCTCGCTAGCCACCGCCCTCCATCTCCCTCCAAAGTTCTCCTCTCTATTGCCACCCACACAACCTACACTTATCTCTCCGTCGCGCACCATGACCATCCCATTGAACGGCACTGCTGTCCACGGCGACATTGAGGCGCCCCCGCGTCCGAAGGATGTCGGTATCCTCGCTATGGAGATGTACTTCCCCCAGAGGGTGAGCATAGTATAGTACGACCTGCCCAAAGGTGTGTTCTAACTTCATGTATCGTCGCCAGTGCATCTCGGAGGAGGAGCTTGAGGAGTTCGATGGTGTTTCAAAAGGGAAGTACACCATCGGTCTCGGCCAGAAGTACATGGCCTGCTGCGATGATCGCGAGGACATCAACTCCTTTGCGCTGACCGGTATGTCGTGCACCATACCGCTACTCATGCTCTCCTTTAACGTGATGTCTCCCTGTAGCCGTCATCAACCTCCTGGAGAAGTATGACATCGACCCCAAGTCCATCGGCCGCATCGACGTCGGCACCGAGACCATTATCGACAAGTCCAAGGCGACGAAGACCGTCCTCATGGACCTCTTCGCGGAGGCAGGCAACACTGATATCGAGGGCGTCGACTCGAAAAATGCGTGCTACGGTTCTACTGCTGCGCTCTTCAACTCCGTCAACTGGGTCGAGTCGACGTCATGGGACGGCCGGAACGCTATCGTCGTCGGCGGCGACATCGCCATTTACGCAGAAGGCAGCGGACGCCCAACGGGCGGTGCTGGCGCGTTTGCGATCTTGATCGGTCCTAATGCACCTCTTGCGATTGAGCGTGAGTATCCTTGTCATTTTGGCATTAGCCTGTGCCCTTCCCAGGGATGAACCCCCGGCGTTAACGGGCGAGCATAATGTTCTCACTGTTGCTGCGCTCACTGTCGTCATTCGCCTAACTGGGTATGCTGACTATTGGCCCCGGACAGCCATCCACGGCACGCACATGGTGAACACCTACGACTTCTACAAGCCCAAGCTTGACTCGGAGTACCCCGAGGTTGACGGCCCCCTCTCCATCACCACCTATGTCTCCGCCATCGACGCTGCCTACGGCGCATTCCGCCGGAAGCACGCCAAGGCGAAGAAGGTCGCCAGCTTGAACGGCAACGGCGATGCTGCTGCGCTCGCTGCTTTCTCCCTCGAGGACGTGGACTACCCCGTCTTCCACAGCCCATACGGCAAGATGGTCCAGAAGGCCCACGCTCGTCTTGTCAGTCCCCTCAACTTACCCCTGCCTCCGCTCGTTCTGACATGACCTGCAGATCTACAACGACTTCATCTCGAACCCCAAGTCCCCCAAATACGCCAACGTGCCGAACCCCGAGGCGATCCTCGCGCAGCCGTACAAGGAGTCGCTCACGGACAAGGCGCTCGAGAAGACGTTCATGGGCGTCGCCAAGGCGGAGTTCGAGTCGACCGTCGAGCACTCGATGCGCTGCGCACGGCGCTGCGGGAACATGTACACGGCCTCGCTCTACGGCGGGCTTGCGTCGCTCCTCGCGAGCGTGGCGCCCGCGGAGCTGCGCGGGAAGCGCATCAGCATGTTCGCGTTCGGCAGCGGGCTGGCGAGCAGCTTCTTCACGATCCGCGTCAAGGGCGACACCAGCGCGATCCGCGAGAAGCTGGACCTCATCAACCGCCTCGCGGCGATGCAGGTCGTGCCGTGCCAGCAGTACGTAGACGCGCTCGAGGTACGTCTGCCCTTCCCGATCCCCCTTCCCATGCCATCGTGCTGGAGCTGACGCCTGCGCCCATAGTTGCGGGAGAAGAACCACAACGCGGGGTCGTACGTGCCCGAGGGCTCGCTCGACAACATCTGGCCGGGCGGATTCTACCTGGAGAGCATAGACGGGAAGTACCGCCGCAAGTACCTGCGCAAGCCGAAGGCGTGAGTACGTAGGGTGGTCGCTGTCTGCCCGTTGTCCGTCTGTCGTGCTGCTCGACATCCTCAGCACGACGCTGTCGTTCCCGCATAATAATACCACCATACGTATGTACTATCGCATTGCTTTGTCTTGCTGGACGTTGCTTGTAGGCCGCTCGCGACGGGTCTCCTAGATTGACCATGTGTAATATTAAAGCCAATCCATTCTCGGATCCTCAGTTGTGGTGTGCTGGCTGACAAGATGTTTGCCACCGCTATCTTGCATTCATGGCGTGGTCTCTGCTCGTATCGCAGTGTCACTCAGAGCGTTGGCTTCAAGCACGCCGTTGATAGTTTATCATCTAGTATGAGTCTATATTCTTTCGGAGATCACGTCGCCATTTCTTGCAAGCTTGCAAGTAGAGGAGGCATGTTCCATTTTTTCATTACGCCGCCTTTTCTTGTAAGCTTGCAAGTACAGGTGAGAAGCTGTGGTGGAGGAGAATGCGTCGAAGCCGGAGAAGAACGTCGATGATCCGGTCCCATTTCCGTTCGGTGCCGTACATTCCATTTCTCTTTCTTTCTTCTCATTTCTGTTCCTTCATATGTTTTTCATCATCTCGCTCCAAACAACGATCCAAAAGTACGTACCTACTCCTTCTTGACAGCTCTAAGACTGGCACAGATGGCGTCGATGGGGAAGAGAAGCGGCTGTCGTAGGCAGATCGTTGGTGCCGACGTTGTCACGGACCTGAGGGCGGCAGGTCGCGAGCGTAATCATGACGCGTCGGCGGCTCACACCTTCGAGAAGCTGAGACATTGACAGTCGTGGAGCCGATCCGGAGCGGCGACGTCGAGTCTCGCTTGTCTGTGCGCAGGACGGGGCTTCCATTCGCGTTCAGTATATGTCTTGCTGTTTCGGACTTCTGTCGATCTATTGCTATGTTGTGCGTCATTCGTTCCTCCTAGGTTTCGTATGATGTCACTCGTGTCAAGGCCTCTGTGTACTTATGAAAGCCTGCGTCAGTGTCGAGAAATATCATCTTCCCTCTCTCCCTCGAACCACAATCATCTCGCGCTTTCTCGTCCTCTCTCTGCACTGGTTAGGACGAGTGACCCGAGAGCCACACGTACACGGCGAATGCCGCGTTTGTTTGTTAGATTATCGTTCGCGCGTTGTCGATCGGATACGCACCATCGCTCGCGCGTGGTCAATCGGGCACGCATTGCCGTTTAACATTCTTCGCGTGTCGTCGTTTGGATACGCATCGTGGCTGAGTATCAGGTAGTGTCAGTGTGCGAATACCCGACGCGCATATAGTCAGTGTATCGCGGCCAATTTTTCTTTAAATATTCTTGCTAGCATACAGTCTCTTCGACCATCTTCGGACGACGCTGCTCGCAACCCTCCAACAAAGCATGATGTCATTCTGGCAACAATACGTCTATTAGAGCTGCTCAATCACTCTTACTATTCTGCAACAGTCTCATCGTCGATTTCAAGCTTCACCTGCTCGAGACATCTGCCGTCAACATACGAAGAATCTGCAAGACAGCGGGATAGCCTCACCGCGGACACGACCTCTCGCAGCGTCTTGTACATGTAGGCGTCCATGCGCGTGAAGAACCGCGCGATCTGCTCGCAGTCCGAGCACCAGCACCCCGCCTCGACCGACTGCACCAGGACGTCCCGGGACAGCTCGTTCCACGTCTCCGGCTCCTCCGTGACCGTCTCGAGCGCCGTCTGCACCTTGTCCGAGATCCACTGCCTCGCGCACTTGAGGCACTTCTGGCGCGTCGGCCGCACGTCGCCGTGCTTCCCGCAGCGGCACTTGTCCTCCTCCTCTCTTCCTGCCTCGGGCTCAACTGGCCTTGACGTGGCGTTCTCCGGCTCCGCTCCTTGCTGGGCCGCCTCCTGGTGTGGCGCCTCCACCAGAACCGGCTCTTGTTCCTCGACCTGCATCCCAGCTTCAGCTTCAGCCTGCACCCCCGCCTCGGTTTGCGCCTCTGCTTCGGCTTGCACATCTGGCTCGACGTGCATCTCGTTCTCGTTCTCGACATTGACTTCTGCTTGGAGTATCTCCTCCGCCTGAACCGATGCGTCCGTCGGACACGATGTCTGCGCCTGGCCCGGAAGGTCTGCGTGTGCTGCTGTCCCTGCCTGGTCCGACACGTCGTTCTGGGCTGGTGCAACCTCCTCCTTGACCGCGGCGTGCCACCACGCCTCGATGTCCACCTCGGCGTTCTGCTCGGCGACGGCGGCGCGACACGCCTCGCGGTACTTGAGGAGCCGATGGTACACCTCCGCCGCGACGTTCTCCATCTCCGGGATGTACTCGTCCTCCAGGCCGCCACGGCGCAGGGACCGTCGTGCCGCCTCGCGGGCGTAGTCCCAGAGCTTCGCCTTCGCCACCAGGAGGTACGCGCGCAGCGGCTCGCGGCGCGTGATGCGCTCCCACGACTTCTGGATGGCATTGACGACGCGCCGCATCTCGTACCTCTCGGCCGCGTCCTTGAGGGCCCTTAGCAGGTGCAGGTTGTCGTAGACCACGTCTTGCTCGTCGATGGGGTAGCAGAGCTTCATCAGCGCCGCAAGCACGCTCCCGCGCTCCTCGAGCTGCAGGACGGCTGGCGCACTAGCCCCCTCGCTAGACCTGCCTGAGGGCTCGGTGACCCGTCCCAGCAGAGTGGGCGAAGCCATGTAGAGCACGATTCTGTGGACAGGGAGGTCGACGCCATCTGACGAACGACAAACGACATCGGCGAAGGAATGGTCAAAGAAATTGCGCGTCGTCACAATCGTGTCTGTAGTGCTCCCGTCCGCATTCTCTACTATAGGGGGGCTGGAGAATGTGACTACGCGGTCGGCGCTCCCCTTTTCCCGGTGGTACTTCAGCAGGCGGTAATATGCTCCGGCAGAGACGTCGCGCATCTCTGGAGGAAAGGAGTCCAGCAACTGGAGCCCTAACGTCTTCTTTGCGGCGTACAGGGCATCCGCTTCGAGCCGCAGGCGTGTCGCGATGGCCCACACGCGCAATGGATTGCTATCGACAAATGTGCGCAGGATTCTCGTCAGCCTGGCGGTCGCCTGCGCCATCTCATATTTGTTAGCCGCCTCTAGCACCAACTCGACATCATGCAGGTCTTCCAGTACTGGTTCTGTAATGGGATAGCAGAGTCGGAGGAGGCTGTTTAGTACCTTAGAGTCCTCCGCCGTGTCGACGACGGGGCGGCCGTCGTCTTTGAAGTTGTTACCCGTCTCGGCTTCTGCGCCGCCCGAGGGCTGCGGCAAACTGAACATCCCCTTGAAGAAGGGGGACGCTTCAGTCAAGATCACACTATACACACAGAAATCGACGCCATCAGAAGAGCGGAGGATCGTATCAGCGGCTGGATTATTGAACGGTGGCGGAGCGTCAGGGGTCGTCAGGCGAGAGGTTTCCGCGTCGGACGGTGATGGATTCATGATCCCGATAGGCGTCTGTATGAGCGTGGGCGTAGGGAATGCTCCTCGACGCCACTGCGAAGTACATATACCAACCGAACAGAGCCGATGTAAATGCGCGCGATAATCGCACCGCCCGGAACCACCGCCGCATTTCCCAGCGCGTGATAACCCTGTAGCGCTCTGTGTTGTCGTTCGATCCTGCCAGTAGGGTGTCAGCGGCAGCGCCGAGCTACATCTTGAATATTCATCCTGATAATCGTACATAGTAGCTACTATACAGTACTGGGACAACAAAGACAAAACACGTTGTAATACAACACCACAGCAGAACGGAATAGAACGATCCTCAATGAATGCAGAAAAATAGACCACGAGCTGGATCGGCTGGGGTGGGAGTACATCAGCAGGGTGCTCGGATGTATCGACCATTGCCTCTACCTAGTAGGACAGCAAGCCAGGCCAGTTGACACAGCTGGACGTCGTCTATGGCGAGGATGACCCATCAGTACACAATCTAAAGCGTACCAGCACGTCAGTGACACAACGGCACAAATAGAGGACGCTACACACCCCTGCAACCGCACCCGCGTATTCGTCCTGCACATAATCATCCACCTGCGCAAAATGCGACGTGATTTGCTCGCAGCTGGAGCACCAGAAGCCCTTCTGCACGGACCGCAGCAGCATCGTGCCCCCCTGCGGCACCGAATACGCCTCCGGGCACTTTGCCACCGCGTCCACCGCGTCTTTCGCGCGCGACGTAGCCCAGCTCTTCACGGACTCCATGCAGGCCTTGCGCTCGCCGCTCCACGCCATGCACCCGCCGCAGGAGCAGGACTGGCGCAGCGCACCGGCCGACTCCGCGTCGGCGGCACTCGCCTTGTCCCAGTACGCCGTGAGCTTGAGCTTCGCGCTGACGCGGTTGACGGCCGTGCCGCGGGTGTCGTAGTACTTGAGGAGGCGGTAGTACAGGTCGGCGGGCGCGCCCTCGAGCTCGGCCGTGTACTCCTCTTGCAGGCTCGCGTGGCTCATCGTCCGGTCGGCCGCGCGCACCATGAGGCTCGGCACCCCGGAGCGCGCGACGGCGAGGTAGGCCTGCAGCGGCCCCGCGTCTGCCAGCCGGTCCACGATCCTGCCGATCGTCTCGGTGACGCGGTCCATGTGGTACTTCTGCGCGGCCTGCGCCACGTCCGCGAAGGTCGCGTGGCCGATGCTGATGTCCGCATCCTCGACGGGGTAGCACATTTTCAGGAGCGTGCCCAGTATCCGGCTGTCCTCGGGGAGATCGAGGACGATCGCGCGCGTGTGCGGGGCGGTGTCGGGCGGGGAGCCGTCGTCTGTTGCTTTCGTGATCATGTCGCGGAGAACAGGGGATGCCATGGACAGCATGATTTTGTGGACGGGGTACTCGATCGCATCAGACGAGCGGCAGATTGTATCCGTGTATGGATGGTCGAAGAATGCGTCGGGCCCTCTGTCGGGTGGTGGCGGAGAGTCAGGATGCGGATGCGGGTGCTCGTCCAGCGACGGCTGCTTAGAGAACAAGAACCCGTCCTCGACGCTCCCCTTTGCGCGATGGAACTGCGCCAACCTGTAGTAGTCGCCTGCAGTAATGTGTCGTAGCTCCTCTGGGGACTTTTGAGCAGGGAGGAGGCTCTTCACCTTGTTAGCGGCCGCGCGGGCGTCGTCTTCGAACAGAAATCGGATGGCAATCGCCCATATCCGCAGCGGGTCGGCGCCGCTCTCGAGAAAGCCCACGAGTATCCGCCGCGCGAGGACAACCACCTGGTCCATCTCGTACTTTACTGCTGCCCCCAGGATGGCCTCGACCTCTTCGAGGCTGTTGAGCACAGGGTCAGCGACTGGGTAGCACAAACGCAGGAGTAGGTCGAGGGCCCAGCTCTCCTCTGGGAGATCGATGATTGGAGGGGTGTTTGCCTGAACGCCAGGCGTTTGAGACTCGCATCTCATGGATTGGAGGACGGATGAGGCCTCGGACAGGATGGCACTGTGTACATGGAAGTGCACGCGATCAAGGGAGCGAACGATGGTGTCTGCGGATGGATTGTCGAAGGGCGGGGAGGCATCTTGCAGCTTTTCAGGCAAGGGCGGATCCTCCTCCATTTATCGCCACTGTAAAGTCTTGGAAGTCGACCTCAGTAACATTGTGGCATGTAGTTCACGGAGCACGTACTGCGACTGGACGCGGGACGAGATCTGAATCTGTGTGGACTGATGCTCAGTCTAAAAGTTACTCCTACGCTCGAGGCGTCCTTCCCGGACAATCACAAGCGAGGTGGGTCGGTAGTCGTATACGAGAACTGAGAGCGCCCCGCATACCCCACGGCGAACACGTTGCATCGACTCGAGGCAGCGGTGGCCCTTATACGTCGTTCTCGGCGGCTATGGAAGGACCAGAGCTCCGTTCCCTGAACCCCTGAGAATGGCCCTCGAAAATGGCCCGCTTTTGGCAGTAAATAAGTCTTATATCACTGATCTCCTCAAGCTGGGTAAGAGCACAGCGCTCTCCGAGGTATATGCCTACGGTTCCCACGCTTGAATCATATGAAATATGATCCTAATTTATCCCCGAAAGCTTCGGGTTCGGATGACAGCGAATCACGGGACCGTGTTGGGACGCGACGCGCCTTCGACTCGGCCACGCAAAAGCACACTGAACAATGGACACTCCAGTGATTCCCCGTCGACGAACGTAGTCACGCCGACAGCGGCCTGCTTATTTTGTGGAGCTTCTGTGCTGGTAAGCGAGGTACGAATGCTACAATTCAAGATGGCCCGAAGTATATGGTGGCGTAGAAGACCATAAATGAGAGCAGGTGGAGTAAGATGAGGAGTCATCCGGGGAATTGACGCAGAAGGAAAACGGATCTTTGGTGAGCTGGAGCAGAATAAGTCTGTCGTAAATAAGACTGTCGTTGTAAGCGTAGCGAGGACAGGACGGTAAGATGTACCGCCTGCTAGTGTGCCCACAGTACGTGAGGTAGCCTACGGATAGTAGTTCGACATTGAATCGAAGGACATGACGTATCCCCGGCGAGAGAAGTGCGCTGCAGCGGAACGGACATCGTGAATGATAGAAACGGAAGGATCGGGTGAACATAGGAGTATCCTAGGGTGCGCCCACGTATCACCTAGTTCCTCGTTTATTGAGGAAGTCCTCCGTGAACCAGTCGTCCGATGACCAAGCAGACGACTCGAGATCGGAGAATAACAAGTATCGATGGTCTATGTATAGCGGGTGCAGAGACGCTCTCCTTCCGCTGCGCTTCTTGCTGACCGGACTTGACTTTCTCAATGCGCGGCCGCGTCGCGTCCTCCGCATGGTCGTAGCTGGATGCGCCAGAGTCCGGAGCGTCTGTGACCTCGCGCGAGTACACGGTGCTATTCGGGTCCCGCGGCACGCTGCCCTGACCAGACAGAGGTGAGGTCTGAGGCAGTGCTGAACGTGAAGAGGTCGAAACATTGACGGAGTGAATGCATCATGACTGGAACTGTCGCTGCCACTGCCATCCAAGAACACCTCGGGGTCGGAACAGAAAGGAGATGCAGAAGATGGGGTAGCAAGGAAGCCCTGCGGAGTGTGAACTGGGCCGTCTACCGAGTCAAGCAGAGAGAGAGAGATCAACCAAGGACCCAGTAGACGTTGGTGAGGTAGGGGCAGCAGGATCAGAGGCATAATGCACATCTTGTGGAAATAACACACAGGTTGGCTGGAAACATGTCAAATACCGATCCAAGTAGTTCGGCAGGAAGTGGACATACCGTGTGTTGGCTGTATGGCTGCGGTGAGGCAGATGTATGGTGTCTTTCCCGCCGGACGTACCACAGCCTCTTCGCATCCCGTGTCCGTAGCTGACATTCGGGAACAGCTACCGCCACCGTGGGCTCGAGATCAGGATCCTCAATTTGGGGTGCATTAGGGGCCGAACACAATGCGCATGAGCGACTGGGGGAGCATGTTCCAGCTGGTCACATCGTCCGGAGCACGATCACGAGCCCGCATCAAAGAGTGCACAACAGTGGGGACCGCCGCGGGGGCCTATACGTTGGGGGACTGATGACATCCGCCACAGCGGTAGCTTGTCAGAATACAGACCAGACACATGGATATATCAGATAGAGAATATGCTGACAATGAGACTGACGTACCGGCCGACGGATGGACTGGAGCTCCAAGCTACGGGCCTGAGCAGACATCGCTTGAGGCAACTGGCTCAGGACGTCGACAGCGGTGCGCATGCCACCGCAGCAACACTACAGTGACCCTGTCCGTCCTTGGCTGGCTCTTCGACTGCAGTGGGGACAGTACTAATTCGGCCATGGTGATGTCCTTGACGCTCTGACGCTGTCAGTGGCGTTGGTATGCTTTCTCGGCCTCCCGCTGCCGACAAATGTCTCGGCATCATACCTGTGTAGATGTCGCAGGTCACAATCGTGGGTGGTATGTGGCGCGTGGCACATACAAGAGATACGAAGGTGGTGTCGATACAGTTGAGATTTGGAAGTAGGCCCACCGTGAACGATTCGGCGAGTATAAGAGACAAGTAGGTGAAGGACCTGACCAAAGCTACCTGCTGACACGCCCTATTTATACTACAAGTCGGCTCAGGCACGATCCAATGCCTCCATTCCAAACCTTCTGGCGTGACAGAACCCTACATTCCGTGGCCCGGGAGAGGTCCGTAAAGACAAAATAGACTCGAGGTCAACCGTTAGCCGAGTCATCCAGAAACATCGGAACAATAAGCAGGCAGGGAATATTCCATAGAGACCTGACTGCGAGGTGCCGCTATGACCAGCGAGCACAACAGAGACAGGAGTAAGTAGTCGTATTAGCCTCGGGGAGCCTACCAAATCCCGACGCGGACACTGCACGCGGTCTCGTGATCGCGTCGACTGGCCTGGAATCCCAACTCACGTCGCGACTCTAAGCGACGTCCATGTCCGTGATTCGTGACTATGTGGCACTGGAAGCGCTCTCCAGTAGTCAAAGTTCAACAGCGGTAACGCAGCATCTGTTGGAACTTTATGTTGCCGCGTGCAAGGTAGCCCATATCCTCGCGCGTTTGTCCGCCCACCCCCCGACGCCACCACTGAAACGAGTTCACAACAATAAGCACACAAACGTTCAAGTATCATGCAATTCTGTTGCAGTGAGAGCGGACGCGCACAGCCTAGACTTTGACTTCAACCGTCTCCTGTGGCCACAAACACGTCGCACCGATACTCAGGAGTCAGGACCGAAGGCCGACTCGGGGGGCGGTGGGTGTTGATGGCAGATGTTTGCCGGTCATTCTATTATTTATGCAGCATACAAACGCTTACAAAGCTAGACGTTGTGATGAATGACGATTCAGTTAGATAACACGTCAGCCTATTGTACAACTGGTTATACATAACGGCACAAGTAACAATAAACATGTCACGCTATCCAATCCCCACTTAACATCCACTCGAAACATCGAACGGCTTGTCAAACCATCCTGAAATATCACCATATACAACATCACCAGCACACCCTTTCTTGTGCTCCTTGAGGTGACGACGTAGCGCATCCTTCCGACTGAACAGCCCATCACATCCTCCCACCATCCACAGACCTTTATGCAATACTCGCCGAACAGGCTCCTCCATCTTATACATCCCCGACATCTCCTCCGGCACGCCACAGCACACCCACTCTTTCGTGGACAGTGTGCAGTCATGCGTCTCAAGGTGACGCCGCAGTGCAGCAGGACTGCCCTCTGCAGGAACATGAGAGCATATCGGGCATTCCGCTGAGCCTCCATCGACGAACGCAGCCACGTCAACAGTGGCCTGCTTGTTGCGTGGCGGCGCAAGACGCCGCTTACCGCTTGGTAACAGCGACTCGGTGCTCGAGGACGAGGATGATGAGCGCGATGTCCGCCGTCGAGAATTTGGCAGCTTGCGAGAGTAGGGCGTCTTCCGTGTCGTCTTCTGTACTGATGAACGACGTGCCGGCAATTCGCGGCCCACATTAGAACTGTTCGGAGTGTACGGCGACGTGTACGACGACGAAGGAGAACACGATGAGTAGGATGAGGAGCTATCGAGGGGACTCGGACTGAGGAAGGACGACGGGCTCTCTGGTGAGCCGGAGCAGGAGAGGTCTCCCGTGGAGAAGCCTGTCGTTGAGGGAACACGATGGTAAGACGTAGCTGCCGCGGGTGTGTGTACAGTGTACGGGGTGCCTTGCGCATAACACGTCACCATTGAACCCAACGACATTTTGTATCCTTGAGAACCAATGTCCACGGGCGATGAAGGACCGCCCAGACCAACAGCGATCCAAGGGTCGGTAGCCTCATACATATTGTGTACATCCTGGGCCGACACGTCCCAGCAGTGGGCAGTCCGTGAGGGATATACGAGGGACGGGGAATACGACCTCGGACTGCAGGTCGATCACGAAAGTCAGGGCACAAGCCATTGTCGAGTGACAACCGAACGTACATAAATATTTCGATGTGCGAATGTATGCCGGCAATGGCAGTATGTTTATATCCCGTGTGCGTCTCTTGCACACAGCTTCCACCGAAGACGGGGCCCCTTGCATTGGCTAACGGAGATCCCTCTCGCGGCGCGGGGAAGTTCTCGGTGAACCAATCGTCCGATGGCGAAACAGACGGATCGACGTCCAACCATAGCAGGTCTTGGTCACCTATGTATAGCGTTTTTGTCGCAGCAATGCTAGCTTGAGCGCAGACAGAGAGTGCAGAAGACTGTCCGAGTGGTCCTGAAGACATCGCAGTGGCAGCAGTGGGCAGTCCAAGTGATGCTTGCTGGCTAGTAGCGCAGCACTGGGTCCATCATCGCGCATGCCCTGACATACCTTTATACCCCGAGGGTGCCCAGCCATTGTGTGGATAGCCAGCATGGTCACCGCTGTTGGTGTTTACCTTAAGAGTGAGCCTGGGATGGGAACGTTTCGGTATAAGAACCTCTTCACATTGCGGAGTTTCAAATAGGCGCATGTGCCCGGATGCGACGCCGGTGCTTTTTCCTCAGTCACTGGCTATATCGAGGGATGCGGTAGAAGATATTGTTATAGCCTAGAACGGCTATGCTCGTAGAGTACAGCCTTCTAATTTGCCGACTTAGAGTACCAGTATTAGCCTAGAACTGAGGAGGGCTCAGCTTGGGAGTAGGACCTACGCGGTCACGGGATCGCGATTCGTCTGCGCGATGTTATTGACGTCATATCATAAGTCAATGCACTTAATCTGCCATACCTCTAGAAGTCGTGGCGACAGAAGTCAAAGTGGACCATGATTGAGGAGCAAAAGTAAGGACATTTTGAGCTTACATTATCCAACTGACCTTTTCCCAGAGGCGAATGCAATGTATTACAGAAGAGGTGCCATATTTACCTCACCAACAGTGAGAAGTGACCTTCAAGGCCCTGGCTACAATTTGGCACATCTTGAAAAGACAGAAACATTACAAAAAATGAAATATATAGGTGCACCCGCAAGTCAGGCTACATATTAAAAGCAGAGGTGCGGCCAGGGCAAGCACCGAATTCATGGGATGGGGCTGTACCTCTGGAAGGCTGGATATCGACCAAAGGGGACCTGCAGGTGCATCAGCTATGTCGGACGTTCTTCTGTGCCAGGTACATATTTGGGAAGGATCAAACCTCCGTTCTGCAACACATTTACGCCTCCTTGCTCTTCAACATCTGCCGGAGAATAAGTGCATTCTATAGCTTCAGCTATCGGTTGGGGGGCTTCGCCGGCCATGGTAGCGCGAAGATTGGAGGATTCGCCGAACGTTGGTGAGACACCAAAAAAGTCAAAGGGGTTGAGACAGAAGATGTCCCTCGAGACTACCTCGTCCAGAGAAGAGGTTCTGGTGACGGTGAATAGTGTCATTGAATATGCTGTATAGCGCAGGAAGGGCCTGGTGCTCGCTGTATCGCAGCTGAGGGAACATTTCGTGGTCATCCTGGAATTGTAGCACGTCAGCACCGTGCGGTGATTGTCCAGCAGACAAGAACGTTCATAGCGCAGTGTTCTCTGCTACCTGTAGTCCTGGCACGAGAAACCTTTCAAGGTGCGAATGTGAAGAGACAGCTTTGCAGCGAGAGACATCGTGACTTACCTCATTGAGTCCATATCACATCTGGGTACATATCACATCTAGATTCCTAGCCCATCTGAAGTTCACATCACATCTCCTTCAAGTAAGCCTGGTCGCAATGGGTGTGAAGGAGTGTGGAGCGCCCGAGCCACTCCTGAACACGATCGCGGGATCTCATCAAGTATTCCATTTTGGGAATTGATGCACCGAAAGGTTGGCACAGCAGGAGAAAGCAATGGTCGCTTTCAAGTAGCGCCCAACGTCAGTGCCTTTAATGCAAGGCAATCTCTTGCGCAACACAGGGCGGCAGGCGAATGCTTCGCTATATCGGACCAGATACACTGGCGTCGTCGCTGTAACTGCCCTGCGTCGGACGGACTACTGAGTTCAATTATCTACCTGTCCGGCTCGGAGCGCATCACATGGCATCCTGAGACTCCTCACAGTCTCTTCAAGGAATACAGCAATGGAGACATAGCCAGATGTGAATGTTCTTTGCAGGGTTGACTCATGTGCATGAGTCGGATAAGCAGTGGAACCCTAACCCCAACGATGAACAGCGATCAAGACGTCATTGAGGATGAGCAGGACCTTGCCTGCTCCATCTCGCGACCAGCTATAACTTCGCCCTAGTGGCCCCTCAATCTGTACAACCACCCATACAAACAATTTTCATCTGCGAATATCACTTACGAATCACGATGCCCATCCCGAAGCAAATCATTGAACAGGTCAAGCAGCTCATCCCGCCTCTGAACGGCTCCCTTCACAAGGGCCAGTCAGGCCGCGTAGGTGTACTCGGAGGTGCTCTGGAGTGCGTTTCTGGCAGTTGCACTGTAATGCCTACGTCGCTGAACCCCTCTCCAGCTACACCGGCGCGCCGTTCTTTGCATCCATGTCCGCATTACGCATCGGCGCCGACCTCTCTCACGTCATCTGCTCACCCACCGCGGCCGGCGCGATAAAGTCCTACTCTCCCGACCTGATCGTCCATCCGATCCTCCGCGAGGACCAGTGAGTGCCGCCGCGCTCGCACGCGTCTGCCATCTCTGACCGCGCACAACCGACTCCGCGGGTCCTACGGACGGACACACAGGACGCCCGAGGCCCTACGACCCACCCTCTCCTCCCTGCTCGAGCGCCTCCACGTCTTGATCATTGGCCCCGGTCTGGGGCGCGAAGACTATATGCAGACGTTCGCGAAGCTCGCACTGAACATCGCCAAGGAGCAGGTGAGCTGCCGCAGGCACGCTTTCTGGCGCGTCTCGCAATTTACACCAGTCGTTCAGGACATGTACATCGTCCTCGACGCGGACGCGCTGTGGATGGTCGGCCACGACCTCGCCCTCATTCGGGGCTACCGCAAAGCCGTCCTCACGCCCAACGTGATGGAGTTCAAGCGGCTGAGCGAGAGTGTCGTAAGCGTCTCTCCCACCCATCGTCTCGGAGTCGCTGAAGGAGCTGTCATTCTCATTACCTCCTCCCGTGCAGAAAGTCGACCCCTCTGTGCCTGCCGACGAGCGCGCCATGCGCATCTCACGGGCTCTCGGTGGCATCACGATTCTCGAGAAGGGCAAGGCAGATATCATCGCGACAGACACGGGCAGCTCGGTAAGTATGCCGACCCCCCTTGCATTGATCACGCCACGGAAATGCTGAAATTCCAACTCGTTTTCAGCTCCATGGGCAGGAGTCGACAGAAGAGCAGTTGAGCGTGGACGTCCCCGGGGGGCTGAAGCGGTGCGGTGGCCAAGGCGATATCCTGAGCGGCAACGTCGGTGCTCTGCTCGCGTGGGGTAAATGCTATGAGACGGGGGCCTTTGGGTACGCGGTGTCTTTGCTTTGCGCGCCATACACACGGAAAACTGACACTCGTGCTGTACAGGGACAAGACGTTGTCGATCTCGCGTATCCCGCTGCTTGCGGCGGTCGGCGGCTCGATGGTCACCCGCACTGCGTCCCGACGCGCCTTTGACAAGCAGGGAAGAGGTGTGTATCTTTAAACGGCCCGTGATTTGTATTTGCTTGACATGTCGGATGCTGTCGCAGGTGTTGTCACGCAAGATATGCTCGCCGAGATCGGTAGTGCCTTCGCGGAGACATTCGGCAGCGCGGGGGAGAAGGGCTGGGGATCGTCCGGCGACGCCGGGAAGCTGTAATAAAATGAGTGGGAGGTTGAGGAAGCGTTCACACGTTACGGGTGGGAAGAAGACAGATAAATCAATGTGTAATGTCTACTGTTCTGTTGTATAACATCGGTGATGGTGGAGAGCTTTCGTCTTTTCTTTCAGGAATTGCGTCTCGCAAAGGACTGCACGCGCTGGGACGCGTCAGCACGCCTAGAATTGCTTCAGACGCTGACTTGTACATCGCAGGACTAAACCGGCCGTTCAATTTCGAGCGTGGCGTATCCATTTGCTTGGTGCTTCGATCGGGCCAACGTGATCGGATGCTTCCTCAGAATTGGAACTCGGCTAATAGTCGTTGGCCGTGCGTGTGTTCATTGTCACTTCATGGCACAGGCCATAGCGTTCTTTCGCGGCAGAAAATTTGTACCATTCGTCTTGAATCGCTTTGATGGGTGCCTGACCAGTTTCTTGTATAAATAGAGCCCGCGAGCGAGCAACTTTCCCCAACTCAATGACCCACATCGGGTTTTTTCCTACGCTCTTCCCAATATGCGTTCACTCTCCACTCTAGCGTCTCCGTCGACACCACCTTCGTATCCTCACTACTTACCGTCTGTCAACTTCAGGTCTTTGGCAGCGCTGTGTGGCGTCGCCGGAGGGTGTTCAAAAAGGACGGGTGGATGTCACGCCGCGGTAGGCCCGGGGTTCCTCGTTGCGTACACGAGCAGCGGGCGCGTCTTTCGCGCTTCTGCCTCCCTGGATCCCTTCGCCGGACCAACACCGGACAGCAAGACAATGTCCACACGGCTGGAGGGCCACACGAACCCCCGATCATGCGACACCCTCTATGGTCTGGTCCTGGGACCCCTTCGTGGCGCCAACACAGCAGACCCGAAGACCTCAATATGGATGCAGGTCGCATACGCCGTGAACCATCTGCGCTCCGCTGGACGTCGCGTCTCAGTCGGTGGTGGCTTATGACACGGGGCAGCACCCCTGGTCAGGCGCGGTCCGGTCCTGCACATATCGGGCTCCAAGCCAAACGCGTTATGGGATGGAGCTGCAGGACATTTGGATGAACTGTCGTCCGCGAGCGGGCACTCACACTGTACCAGAGGCCACGGGAGAACGTACATATGCTCCTGTACATGTCGACGAGAGGTGGAAATGTGCTGCAGAACGGAGCTCCAGCGATTCCCGAGTACGTCTCTGGCATAGTAGAATGTCCGACGAAGCTGACATACCTGCAGTCGACACCCAGCAGCGCAGAGCCACTGTCTCGCGCAAATTCGGTGCTCGACGCATCGTTCGCCCATCGGTCATCCCTGCACGCCCCTCGTACTTGCCGATAGCTCCTTGAGCCCACTACCTACTTGCAAGACGACGCAGGCATACTCAGCTTGTGGCTTGTCAGAGCAGCTTAGCGGACCATTGCATTCACCGTCTCCCTTCTTTCATTCAATTCAGAGAGCGACGACAGTGGCGACCTGAATGTTGATGATGATTGCGAGGTTGCGCGGCCACCCTCGATCGCGCCGAGCCTGCTATCGACCTCGTTCACCGTCCCCTCACACCCGCACTCGCCTGCTCCTTCATCCCTTAACCTTATCCGAGAATCCGTCGCCACCAACCATACCGCCGACCTCGCCTTCTCATCCACACTCTCCGATAGTCTGGGATTCTTTAACACTACTCCTATTGTCACCACCATCGCCTCGTCCTGTCCCTCCTCGTCCCCAGCTGCTGTTCACTCAGCTGGCAGGGACAGCGCCACATCCTGTCCTTCTGCGGCCACCAAACGCGCTCGCCTCGCAAGTCTACACTCCAGTCTCCTCTGCAGCTCAAGGAGACATGAGCGCGTAACGAGCAGGGAGACATGCCGTTCGAGGATCTGGACGCGCTGCGACCAGTGGGTTCTCTGGTGTCCTTTCGTAGGCCCTGGGTCCTGCATATACACTATCCAGCAGGGTGCTCGCAGTTTACATTACTACGCTAAGACCCACCGCGAGGATGGCAAATCAGTGTCTGAATTGTGTGATGTATATCAGGACCTCTGAGGTCGCATCGCGCTCTCATGATAGCCCGTTGGTGTGAATGTGCGACATGCAACAAAGAGAGGCTCTGTCATGTCGGCATCGTGATGTTAGGGATACAAACGCGCGAGGAGACGAACTACATACGATCGGTATCTGATCCAATTGGGTCTGCCGCCCTAAACCTCAAATTTAATCAAGTCAGGCCGCAAGCAAATGTGATACCTTGCACGAATTTCTCACTCGAAACAACTGAGAGCTATGCTGCATCTCATCGATTTGGTTCAGTGCGATGCTATGGAAAATGGCTGCGATATGACGTGCAGACTGTGAACGCGATCCCGTGACCGCGTCAGGTTCTACCTGGCTGAGGCTCTCCTTAGTTTCAGGCTATTACGGGTGCTGTGTAGCAGTCTTAAGGCACTAATCTACGGCCATAATTGTCTTGGATTATGACCATATCGACTACCGCACCCTCGGTAGAGCCAGTGGCTGAGGGAAACGCACCGGCATCCGGGCATGATGCAGCGCTCAGGCGCCTATTTGAAACTCCGCAATGTGAAGAGGTTCTTATACCGAAACGTTCCCATCCCAGGCTCACTATTTGGGACACACCAACAGCGGCGACCATGCTGGCTATCCACACAATGGCTGGGCATGCTGGAGGTATAAAGGTATGTCAGGGCATGCGCGATGATGCTTATAGTGTTGCGCTATTAGCCAGCAAGCATCACTTGGACTGCCCACTGCTGCCACTGCGATGTCTTCAGGACGACTCGGACAGTCTTCTGCACTCTCTGTCTGCGCTCAAGCTAGCATTGCTGCGACAAACACGCTATGCACGGGCGATCAGGACCTGCTATGGTTGGACGTCGATCCGTCTGTTTCGCCATCGGACGATTGGTTCACCGAGAACTTCCCCGCGCCGCGAGAGGGATCTCCGTTAGCCAACGTCTTCGGTGGAAGCTGTGTGCAAGAGACGCACACGGGATATAAGCATACTGCCATTGCCGGCATATATCCGCACATCGAAAGATTTATGTACGTTCGGTTGTCACTCGACAATGGCTTGTGCCCTGACTTTCGTGATCGACCTGCAGTCCGAGGTCGTATTCCCCGTCCCCCGTATATCCCTCACGGACTGCCCACTGCTGGGACGTGTCGGCCCAGGATGTACACAAGATGTATGAGGCTACCGACCCTTGGATCGCTGGTGGTCTGGGCGGTCCTTCATCGCCCCTGTACTTTGGTTCTCAAGGATACAACATGTCGTTGGGTTCAATGGTGACGTGTTATGCGCAAGGCACCCCGTACACTGTACACACACCCGCGGCAGCTACGTCTTACCATCGTGTTCCCTCAACGACAGGCTTCTCCACGGGAGACCTCTCCTGCTCCAGCTCACCAGAGAGCCTGTCGTCCTTCCTTAGTCTCAGTCCCCCCGATAGCTCCTCGTCCTACTTGTCGTGTTCTCCTTCGTCGTCGTACACGTCGCCGTATACTCCGAGCAGTTCTGACATGGGCCGCGAATTGCCGGCACGTCGTTCATCAGTACAGAAGACGACACGGAAGACGCCCTACTCTCGCGATCCGCCGAATTCTCGACGGCGGACATCCCACTCATCATCATCATCCCCGTCCTCGAGCACCGACTCGGAGTCAGTGTCGCCCAGCGGTAAGCGGCGTCTTGCGCCGCCACGCAACAAGCAAGCCGCCGTTGACGTGACTGCTTTCATCGATGGGGGCTCAGCGGAATGCCCGATATGCTCTCATGTTCCTGCAGAGGGCAGTCCTGCTGCACTGCGGCGTCACCTTGAGACGCATGACTGCACACTGTCCACGAAAGAGTGGGTGTGCTGTGGCGTGCCGGAGGAGTTGGCAGATGGGTATAACATTCAGAAACCTGCGAAGCGAGTGTTGCATAAAGGTCGGTGGATGGTAGGAGGATGTGAGGGTGTGTTCAGTCGGAAGGATGCGCTACGTCGGCATGTCAAGGAGCACAAGAAAGGGTGTGCTGGTGATGTTGTATATGGTGATACTTCAGGGTGGTTTGACAAGCCGTTCGATGTTTCGAGTGGATGTCAAGTGGGGACTTGATAGCGTGACATATCTATTGTGACCTGTGCCATTATGTATGACCAGCTGTACAATAGGCTGATGTGTTATCTAAATGAATTGACATTTGCGACGATATGCTGCTTGTGTGACTGTTTGTGTGCTACAGAAGACTCGCGTGCGGCTTCGGGTTAACTTCACATGCCCAGCCAACATCTGCTACCAACACCCACCGACCCCTGAGTCGGACTTCGATCGTATGTATCGGTGCGACGCGCTTATAGCCACAGGAGACGGTTGACTTGATCGAAGTCGAGGTCTATGCTGTATGCATCCATTGTCACTGCAACGACGTGCTGTATATGTGAGATACACTGTACAATACTTGGGCGTCCGTGTGCATATTGCTATTCATTAGTGGCGGCGTCGTGGTGGTAGGCGGACAAACACGCGAGGGGTTCCCCGAAACGACAACAGGTGCTGCGTTACTGCTGTTGACGACTAGAGAGAGACTCCAATGCGATATAATCACGATTCCGGAACAAGGACGTCGCTCAGAGTCGCCGCGTCGCGACGCGAGTTGGGACTTCAGCCCGCCGGTCGACGCGATCACGAGACCGCGTGCAGTGTCCGCGTCGGGATTTGGTAGGCTCCCCGAGGCTAATGCGACTACTTACTCCTGTCTCTGTTGTGCTCGCTGGTCATAGCGGCACCTCGCAGTCAGGTCTCTATGGAATATTCCCTGCGTGCTTATTGTTCCGATGTTTCTGGATGACTCGGCCAACCTTTGACCTTGAATCTATTGTGTCTCCACGGATCTCTCCCGGGCCACGGAATGTAGAGTTCTGCCACGCCAGAAGGTTTGGAATGGAAGCATTGTATGGTGCCTGGACCGACTCGTAGTATAAATAGGGCGTGTCATCAGGCAGCTTTGGTCAGGCCTCACCTACTCGTCTCTTTCACTCGCCGAATCGTGCACAATGGGCCTACTTCCAAATTTTGACTCCATCGACACCACCTTCGTATCTTCTGTACACACCAAGTGTCGCTCACGACGATGACCTGCGACGCCCACAACTGGATGATGCCGAGTCATTCATCGGCAGCGGAAGGCGGATAGGGCATACCAACGCCAGCGTCAGAGCATCGAGGACATCACCATGGACCTAATGGCCGAATTCGTACTGTCCTCACTGCACTCGGAAGGCCAGTCAAGGAGGGACAGACGGTGGCTGCGGTGGTATGCGTACCGGGTGGTCTCAGCACATGGGAGGTCATCCGCAAGGCGTATTCATTATCAACGTCTATAGCCAATATCACGCTACCATCACTGTCGCCGACGTATTCAGTCAGCTGGCACAAGGGATATCCGCACAGGTCGGTACGTCAATCTCGTTGCCAGCATATTCTATATCTGACATGGGTCATTACCTGGTCTCAAGATGAGGCTGTCCTCGACGGTTCATTCTCTTTGGATCCTATCGACGTTCTTGGAGTTCCGCAGACCTATGATTACTTCGACATTCCGGACCTCTTCTTCTTTGAGGATCTTTGTCCGGAGTCCACCTCCGAGGTCATTGTCTCCGGAATATCACCTACGCACATGGGAGCCTTAGAAGCGACAGCAGCTCCGCCGGAGAAAGGCAACATGACTTCACCTCAACACATTTCTGAAGCCGACACGCAGTATGTGCACTTCCGATCGGATTACTAACATAAGTATCTGACATGTTACCAGCTATTCTGAGCCCTATTCTCCCCTGCTGTCTCCCGGTCTCATCGATGCAGTATCCGTCCCCGCATACTATCCACAGGATGTGCACTACGCTTACGATCCTGTTTCTTTTGCCCCGCTGACTGTATACGGCATTACCGGGCCTTAGCCGAGCTCTCTCTGCTCGACTCGGGGAACATTACGCCGTACACTCCACACCTCGCCGTTCCTAGCACATCTCCACCGACTCCCTTCTCTTCCGACTCGGAAGTTCTTACAGACAGCAGCAGCGAGAGCTCCGGCGACGATGAATCTAGTCTGTCGAGCTCACCTAGTGTCCACACGATGTTAACCCTTTCTTCTACATCGGCGTCACCTTTGCGTTCGTCTTCTTCTCGCTCGCCTCCGCGCGTGCACATGCGGCGGAAGTCCCCCTACACGCGCGATCATCCCCGAAGGTCATCAAAGAAAGGGAGATCTTACTCGCCTCCTACGCCTGCAAACACTCCCAGACGTACGAAGCTGAGGAACATACAGACCAACTATTCCTTCCACCAACTCGAGGCGATGATCGCAAAGGGCTCGTGCCGGTGTCCGGTCGATGATCGTTCATTCACGCCGGCGAGTGAAAAGCGACACGATCTGTTGCGCCACATCAAGACGCATTGCGAGGACAAGGGCGAAGTGTGGGTGTGTTGCGGTTCGGCGCAGTCTTGTCGCGTCGCTGGCACGTGCAAGCCATTCGAGTACGGGGGCCAGATGAGAGTGGGTGGTGGGTGTCTGCTGTCGTTCAGTCAGCAAGATGCTCTGGGGCGCCATGTGAGGGACAGCAAGAAGTGCGTGTGGGGTTCTGGCTAGAGACTGGTCTCGATTATCTCTATTTCTTTCTGACTCGTTTCCATCTGACACGGCACGGGCTGGCCATGGTCAGGATGTAAAGGACGTTCCTGCAACAACGGGCCTCTCTACGAGAGACTTGTCCTGCTCCAGCTCACCAGAGAGCCCTTCGTCCTTCCTTAGTCTCAGTCCCCCCGATAGCTCCTCGTCTTACTCCTCATGCTCTCCTTCGTTGTCGTACACGCCGCCGTATACTCCGAGCAGCTTTGATGTGGGCCGCGAATTGCCGGCACGTCGTTCATCAGTACAGAAGAAGACACGGAAGACGCCCTACTCTCGCGATCCGCCAAGTTCTCGACGGCGGACATCCCACTCATCATCATCATCCCCGTCCTCGAGCACCGACTCGAAGTCAGTGTCGCCCAGCGGTAAGCGGCGTCTTGCGCCTCCACGCAACAAGCAAGCCGCCGTTGACGTGACTGCGTTCGTCGACGGGGGCTTAGCGGAGTGCCCGATATGCGTGCAGAGGGCAGTCCTGCTACACTGCGGCGTCATCTTGATACGCATGACTGCACACTGTCCGTGAAAGAGTGGGTGTGCTGTGGCGCGCCGGATCAGATGGCGGGTGGGTATAAAATCAAGAAGCCTGCGAAGCGAGTGCTGCGTCGGCACCTCAAAGAGCATAATAAAGGGTGTGCTGGTGATGTTCTTGGTGATATTTCAGGATGGTTTGACAAACCATTCAATATTTCGAGTGGATGCAAAGTGGAGATTGGATAGCGTTACATGTTTATTGTTATTTGTGTTATTATGTATGGCCAGCTGTACCATAGGCTGATGTGTTATCTAAATGAATCGTCATTTATCACAACGTCTAGCTTTTTAAGCGTTTGTATGCTGCATATATAATAGAATGACCAGCAAACATTTGCTACCAACACCCACCGCCCCCCGAGTCGGCCTTCGATCCTGACTCCTGAGTATCGGTGCGACGTGCTTGTGGCCGCAGGAGACCTGATCGAAGTCAAAGTCTAGGCTGTATGCGTCCGCTCTCACTGAAACGGAATTTCACGATACTTGGACGTTTGTGTGCTTATTGTTGTTGATTAGTGGCAGCGTGGTGGTGGTAGGCGGACAAAGGCGCGAGGATATGGGCTACCTCGCGACAACGTAAAGTTCCAACAGGGCCCACGCTACTGCTGCTGAAGACTGGAGAGAGCTTCCAACGCGATATAATCACTATCCCGGAGCACGGACGTCGCTCAGAGTCGCGACGCGAGTTGGGACTTCAGGCCGGTCGACGCGATCACGAGACCGCGTGCAGTGTCCACGGGATTCCCGGGTTGTAGGGCGCCCTAGGCGGCTGATGCGAACGTTCCTGTCGCCATTGTGCTCGCTGCTCATAGCGGCACCTCGCATTCAGGTCTCTATGGAATATTCCCTGCGTGCTTATTGTTGCGATGTTTCTGGATGACTCGGCTGATGGTCGACCTTGGATCTATTGTCTTCACGGATCTCTCTCGGGCCACGGAATGCAGGGTTCTTTCACTCCAGAAGGTTTGGAATGGAAGCATCGAATCGTGCCTGGACCGACTCGTAGTATAAATAGACGGCGTCAGCAAGCAGTTCTGGTCAGGTTCCTCACCTACTCGTCTCTTCCACTCGCCGAATCGTTCACAATGGGCCTGCTTCCTAATCTCAGCTCTATCGACACCACCTTCGTATCTTCTGTACACACCAAATGTTGCCCACGACTATGATTCACGACGTTCACAGTGGGACAATGCCGTAGCATTCATCGGCAGCTGGAAACGCCAGCTTCAGAGCATCAAGGACACCACCGTGGACCTGATGGTCGAATCCGTACTATCTCCCCTGCACTCGGAAGGCCAATCAAGGAGGGACAGACGGCGGCTATTGTGGCATGCGTATTGCTTTGGGCGGGTGGTCCCAGTACATGGGAGATCGCCTCTGCATTGGATGCATCCGCAAGGCGTTTTCATCATCCGCGTCTGCAACAAATATGACGCTATTATCACTGTCGCAGATGTCCTCAGCCAGTTTGCCCAAGGGATGACCGCATAGGCCAGGCATCACTTGGACTGCCCGCCGCTGCCACTGCAATGTCTGCAGGGCGATTCGGACAGTCTGGTGTACTCCGAATCCCAGTCTCTGTTCAGGACAGCATCGCCGCAGCGCGCACGCTATACACAGATGGTCTCGATCGATCAGAACCCGCTATGCTTGGATGTCGAGCCGTCTGTTTCGTGGTCGGACGAGTGGTTCACGGACAATTTCCCCGAACCCAAAGGAGAACCTCCGGTGGTAGCCAATGCAGCTGGTCCCGTCTTCGGTGGGAGCTGGGCGCACGAGGCGCACATAGGATTTGGGCATACTGCCAGCCCCAACATGCATCCGTGCATCGGAAGATACATGTACGTTCGGTTGCCACTCAACAATGGCTCGTGTCCTGACGGATTTTCAGTCCGAGCCCGTCTTCCTCACAGTCACGATCTGCTCACCCTTCCTTCGCCATATCCATGCAATCGACTGCCCACATCTGGGCTGTGTCGGCCCCGAACGTACACGAGATGTATGAGGCGCGGGATATCCATTGACTGGCTCACGGCGGTGCTGCTGCGGTGGCATCTGTATCGCTTTGAGCGGGTTGTCTCAGCACATCTGTTGCTCTTCCAACAAGGCAGGCCGTACGCATCGGTCGAAATGAGAACATCGAGGCATTCAAGGCGCTACTGCTCCAGCGAAGCCGTATCCTGATATCGAGAACGGGTAATGTGGGCAAGAAGGCGATCGCGCTCGCGATGCTCCATCACCCAGAAGTCGCCTCCGCCTTGCCGGCTCGCTATTCTGTCTCTGAGGCTATCACAGACCTCGAAGCATTCCGACTCCAATTGGTCGATTCAATGGGTGTCCCGCCGCAGATGCGAGGCCAACAGCTGCTTGCAGGTAGCCTTCAAACGCCGCGCGCTGGTCCATCTGTCCTTTGCATAGAAAACTTCGAAACGCTCTGGGAGCCACCCCAGTCTCGCTAGGACGTCGAGGATGATTGGGCGCAGCTAGCAGGCGTGGATGAGGTCATACTGACCATCCCCATATGATGCCTCCTGGACGCTCAACTCCGCGCCGCGCAGTCGAGCGTCGAGGAGGCATCATATGGAAGATCGCCTCTGCATTAGGGAATGGCCGTGAGGTCTACCCGTCTCATGCTTAGTAGTGGATGAGCTCGCGGATGCATCGAGGTTCGAGTCGACCGGTACGTGATTCTGGTTTGCGGTATACTCTATATTTGACATCTGTTTGGTCTGTATTCTGATAGGCTCTCCCAGTGGGCGATGTCATCATAGTCCCATTACATTTCAGGCAGATGGACCTCGCGGCGGTCCCCATGTGGCGCACTTCTCGATGCGGACCCGTGATCGTGCATTCGTATTTCATCGGATATCTGTGCGTTTACCTATAATTGGTCTAGACATGCGTCCTAACGAATTTTTAGAAGCCTAGAACGAGCCCGCATTCAATGACGTCTGTGCAACGCTCACTGGTCGACTCCACTCACGTTTCCTGCTGTGTTCGATACAATCACCCCCTAATTAGAAAGTTTCGTCTTCTAGCAGACATATCTCAGGGCGCGGATCTTTCGGTCTCCGTTTTTAATTTTAGGCGTTCAGTCCCAGGTGGCGATGCAATGTTGAATGTCTATCTGCAGGCCATCCCACCTGCTGCAAACATGCTAACAGCTAGAGGTTGTAGGGGCATCTTTAGTCGGAAACATTCGCTAGTTTGACAGCTCAAGAAGAGCAAGGAGTCGTGTACTGGCTATCTCGTTCAGAGTGAGGTCTGAGGCGGCTTTGACAAACCCATCTTAGCTGCTTCCAGTCTGTCCTCGGGTGGTACACGGCATTTCTTATACACTTCGCCTACTTTGTGTGACTGCCTATTGGTTACATGGAAACCCTCCCCAAATAAAATATGATGCTCGAATATTTATTCACAGGCGGATGTAGCGTCGTCGATATCCCCCCTAGTGTGACGGACAAGCGGGGTCGCATTACGATCCAGGCCGAGCGTCTAATGGTCAGCATTATGTTAAGATAGGTCATAGGTCTGTGTGCAATTCTTCTCTTCAGTGCTCCATGATTTTGCGAAATCGAGTGGGACTTGCCCACACCTAATCTAGATCGGATGCGAACTATTTCTGGGTGTCGTATAAGAAAGGTTGAAATGCAACGATGAATCTACATGGAACAGGGTATAGAGAAAAAACAGTAATACATATGAGCAACGATGCTAAAAGTCTAGTTCAATCTCGACCTAAGAAGGGGGTGAGCACGCATTCGTGAGCTCAAAATCAGTAATACAGACTTCGGACAGGCGCGCGGTGAACCTCTGTTGGACATCCTGGTGACAGGCCTTCAACCTCTCGAACTTCTCTGCTCGACACTTGCTGCACGGGTCCTTATGCGCCGCGAGCCGAACGCGTGTGTTGCTAAACAGTATTTGCCACACTTCAGAGTCACCGCAAGCTTTCTCAGCGAGCAGCTGCGCGAGATCCGCCTGGTATGCCTGGAGATCGAACGGCGCATTTGGCACGTAGTTCTGTACGTGGTGTCCACCGAGTTCCGAGCCACGCTGTAGGCAGATATGGTGTGTGAGGAGGATTCGTGGATCTTCCTGCTCCAGCCAGAACGCTGCTTCTGCGGCGAAGCGCCGCGCGAATTCATCTGCTCGGGAGCGGTACACCAAGAGCGCGTGGTATGGAGCAGCTGGGAGCCTCCAGAGAACGGCGGGTGTTTCTGTACCGGGAGGCGCGGAGAAGCGTAGAGTTGCCTTCGCTGCTGCGCAAGTTACTTCGCGCAGCCTAAGACAGTATGCAATAGCGTAGACGACGAACGGGTCGGCGTCCACGAATGCTAGAAGCGCCTTCTGAGTGATAGACATCGCCTCTTCCATGTCGTACTTGCGCGCAGCTTCGAACACCAGGCCGGCGTCTTCTGAATCGGCGAATGCGGGGTCGGGTATCGGGTAGATGATGCGCAGTAGCAAGTCCAGGGTGCGGGATGGCTCCGTGAAGTGAAGGATTGGTACACCGTCCACGGCCTCGAATGACTCTGCCGGGGGCTGAGGGAGGCCGAACATAGCTTCAAAGACAGGGGTCGCTTCGGCGAGAATGGCTTTGTGCACTCTGAAGTCGACTCCGTCAACGGAGCGCAACACTATGTCAGCCGTCTGTTTGTTGAAAGGGGGGGATGCTTGGGAAGACATAGCGCATGCGGTGAAAGTCGATAGGCCGAGGGGAAAGGGTATTGAAGTTGTCGGGAGGTCGGCAGTAGGTCATGGCGGAGGACTATATGGGATGGCCGTGTTTATCATTGTTAAGATCGACGGACTATCGGCGCTCGATCGACTCGATCATTCTGCGGAAGCAAAGGGCGGGAGCGGATGTATAGGCACTCACCGCATTATTCCGCATCCAAGTAGCAGGAATCAGTGAGACGCCGAATGTCCGAAGCGGAGATTCAAACTATGAAATCCGGGATGCGAATTTTGCTGACCCAAGCGCTGAAGGATTCGCCTCTGACTTATCGACAGGGGCTCAAATTCGTAGACATGCGCGGATGATATATCCAAGAAGTCTGAAATTGACTAGAATCAAAACGGAGCATATCCAACGTGTACAACCATCTGAATATCTCATTGAAAGTGTAGGTCAGCGGAGAAAGTGGTCTTTCAAAGCAGGCCTTGTATATGAAATGGCGTTGTCCTGGGGTCTTCCTAGCTCTTCGCTTTTCTGTAGCCATGTTAGGAGAATCACGTCTAACATAATGAGCACGCACCTTCACCAGTCAAAAGCCAAGTGAGAGTTCGACCTATTCTCAGATAAGTGTCAGGAAATATTGCGATAGCAATATGCTTTCTTACCTCATCCAACCTCTGATTGAGTGCAGCCAAGACATCGCGATGAAAAGTTCCCAGCAACAAGATTAGATCGTATTGGCAATCCTTACAAGGATGTTGCTCTGCAGCCACTCGAACCAACGACCTGACCAGTGAGTCGGGATCATCTGGGTCGTCATTATGGAACTTGTCTTGTAGGTGCCCTTGAAGGTCATGGCGATAAACGTCGAGGTTGACAGTATCACAGTCACCATGTGGATCGCAGCGGTAACAGGGGGTATATAATGGTCCTCGTAGGCCTTCCAGTTCATTGTCAGCCATACCCTCATTGTTCTCGCCAAAGCGGTGCATAATTCTCTGGCATTCGGTACGATACTCCATGAGTACCCACAAAGCCTTCGCAGGGAATGTTTCGATCCGAGCGACAGGGAAATCCTTGGGTAGCTCGCTGAAGCGCCGAGCGGATTTGGCAATGAGGCGGGTCTCGTGGGAGAGTCTGAAACGGTAGGCGATGGCGAAAACAGTGAAGGGATCACTTTTCAAGAAGTTGGGTTGGACAAGGGTCTTCGCACACAGCTCCCGTGCCACTTCTACCTCGTATTTGATCGCCGCTTCCATCACAGGGATGATCTGCAATGCGTCGGTGAAGACAGGGTCGGCGACGGGATAACAAATTCGGAGTAACTTGTCTAATATCTGACTATCCTCTGTAAACTAGACCACTGGTAGCCCGTCTACGTCTTCTGTCTCCTGAGGTGGCGGTTGCGGAAGAGTGAAGAGTGTCTCGAAGACCGATGATGCCTCGGACAGGATGAGCTTGTGTACGCGGAAGATAACTTCATCGCACGAGCGAAGTATGACATCCGCAGTGGGCCTATTGAACGGCGAGGCAGCTTGTTTCGTCACGGACATGGCACCTTGCAAGTCGCCGAGGACGATGTCGCGGCCATCTGAGATCCCTGACCATATTTGCTCCTATTTGTTCTTTGTGGCGCCATGCCACCTCGTACTCGGACTCGTCAAGTCTCAGCTTCAAGTTGTTCTCCTCTTTGCAGTCTTCACTTACAATATTGCATCGTGTGGAGCTATGACAAGGGGACTTGGCGCATTCCGCAAGCTGCCAGTGACAGCGCCACAAGGCGACAGCTTGCTTTTGTTTCAGAATCCCCATGCCATTGCAAACTCGGACCCTACACCAACAACCCTTCCTCTCTATTGTATTTAGTGCACACATACGCGGAATGTGACCGCGAGATTGCGTAGTATTGTGGCCTTGAGAGACCAATATAACGATAGCAATACTGGGTCCCGCGATTTTGGCACGTCTGACACTTTCTCCCCCCCAACGAGAAGGCTACCCTCGCGAAGAACGTAACTCCTTCTATTTGGGGGTTTAGACCTTTCTTCGAAACTCCCACGGTTCCGAAGAGCAATGGGATACCATCATTACTGCTTCGCGTTCTTAAGGCACTAGTGGTTCCGCCTATTCGGCTTGCAGGTGATCCGTGATAAAAAAGCAGCCGTCGCCTGGGTACATCAGTTAAAGTACTCAAGTTCGCGGACCCATGGACTCGAAGTATGCGGTGAGCACGAAATGCATTCCGGATTGACGCCCCGTTGCTAATGCAGAACTCCAGCTTACTGTGTCTTCTTCCTTGCGGTTACTCATATGCGTCCCCTCCTAGAGCCTTCTGCTTAGCTATCGCTTCACTCCTCAACTATGCTCAAACTCGTGCGGATGTACTTCTGTCCAGCACCGCAGCAGACACACACTCGAGCCACAAGAATATCGTACTGGACATCAAAGAGTCGGTAGTGTCTGCAATTGTCATGATCTCCGCGTTACGTGCCGAGTTCTGCGCTGCTGCCATTGTACACGGAGTCGGTCCCGGTGACCTCTGGGCCAAAGTCAATGAGACGTTTTCAGACGTACTGGCGGCATCGCGGACAGAATTCCTTCATGCGAGCACCGGCGCCGGGCACGCAGAGAGGGAACTACGAGTCAGATCGCTCTTGACGCGCTTATGCAATGAAACGCAGCGGGTGGGTGTAGGCCTTGGACTTTCTGAGGCAAGATTAGAGGCGCAGCTGCACGCGCTCTCTGTCTTGCTCCGACGTGTAATCATCACGATAGGTTCGCACATCCTCCGTGGTGTTCATCATATGCAGTCACTCAGTCTTGTCTATCTCTAGGCGACCTAGCCTTAGCGGAGCAGCATTCTGCCATAATCGAAATCGTGCTCGTCGCTAGCATGCTCATCTTCGCGTCGGAGCTGAAGTCTCTCAGACTCATCCTTCGCGTGCTCAAAGTGATATACAAGAAAGGTGAGGTTAGCTTGCCTGTGGCGAGTCCCTCAGTCTCGTTGACGGGCTCTCCATTGGTACCCAGAGTCTTTGGCTACGTGGGCGCAGCATGCCTTATTTGGCATGAGCGTCAACAACGAGGATGTCTTATTGCGCTTGCGCAGGGCGGGAATTCCTATCCGAGTCATCAGAGGTGCGGGAAGGAATGGCGGAGTCAGAGTGGTGCCAGATGCTCGCCTTCTAGTCAAATTTCTGAAGCTGAAGTCGAAACTGTAGTTTTCACTTCACGAGCAGAGCTATCATGGTGTGTCTCCGTCCATTCTCGTGGCAGTAAAATGAGATCGGTTTGACACATTGCTTGCAGTCGTCAGGAAGCGCGGCAAATCTTTGAATTCATTTGACCAGTTCAATAACGTGCACAAACTCAAATTCCTGGGTCTGGCAATTGGTAAACGGCCAGCACGTAGTGTGCAAAGCCACTGATACACACGTTTCGTGGTGTCTTACAAGACAGGAAACGGTGCTATGCGGTATTCAGCCAACAATTGATCGATGAGTATTCCTCGAAACCTCAAGAGCGTGTATATGAACGCTCGCACCGGTTCGGCAATGAATCGGCAGGCTGAAGGGCATCCTCGAAGAAGTCATGTGGAAAGATCTACAGGTATCTCACAGAAGTTCACACGGTGAGGGCTGTACAGGGGTATCTCACCAATCGGGACCAATACAATACACCATGGAAAGGTGACAAATTTACTGACAGAGCTTATGCGGAACCCACCTTCGGCGGCCAGGAGAAGATCACGAGTTCATTCATCTCACCTTGGCTCTGAGGACGTAGCTTTGTCTTCACGCAAACCCTGCCTTATACGGAGCCTAGTGCTCACATGACAAGCGTGATTGGCTGACAAGAGGTATTCAACGTCATCCGATGTCCGATCTGAATTGAATGCTTACATCCTTCATAGCTACTTCGATACATCTGGATTCTGCATGCGGTTGGGAGAGCATCTCTCTAAAGAATACTGGAAGGCTACCGTGATGCCGAATGACAGGCCACTAGGTCGTAAGCGCACATCTCTCGGGGACTCGGGGACCGCAGGAAGTTCAGTTAAGTTTCGATTTTTCACGGAAGCCCGATCGATCTTTGATTGATAGACACGGACTCTGAAAGATCTGAAGATCCTGCTTTTGAACTCTTCGGAGCCGTGCAAGTTCGCACTATCCTACGCATAAAGAGAATACAATACACCAGACCCCACACGGATCTCGTCCCTGCGCCGCAGATAAAGTGCTGGCGGCGTGGGTATCCTCGCACACTGCTCCAAGTCAGGGCAATATGATCAGCGTTCTCAGCTGCAAAATCTGTCGTTTAACATCCAGTGGCGTACCGAACATGCAGGCCAGTTCCCCAAAAACCAGGCACACTCTCAGTCAAGCCGAGATATTGCCCTCGCCCTCAAACACAGCCGCCGGCGCCATTAGCTTGGTATTTCCCACTGAAGATATTCCTGGCTCACAGGCCCTCGCGACAATGTTTATCCATTGCCCTCTTCTCAGATGTCCTGGCTGCTCCAGCCTGCCCGTTCTCCTCATTAAAGAAGGAAACAATCTGGTGGAGCCGTACGGTCAAGAGGACAGGTGAAATCTTCATGCACACGAAGACTCTCGTAGTGCACGCATTTCACTTGGCAATAGTCTAGCGGGGAGGTTTACAGCTCCTCGTGAGAGATTTGGAGATCAGGTATGTAGATATGCATGTCATGCAATGTTCCGAGAGAGATGGCTGACTGAATTCTGGCTTCGGACTTAGGATATCGTTCTTCAGACTCTTCCCTTGCATAAAGGCTCCTCCCACATACCCACCCCTCGGATGCCCTCCCACAACATTTGCGTCCCCTCTTTATTCCAGCCATACCGTCATGACTGCACGCACAGCTACAGAGAAAGCTTCGAGCACATCGGCACCGACTTCTATGGGATCACTGAAGGAGGATATTTGTGTGAAGATCGAACAAGACGAAATCGAAGAAATTGTCGAGGTGAATTTGTACAACGCCCACATCGACGTGAGCGGCGTCGACGAGCGCAAGCTCATCCGGAAGATTGACTGGCGTCTGGTCCCTTGGCTCTCTTTCCTCTTCCTCTTGAGCTTTTTAGATAGGACGGCTGTCGGTAATGCCAGGGTGCGTCTTGGTATATTTTCCGTTACGCGCTGTTAACGAAGGCAGTGTTACAGCTCTATGGGATGGAAGCAGATTTGCATATTACCGACCAACAGTATCTGATCGCCCTAACCGTATTCTATTTCCCCTATGCCGTCTTCGAGGTGAGATGAACCATCTTGCATTGCTTGAGAACACGAAGCTTATCAACCACCCCAAGGTTCCATCCAATGTGGTGCTAAAGAAGTTGCGCCCGTCGAGATGGCTATCAATTCTTATGCTTGCCTGGGGTGTCGTGATGGTTCGTTGACCAAAACTACTTGTGGTTCATTTACCTACGTGGCGCAGACATGTCAAGGCCTCGTTCGGAACAACGCTGGCTTCATCAGTGCGTAATTTGAATTTCAGAGGGACCTCCGAAGCGTCATGTTTAGAAGTTCTTCTACGTGCTTCTCTGTATGAGGGCTGACTGAGTGCCTCTTTCAGTAATCCGATGGTTCCTTGGTGCCACCGAGGCCGGTCTGTTCCCCGGTGTGACCTATCTCTTATCCTGGTACGACTTTTGCCTCGCTTAGCGCAAGATACAAGCATTAAACAACCCTACTTTAGCTGGTATAAACGATCAGAGTTTGGCTTCCGTGCAGCTGTCTTCTTCTCGATGGCCACCATTGCCGGAGCCTTCGGCGGTCTTCTTGCTGTAAGTGGCAACTACTATGGAATGAATGAGTATCTTTGTAGTATGAACTGTACGTTCCGCAGGCGGGTCTATCCCAGATGGCGGGCATCGGCGGTAAGCCCGGGTGGTCATGGATCTTCATCATCGAAGGGCTCGCCACAATTGTGGCGGGGGCGTTCTCCTTCTGGCTCGTCGAGGACTTCCCAGACACGGCCACATTCCTCACGGAGGCAGAGCGCACATTTGTCGTGCGGCGCTTACAGGAGGACGGCCAATTCAGTGCCGCGGGCGAGAAGTTGCGCTTGAAATCGATCATCAAGAGCTTGGTGGACTGGAAGACCTACGTCGGGAGTGCGTGCTTATGGTCTGCCGTACGGCGTGCATAGTACTAATGTTTCGTTGAGTAGTGATTATATACGCAGGTAGCGAAGGTCCGATGAACGCAATTGCACTGTTTCTCCCTAGTATCGTTGCTCAGGTGAGTTAGCGTCAGGTGCACCCGGGCTCGCTTCTGATCCATGCTTCTCCACTCAGCTTGGCTACACCGCGACGCCGGCCAACCTCCTCACTGTGCCCGTGTATGTCGTCGCATGCATAGGCACCTGTCTAGTTGGGTATCTCGCCGATCGTTATGGCGGCAGAGGCTATTTCAACATGTATGACGCCCAGCACTTCGCACCATGTCCCAGCGCATGCTAACATGAACATCGGCCTAGCGGCTGCTTCGTCCTCAGCGGCAGCGGCTTCGTTATCCTGATTTGTTCGCGAAGCGCGGGACTGTCGTACTTCGCGTGCTACCTCGCCGCGTGTGGCGTGTACCCGACGATTCCGAACCTCGTTGCGTGGATGTCGAGCAACGTTGAGGGGTCGTACAAGCGCAGCGTCACGCTCGGCATGGTCATGAGCTTCGGCAACGTGCAGGGTGCGGTCTCGTCCAACGTGGTACGTCGCGTGTTTGGATAGTGTGGATGTGGCGTTGGCTGACTCGGATGTAGTATCGTGCCCAGAATGCACCGTGGTATACCATGGGCCACGGCATCCTCCTGATTTACATCGGTGTTGGTGCCCTCAGCTCGATCGCATTCATTTTGTGCCTTCAAAGGGAGAACAAAAAGCGTGATCGGGGCGAGCGCGACGAGGTCATGAAGGGCATGAACGAAGACAGGGTTGACCTGGTGAAGAATGGGGTCTTTGTGAATATAGACGAGGCAAGGCGCGAGAAGGGTGATGACTGGAGCAAGTTTCGTTACCGCTGGTGAAACAATGTGAAGCCGGCTTATGTGCTGGCAGAGTTTCGCTGGAGTTGTAGCTTTATCTCTTTTGTATCATATAGGCGGCGGAGATTTCGTTCCGGGATTAACACCCGTCATACGTGACCGACATTGATGTAAACGGATGATGTTACGAGAGCTGCGCTGCATGATGCTCTGAACGAAATGGGCATGTCTCGCAAACTGCGAACTTATCAAGTAGCAAGAATCCGCACAGTGACGGAAGTTGATACTTACTTCGCAGGTAACGTGCCTGGTGTGATAAATGAAAATGACAACGCAAACCAGGTCCCAGACGGACCTGGGCACGGACGTCATGCAGCACCTGAAGACAGTAAACAGAGGATCGGGAACAGAGCGCACGAAGGCCATTCGGTGCTCACCCGCGCTGGCAGTGAGCTCTTCCTTGGACTCAACGTCGCAAATCACTCCAACATGTACATCATCGCGGTGAGCTCACTGTTGCCGCGGATAACCGTCACACCGTTGGGCTCGGACTCTCGCTGACGTCGAGAACGCGGGCCCTAACCCTTTTGGAGCTGAGCATTTGCCGGCCGATCGGCACTTCGGTACGGTTGTACGATCGAGATGTTCGCTGACTTCTGATCTCGGGGATATATAATCAATGGCGCAAGACGCTTTGAAAAGTAGTGAAACATCCGCATTCGCCCTCGTCGTATCGCGGTCTCATGGGGGGTTTGCCGGTGTATGTTGTGCGAACCACACATAACAGATTGGCTGCGTCCATCATGTGTGCTGCCTATAAATTCGCAGCAATTAGCAATCAGAGCGCACTGGGTATACGTACATGCGCTTGGGCATAAGATGGATGCCAAGACGGGGTAACAATTTGAGTGATTGCCCCACAACACGTGATCGGGTGCCGTGTACGATCGCAATCTCGACTTCCCCATTACCATCCTCAGTACGAGACATTCTTCTTGCACTCCGACCCCATTCCCGAAAAGAAGGTCAGAAAGGGATGCTCTAACACACATGGTGCTTATGAGGCATATGCAAACCATTTTCAGCCTACATGCTGGCACGCAAGAGGGGACGTTGTAGCCGGAGAACGCATTTGCCAGGCGCTACCCCCCTTGCCAAGACATTTCTCCCCCCGGATGCGGGGTAGCCTGGGGCACTACTGGCCGATAAACGACCCCATGATGCTCTCGGCTCATTTTTATCACTGGGCTGGCACCGATGCCAGACGAAAAACGAGCCACGGCGCTGACTTATAAGATAGGAAAAAGCGAAGACGTACATGTTCTTTCCTGAGCATCCTGCAGCGATCCAACCCACCTACGCTTTTTACGAATTTTACGCCAAACGGGATGTCGCATACCGAGTCGGATCCGGAGAAGGCCACCGCACGGTCCTCGTCGCCGTCGTCGGCGCAGGACTCAGAGGAAAAGGGCCGCGCGACACATATAGAACAGAGTGCCACGCCTGGAAAGCTAAATCCAGGGCTGTATAACCCCGACGTCGATATCAGCGGAGTCGATGAACGGAAGCTGCTTAGGAAACTGGACTGGCATTTGGTCCCATGGCTGTCATTCTTGTACCTGCTGAGTTTCCTGGATCGTACGAGCATTGGGAACGCGAGGGTGAGCGGTGCATTGCTTACGTGGCAGAACTGCACTCATGACGAGTCTCTTGGGATAGCTTTACGGGATGGAGGAGGATCTGCATATATCCGATAAACAATATCTGATAGCACTCACCATCTTCTTCTTTCCATACGCACTTTTTGAGGTGAGCATAATCGTGGTGTGTGGACACGTTCGAGAGCTTGACAATATCCAGGTCCCATCGAATGTATTCCTCAAAAGATTGCGCCCATCCGTATGGCTCTCGTTCCTCATGTTCGCATGGGGGATCATGATGGTGCGCCAGCCCACAACCATACCCATATCAGTGTCTCACCTATGTGTGTAGACCGTGCAAGGCCTTGTACACAATTATGGTGGTCTGCTAGGTGAGTGATAATAAATGTGCTACGTGCGGATGCAATTATCGATACCGGGCTCAAATAGGAACGCGATGGATGCTCGGCACATTTGAGGCTGGTCTCTATCCTGGAGTCAACTACTACCTGTCATGGTAAGCAACGCTCAACTTGTACCGATGTTCTTACTTAGTTGCCTCTTCAGTTGGTACAAGCGGTCCGAGTTCGGGCTTCGCGCAGCTATCTTCTTCTCGGCCGCGACGGTATCTGGCGCCTTCGGTGGGCTTCTCGCTGTGCGTACCTGTGCCTGCTCCACCTCGAATCACTAATATCATCCTTTTCTGTAGGCTGCTATCTCAAACATGGATGGCATCGGGGGAAAGCCTGCATGGGCCTGGATCTTTATCCTCGAAGGCCTTGTGACCGTGGTCGCAGGAGCAGTCTCATTCTGGATTATTCAGGACTTTCCCGACAATGCAACGTTCCTCACGGAGCCCGAGCGGACCGTCGTCGTCCGGCGGCTGCAGGCAGATGACCAATTCAGCGCGGCAGGCGAGCAGCTGAAGCTGCGCTACATCTGGCAGAGTCTGGCAGATTGGAAGACATGGTTGTGCAGTGCGTAATCACGAATTACAATGGTGGGAGGCGTTGTGACGGAAGACTGATACGTGCGGTATACAGTGCTTCTGTACATGGGAACGGATGGCGCGCTGTACGCATTTTCCCTCTTCCTGCCTTCTATCATCGGCCAGGTGAGCGACGTCATTTCTAAACGAAGCGAACGCGGTCATGACATCCCCATCAACGCTATTGAAGCTAGGGTACACCGCCACCCCGGCGAATCTACTGTCCGTGCCCGTCTATGTGCTCGCTTGTGCACTGACGTGTCTCGTGGGGTTCATCGCCGATCGCCACGGGCAGCGCGGATATCTGAACATGTATGTCCGCATATTTGCAAATGCAGCGGACTCGACTAATTGGCGTTCGCCGACGCACAGCGCGTGCTTGCTTGTGGGTGGGGCCGGGTACATCATCCTGATCTGCTCGCGGAACGCAGGCGTGTCGTACTTTGCAGTGTATCTGGCGGCGTGCGGGATATACCCGAGCATCGCGAACGTCATCGCGTGGGTGTCGAACAACGTCGAGGGCTCGTACAAGCGGAGCGTCACGCTCGCGATGGTCATCAGCTTTGGCAATATCAATGGCGCCGTGTCGTCAAATGTGGTGAGTGCGGTGCCCGCGTGCACGCGATTCTTGTCGTCCTGTGGCTAAGGGCTTCTGGTTGCAGTATCGCGCAGAGGACAAGCCATGGTATACGCTCGGTCATGGGATCGTGCTGGCGTACATTGGCATCGGCCTCATCTGCTCTGTGACGTACATCGTGCTTCTCAAGCGAGAGAACGCGAAGCGCGAGCGTGGGGAGCGCGACGAGATCATCGTAGGCGTGAACGATGACCAGGAGCACCTCCGCAAGAATGGCACCTTTGACAGCGTCGAGGACGCGAAGCGAGAAAAGGGCGACCAGTGGAGTGGGTATCGCTACACAACCTAGAGCCTGCGCCTGCGCGGCAGAGCTGAATTCTAGAAGCGCTGTATTCGATCTGGCTAGATGACGACTCATGAAGAGACATGGTCATGTAATAATAGCATACAGTATACTAGTGTAACACCGTTCTATCACCTGTGACGAATTGTGTGCACAAAGATTGACGGCGAGAATGATGTTGGTCGGAAAGCCGCACTATCTCCTCTGGCCCGTGTTCTATGCGGTGGCTGTCGAGATGGCAAAATGGTAGATCCGATGCACGTGACCTTGGCACAACAACGTCAAATACGTTCCGCGAACGCGATCGTGGCAGCGAAATCTTCGACCCGCCACCCACCGCCACCGTCCTCCCCAGCCCCTCTCTCGTTCCATTCTCTCATACCCCTAAAAGCTTGCCGGCTCTCTCTTTATCTATACCGTTGTAGCATATCCAAAAAGCACACACAATGGGTCGCCCTCTCTTCTCCCGCGCCCACCAGACCCCTGTCGTGCACGTCGAGCCCGAGCACCCCACCTACGAGAAATGGTCCTACTGGAACCCCTTCGACCCCGACTCGGACGAGTTTTTCGAAAACGAGAACGCGGTCTATGAGGCGCCCGTCGACCCCAGCGAGGCGCGCTTCGAGCGTGACGTGGAGATTGGGCGGAGGATTGTGGTTGTCGAGAACAGCAGCTCTAGCGAGGCAAGCTCCAGCGATGCGAGCTCCAGCGGACGTGCCAGCCCCGCCAGCGACACCGACGCCGGTCCCTTCTCTATCGAAAACGTCACCCTTGTCCGCCGGCGCGCGGAGTGGCCGCAGAGTTCGCAGGCCGAGGGAGAGCCTGAGGATGGGTACCGCATTCTCGCCGAGGGCAACCGCCGGCGCAACGCGCCACTTGCTTACAGGGAGACCGCTCAGCGTATGCGCGAATCCTCGCCGCGTCGCGGCGTGATCCAGGGCTTGGTGGATACCACACCCTCATCGAGGCCCTTTTCTCCACAGGGCGAAGCCGGGCCTGATCTTCCCGCTCCTATGGAGTCTTTCGAGCGACGCGATGGTGACCTTCCTCGCGAGGACTCTCTGTCGTCCCCGATCGACGCCGGGCCTGTGTTTCTCCCGCCTCTCTCGCCTATCATTCTCGCGCCCTCCCGCCCTTCCACACCCCCAAACCAGACGTCGCCCCTCTACGGGTCGCCTTCACCTCCGCCCTCTGTCACGCCGCGGCTATACACCTGGGCACCGCCGCCACACGCATCGTACCCTACGTCGCCCGCGCCCTCGCGGCCCTTCTTAAATCGCACCGCCCGCCTATCCATGGACCACATCCCGCCTTCGCCCACGCGCTCGCTCGTCCCCGTCGACCGCATGGTCGGCCGCGCGCGTCGCACTGCTGCCTAGATTACACGCGGCCCATGAGCACACGCTGTGCTGTAGTTTGTCCCGGCTTTATCGTTACTCTTGTCTAGTCTTCCTCCCGCTCGTTCAGATCTGTTTATTGGGGCTCTGCTGGATGGACGTTCCTGGTCGACATGCTTTGCTGCAGTGTTAGCTGTACTACTCCTGCGTAGATGGCCCATAGACGTACTCTTGTGATACGATGCTACGCTATCGAATATGAATCATGGCTTATGATTCTTCTCGTGAATGTGTCGTGACTTGAGCAAAACAGCTCATAAAATTGGCGTGGGTACAGGCCAAGACTGTCATGAAACCCTCACCTTCACGTATCTCAAGCTGATCGGAAGCGCTCAACCATGTTTCTGGCTTGCTACATGCATGAATGCTGCCTCTAACGAACTTCTACTTGTACTCCAATGAGCAGGCCTCTTGAGCTTGAACACATAATATCATTACGTCGACTGTCGAATAATGGTTGAAACCGTGCCCTAGAGCTACGGAGCGCTAGGCTGATCTTTTGGACAGCCCCCAACTGACACATCAAGGGAGTCAGGACGCGATTTTTCTGGTACAGAGTGGTAGCAGGATACAGGGTCAGTTCCACTCTGGTTCCACTCATGAATGCGTGTCGTAGTTGCACAGGTCATGTCTGGGGCGAGTCCCCCAGCCCATGCAGTGTGCAGTTCTCACACTTGTGGCGAGCATGCCAATTCATTGCCAGTGACTCTGGTAACACCCGGATCGCAACTGAAGGGGTATATGCTGCCGAAGATCAGCCCCAGCGCCAGGACTTGGGCGAGCCATCAGCAAGCAAAGTCGAGGGTCGACATTCTTGACATATTCAATGACGCTGGGAATGGATTGCCTTCGAGAGGTCGGCGACAAAGGGGTGATTCCGCAACGTGCCGACATCGGCTCGTTCCTTCACCGGTACTCCGCAACAGAGCCAATCGAGACTGCCTTTTCTCGTTCACTGCAGTTGACGAAGTTGTTCCAGACCTTGACGCTTGTTGCAGCGGGACGGGACGCAGCCTTTCTGGGCTTGTTGAGTAGTGCGGTCAAAGCTTAAGATCACGCGAGAATCATGGTAAGCTACGCATCTGTGAACATGGCCCGTGTACTGCTTATTCTCGACCAGACTTGTTATTTCAGGCAAGGAAGTTGCCTCTTCGGGCGGTTACGGCGGTCTTCACAAGGCGTCTATCCACATACCTGTGTCATGGGCTGCGCCGCACCGCTTGTCCACATTAGACAGTTCTCTCATATCCGCCATTGTGTCCCGTCAAGGCAGCCTGTGCAAGGCTCATAGACTGCGATGACAGGTACTGGGAACTCGGCCTCTTCCACGGCGGCGAGGATGCATCCTTGTTGGCGATCGTCGGCATTTTGGCTGCCCGTACAAAGGCTACTTGCGACAACAGTGAGACCGCCGTCGTAAATTTATCTTGGCCACTCGGCAAGTCGCTGTTCATTGAATATCAATTGTTGATACACGAGTACTCGGAGATGTGCTTGTCGATGCAGAAGACAACAAAACAGCACGTCGCGGGATGTTGGACATGTTATGTACAGCTTTGGCATGTGTAACGGTGCTGCATGCGTATGTGGCAGGTTCATGACCACCTGCTCTTATCGTTTACAGACCTTTCTGGGCTATGCAACGCCACGAAGCTTCGCTTTTGAGTCACCTCGCAATCGATGCAGGGGTCGTGGTGGCGGTGCGTTATCTGTCAACTCAGAACGTATTTAGAGGCCGTCTCACTTGCTAGGTTGGCCGTCTCATCTTTCCCTGGCATACGTTGCACAATGTCCTCTACACAAACCCCTTTTCACGGTCCCCCTCTACTCGAGTTAAATGTCAGCACGTTGCCTGGTGTCGATGCCGCTAGTATCCTATCGCCCACGATGGATGACCAACTGTCTACATCCCTAACAGCGATATCGAGCTTTCTGGGGGTTTCATCCTTTCCGCAATGGCTCAGCTTCGTTATCCTTCGCGGTGCATTTGATCTCATCCAACAGCTCGTTTATTTCATTTGGGAGTCATTGTTCTCAGACCTTTTCGTCACGGCCACGATTCACTCTGACGACGAGAGCTATTGTATGTCTTGTCAGCGTGGTCTTCTATCCTGGAAGTTTACATTCATCGCACAGACTGGATTCGAATGTGGTTAGCAAAGCGTGACGTATGGCGTGAGTTGATTGACCATGTGACACAAGTTGACTACTCATCTATGTAACAGAGAAGAGCAAATCCTTGGTCCTCGCGACTGCGGGTAGCTCGCACATTTCTTATGAAAGTGTCTCCATCAATTCAAGTGAGAAGCGGAAGCCTTACCATCTGCTGCGGTATTTTCCCGCCTTCGACAAGACATTCGGTGTTTGGTACAAGAAGCGGTATGTGATGATATCGAGGGAAGGCGGACGGGCCGGAGATTCCCTCCAAATAAGGTGTGTGTGTGCTGTTACAATGATGCGCACAATCCCGCTGATAATCCACAGGATACTGTCATTCGATCGGACACTGCTGAGTGAGTTGGTAGAGGAAGCTAGGACGCTCTATGAACAGTCGATGCACCTTACGACGACAGTTTGGGAGTCAGATACGGAGTGAGTTGCACAGCCACAAATCATGCAAAATTCTAATGCCTGTCATCTTAGTCCGCTTATGTGGCGTTACGCAGGGAATCGTCCTATGCGCCCTCTTGACACTGTGATCCTCGATGCTGGCCTGAAAGACGCGATCATCAAGGACTGTCAGGACTTCATAGCCAGCAAGGACTGGTACATGAAAAGAGGTCCGCTATGGTCTTCTCTCTATTTATTCGACGATCTCAATGTGTCGGTGCAGGTATCCCATTCCGTCGCGGTTATCTCCTGGTAAGGCTTTTATGGCATCTCTGACATCAGTGCTGACTACAACATGTGCAGTATGGCGCTCCTGGCTCAGGAAAGACGTCCTTCATACAATCTCTCGCCGGGGAGTTTAGGCTTGACATCTATACAATCTCGCTCGCCGGCTCTGACATGGACGACAGCAATCTCATGCGGCTGATCGCACAGTTACCTGAGAGATGCATCATCCTGATGGAGGATATCGATGCAGCCATAACGATTACTGGCAGGCGCGACGAGACGGGCTCGAGTAATAGGAACCAATCCGAATCCACGCGGCACGTCACACTCAGCGGCTTGCTCAACGTGTTGGACGGCGTGAGCGCTCAAGAAGGTCGGATCCTGTTCGCTACCACAAATCACATCGAAGCCCTCGACCCCGCACTCACGCGTCCTGGCCGTATGGACGTCCACTATGAGTTCAAGCTGGCTAGTAAGTCCCAAATCACGGCGCTCTTTACACTCTTCTTCGACGACCTCGGATCCGAGAACAGTGCAAAGGAGAAAATTGAAAGGGGCGATGTCACTCACAGCAGCCGCCATGATGTTGACGAGAAGAGTGACGACGATTCGACGACTGACACCCTAATCTCGCTGGAATCCACCGACGACTCTGATGCTGATGAGTTGTCGTATCTTAGGCCGCCGCCCACTCCTGCGGAGAAGTTACAGAACTTGCAGCACAATTTGACGGACGTGGTCCGCGAGCTCCGGACATCGGCACTCTCGAAGCGGCAGCTGACCAAACTTGCCGTACAGTTCTCCGACGCGATTCCCGAACATATGTTCTCTATGGCCGAGCTTCAGGGATACCTGATGCGATACAAAGCACAACCCTACGAGGCGGCTGCAGAAGCGTTTCAGTGGGCTGAATGCGAGCTCGAACGGAAGGATGCTCCTGCAATCAGTCTTCAGGGATGCCTGATGCGATACACAACACAACCCTGCGAGGCGGCTGCGGAAGTGTCTCGATGGATCGAACGCGAGCTCGAACAGATGGATACTTCTACAGTCAGTCTGCAATCACAATGAGTCTCATCGTCGCCTCGCACACAGCTATCACGGCAGGCTGGATCGCGCATCGACGCATCATGCTTTGGTATTATTATGTTTCCCGCGTTCTTCGTATGCCCTTATGATGGTCTCAATATGCAGCTCAAACGCTATGTACATTGTACTTGTCTTGCATGAACTTGTATGTTCTCATCCGATCTCCCATTTGTACTTTATTAACTGTATGCACAACCCGAGAACTGTTGAATTAGACACCACACCCAATCTGAGTCGCCTTTGCGGTTTCCACCCTCAATTTAGGGTTAAGGTGCATCCTAGACTCGATCAGCCCTATCAATTCAAGATCTCTTCGACGTTAACAATATGCTTTCGACGTCCTCTTTTCCCTAGTGCTCAAAGACTGCAACACATTCTCCCTTGTGATCACGGGCTTTACCTAGGCATTCCCCTGCCTTTCATTCCACTTATGGGTATCGAAGAAGCGCAGACCGGGATTTGCAAGCCTGAGGTGAGGCATGATCCTTAGCTGTATTCTTATTCTCAAGTCCTCGGGTTTGAACTCCATACGGTGTAGGTACATGTACAGTGCAATCGAGCTGGCAGCAGCTCCTAACAATGGGCTCCACGCCAGCGTCCGGATCTACATAGTGAAGTCACACGGCGTCCTTGCCCTACAGGTTTCGGGCAGACTAAGAGCCCCACGCCGACGGCGCAGGGGGGCGGTCCTCGTGCAGCTGATGCCGCGTTGGTGGTCCGACAACGAGGCAAACGAAGAGAACGGGGACCCGGCAAGCGACGATCCCTGCGGACCCCGCACTTCGCGCCGAGCGAGCGGCGGTTTGAGAGAACCAGGAGCCTGGTCGCGCTCGACACCTTAGGTGAATAAGGCGAAGTAGCAATGCGCTGGGTATACGAAGCGGGTATGTCGCTGTAACGCGCGGGGAACAAAGAGACACAACGCGACCTGCGCGTGAGTGATTCTTGAAACACCGGTACGGGAGCTGATGCGATCGGCAGGGGATATAAGGTGGGTGTGTAGTAAATATTGCATCGCTTCTCACTGCTCAACAGCCTTCATCGTCCGCTTCATAGCCGTCGATGTCATTCCATGCTACAGGGGCATGCCGCCACGTCTTCATCCGAACATGGTTGACACACTGATCAACGTATTCGTCGGAGTGTGCCTCCTCGTCGCTAGCCTCATCACTGAATGAATTCTCAGCATCAAGAGTGCTTGAGGTATCTGACCAGGAGGGGCTTGACGCCGACGTCAGTGATTCTTCCGCTGAATCACTGTCCCACCAATTGTTGATCGGCGCTATCTCGTTGAAGGTGCTGAATGCGCCAAATATGGATGTCTGCGCTGGTATCTTGTTGTAATCATGAGAAAGTGGCTGCCTTGCACAGTCCAAAAGCCTGCGCTGATAGTCATGGATGTGTGGCCACGCATTGTTCTGGATGTTGGGTACGCTGGGCTGTGGATTTGGCACGCTGACGCTCTGGCTTGGATGCGAGATTGAAGGAAGCATGCCTTCCATGGCTAAGTATCTATCAGTTGAAGCACTGCCTGATCTCCCGCCTCCGATCTACACTCATTTGAGTTTCTCTATACACAAAACAGATTCAAGCCCTGTACCCACCGAATGGCAGCTTCCCTGCATTGATTTCAAGTGGCAAATGAGAATGCCAGGACAGGCCCAGCTGTTTTTGCTTTCCACTTGATTTTCATGTGCAAGGGCGAAGCGCATCTCGGTGTGGCCACAAGTCGGTGCCATGACGAAGAACGCAAGGATGCTATGGAAAGGCTTATGGGGTCTGGTGAGTGGGCTTGAGAATCCTCCACTCGAGATCAAGGGGAGATCGAGAAAACAGAGCGCAGGGCGAGGATGCTGGTGGAGTTGAAGACAAGTCGCGTTGTAGCGAACGCGCCATTAAATGGTGCGCGTGACCGTGGCTTCTTCGGTCTTGACCTCCGACACGCTAGGGCCACGTGAGTAAATCCGCGAAGGCTTCTGCGACTATAGTCGTACTCAACATTGCGTTCACACCGCGCAGGCTGCTGAGCAGTCAACTTCAAGTGAACACATTAGTGGTGTGCCTAATATAGCAGAATGAGGACGCCGTCAGTCGTTTTGACCCCCGATTTGTCTGAACATTTCCTTACACGATTCCCTCACTGGCCCCATCTCAAGCATATTTATCAGCCGAGTATTTCCTATGTTTTTCTGAACATACATTTGCTTCGGCTGCATGGATCCCGTATTTTTAGAACTTGTGGCAGTGCCCGTGGACCACCGGATACTCATTTCTAGCGTATGCACTGAAACCTGACAGATGGTACGATGATGTGGCACATGCCATCCCATCAACCTGAGTATATTTGTCGCCACTGCGGAGACATTTTCGTCCATTACTCGGATGTCGTTCAATCTTGTCACTCAATGGAGAGTACTGCGTATATCACATATCATCGTTCGTCTTGTATCATCGTTTCAACTGGTCGTACAGAATCTCGATTCAGCCAAGATCGCTCGTTGACGAACGGATTCTATTACTCGACGTGCTCGATGTCAGCGTCTTACATAAGGTCAGCCGAAGCGTCCATCCCACTTGCCAATGTTTTCGGCTAGCACCCAGTGGCACCTGTTGTCCCGACGCTGCAGCAGCAAGCTCCAGGTATCCACCGAGTCCTCCCTGGGCGCGCGCAGTCGTGTACGCTCGTGGTCGGTTCGAGGGATGTAGTTTACTGGCACGGTGGGGACTCCTTGCGCCGTGATGGCACTGATGAAATGAGACTCGTCATGTGAAGAATTCGTTCTATTAGAGAATTTCATTAGCATGCGCATATACAGTCCCATTCGTCAAGATGTACATCACGGAGCTGATCAATTGCTGGACGAAGTCTGGAGGCAACAAACCAGTCCATCTGACATGCGTTAGGTCCCCGATGTGCGAGGGCACGGGTGGACTGTACACGGCAATGTATGGATCCACCCTATCATTAGCCTGCAAACTAAGTTACAATTCAGTGTCCACCATGGTCAGCCATTGTGTGATTGCGTACCGCTGTGCGCCCATGCACGCCATTCCGACCCACTCGTAGAGCGATGCAATGTCCTCTAGTTCCTCCTCTCCTTCGACACTTATTTCGGTGTCTGGGATGTACATACTTGAAAGGATTTGAACAACAGGCTTTATCACATGTTCTATAGAACCTTGCTGCGGTGGATGATCTAATAGGTGGTCCTATTTGAGCACGGCTCGCATGCTGAGCAAACTCGATCTCAGCCTCACCTGTTGTGTTCTTCAAGGTATATATGATTTGCCAGGGTCCTCTTTCGGAATCCCACTTGGACAACGCAGCTGCCTCTTTATCCCCCAGGCGATGCCAGAAACGCGTGGCAGGGGATTCAAGTATGGTACCATTTTTGTGAAGGCAAATTTCGATTACTGTTATCGCATTCACAATCAACGGACTGAATATGTAGCTATTGAAGCACTTACTGTGGACTTCACATCCTGTCCAGGGCAACCGTTGACCAACTAGGCCTAAGCGTTCGTATGTTTGCTTGCATGCAGATATTGATAAGACCCCACGAGCATCTATGCACCACATGTCTTCGTTGTGGTTCCCAGCCTTGCCGAAGGCCAAAATGTCACTATGCGGTCTGCTGTGAGTGAATAACTAAGATACATCTGCTCTGCAATTCACCTCTCCAGCGGAGCATTGGCAATGAAGCTCTGTGCATATTTCACAAAAGCAGACAGCGTTGAGCTGCAGCTCCAATACCTTGTCTGCAATTGCTGGATATCGCCATGCAGCGTCGCCGAAACAGGACAGACGATATCAACCTATACAGACAACGATGTCAGTAGGAGTCTAAAAAGACTTGCGACATCAATCACTCGAGACGTTCCTGCTGGGTATACAGATGCGTAAGTCCCAGTCGTTCTAACACGGGTACACCACGACCATTCTCTTCTAAGTTGACAGCAAGTGCTTGCCCAGCAGTGTACTGCGTTCGGCGTTTTTCCAGGCTGGCATGATCCATAAGACTTTGCAAGTGTTTGGAATTTGTAGGCGTGATTGACTTGCGTGTGATTGTGTGGACAGAAAGCAACCTTTGAGGCTGCACAACCAATCGTGGGACTTGTAGAATATGCCATATCCGATCGAGCTATCGAGATCCGAATTTGGTGGCGAGCTAATATTTGGACAACGTTGCTGTACATAGTACTTATAACCTCGAACTTGTCGACCTTCGAACGCGCTGGTGAACACTACAGTAGCACAGGTCGTGGTGAGAGACACCGGCCAGGACTCCTCACGAGGTTGTTCTACATGTTATCTGCACACACATTGTCTGCGCCCGTCTCTGATCTCATTAAGCAACAATACACCATTTATGTCCCATTATAATACATGTAATCCACTTCCGCAAGCGCACCGTCCGTAAGTATCACTGTCTCCGTTTACCACGAGAGGGACGAGCGGCGATGTCTGCCAGCTCTTTTTCAACCCAGGCCTGCGCCTCGCTGACGGCCTCTTGTGGCCGGATTTTGTACATCATCAGGTACCCCTGCAGCGCAGCCATCGAGAGCTCCCGCTCGGGGATCGCCTCTGCGAACTTCGCCGCAAGCTCGCTCGCCTCCCGCCAAGAGAGCACTGCGCCCTTTGGGCTCGCGCTCCGCACACGTTGTGCCAGCTCACCAGTGCTTGATTCGGATTCAGTGGGGCTTGGGGGCGTGTCGAGGAGCGGCGCGTCCTCCCTCTCGTCAATGGAGGAGGCGCGCGAGCCATACCCAGAGTCGAGAGCGTCTGTCGCCTTCTCGTCGTCGTCGTCGTTCGCACGCTTACCCCTGCTCTTCGAAGGTGTATAAAAGCACCTGAAGAGCTCCTGCGCCTGGTACTTGCTCGCGAGGCGGAACTCGACGTGGAGATCCATGCGGCCCGGGCGGATGAGCGCGGGGTCGAGCGCGGCGTAGTCATTCGTGGTGGCGAAGAGGATGCGGCCCTCCTGTGCACCAATGCCATCGAGCGCGTTCAGCAAGCCGCTAAGGGTGACACGGCTCGTGGAGTCCTCCGTCCTGTCCTGGGGCGCGCCTTCTGAGTTCTCGTCCTCGGGCTTCTTGTCCTTGCCGAGATCGCGAGTCATGGGGCGTGAGAATGCGGCGTCGATGTCCTCCATAAGCGCGATGCAGCGTGCCGGGAGCTCGGAAATGAGTTCGCTAAGCGCGTTGTCGTCCATCCCACTGCGAGAGAGGGTCACGATGTAGACGTCAAGGCCGAGCTCGCCTGCGATACTTTGAATCATAGACGTCTTTCCCGAGCCAGGTGCGCCATACTTCGAAGGGTTCACGTGAGATAAAAACCCGATTGCGTTGTTGGAAAAACTCACTAGTAGATACCCACGGCGGAAGGGGATACCTAGATCGCAGCCAGATCAATCAGTAGCTGCGCGCTTATTGATCTACTGAAGATTTACCTCGGTCAGTATACCAATCTTGGCTGTCAAGGAAATCGCGGGCGTCATCAAGAAGCAACTCCTTGACACCTGGCTCGAGGATAATGGATTGAAGAGGGCGCTTAGGTCGCGTTCCCATTTGTGACCAGTTGCCATATCTGGAAGAAATAGAATACTAATGAATTTGCCGCATAACCTGCGAGACGCGGCGGCACTCACGTATCGGACATCCAAATGGATATTGAGTTCTCTTCTGCCTTTTGATATAGCTGCTTGCATTCCAAGAGGAATTGTTTCAGGACCCCGGTGTTACGCGCCAAGATTCTGGACTCTGCTTAAGACGCGAGAGGATGCGCTACAATGTCGGGAACTCACCTCAGATGGAGAGTCTCCTTCGTGGAATTATAGCCATTTTGAATTTGGGCCCGTGAGACGGTCATGTAGTGGCGGTTGAACCACATAGAATAGGTGCTGGAAATGCTAGGTAGAAATGACATTGGGCGGTCGGTCGGACGATCATCGCTATCTTCCAGGACATTCACGGCTGGGGAAGTAAGGCCATAGTTTCGAGTTGTCACCTCGACGCGTCGGGCTTTACCTACGCAGAATGTCTCTCAATTAGGGAATATCGACGGCGGATGTATTTGGCTGACATACCCCATGATGGTTGTCGAGAAAGCCAGAAGAGGACCCAACCTACAAGAAACTTCAGCTACGGGGTGCGATTAACATGAGAGCGAAGAGACTGACTGTAACTAGTATCATCCTCATCAAAGGTGACGGTAATCCAGATCGAGTCCATTATCCGGTCCCATATGCCGAAGGCACAACGGCGAAAGTACTCAATAACGCCACCGAAAAGGATGAGCTTGAGCCATTCCCGCAGGGCAGAGAATGAGAGGGCCATATTTATCAAGGATGGCAGGTCGGCAGGCATGGCGGGGATGGCGGCGGCAGTTGCATTTCCAGTGTTATTCATGATAACGTTAGCGGCCGCCCCCGAAGAACCGGTCAGCGCGAAGACAGAGCTGATCAGCTGGGCTGGATCCAGATTGGTGGGCGTGAAATGGATAGGCCCTGGGGGCGTTGTAAGATTTGCTCGACACAACGCTCCTCTTTATATGCGAGGGAAGTGCGCCTCAGCGGCCCGGCTATACATCGCCGTGGAGTAAGCGTCGGGTGTTCTCTAGAAGGAGTCATGTCCAGGCGATGACTGTTATCGGCGCCGAAGCGTGCCATTGCGGTGAAGGCGTACGCACATGGTCAATAAAAGTTCAACTCCAGCGTAGGGCGGCATGGTGGTCAAATCTTGAAGTTGAAGGTCCGGTACGTCTAGCCCAGGTTGACAGGTCGGAGTGGTATTAAGAGATTCTAACTTGATCTGCCATCGCGTCCTATGTAGATTCCAGTTACCGCAAAAGAACTTGAAATGCCTCATGTCCCGGGGAAGAATATTCACAATCATCGGCAAATGTGCACGGTACCGATAGCGTACCGATAGCGGTGCTGAGAGCGGAGACGGGATGGAGGGGAGTCAGAGAATAGTGGCGACAGACTCGACAATCGAAAGGCTGTACGTGCCAGTGTCCGGTCGCGTGACTCGTCGTTGGCTGCCACCAGCCTGAGCGAACGCCATGCGACCTCAGCTTCGCTACACTATGCGACCGGAGAAATCACACAGGCTGGCACAGCCATGCTACGTCGGCTAGTCGTTGTGTGTAGTCGACTCGCTGGAACAGATTCGCGCTCCGGCTTGTGCTCGGAATCCTCTAGCACTGACGTCGGGCGCAGCAACCTATGGCTCCCCTGGGGAATTCGCACTGAAACCTCTATCACTCGCGCACTGAGGTGAGTTATGTATCCTCGCTGGACCACAACAGAGAAAATGAAGCAGATCTTCGGTTCGCCCCAAAACACTACAAGATGCGAAACCAGAACGTTATAACAGGCATTGTCACCGACAGATACGTACCTTTTACGCTTTGGACACTTCCAGGTAATCTGTCAAGGATGGTTTGCAGCTGACCCTGGACGTGCCTGCTCTACGCACATTCTACAGATGTACCAGAAGGTACAATACAAGGGACATAAGACAATCCATGTGACTGAACCGCACTGGCATGTGGTGATATGAGTGGGCTCGTGCGTCTCGAGGTATGTGTAGCAGCTCAGGAGTCTTCCGCTGTATTGCAATCGCCGTCTGTTTGTATATACCCACTGAACACTTCATGCATGCTATGGATACGTTTTCGCTCCTGGAGTGGTTGACCCACGCTAGAAGCCGTCGGAGATCCCGCGCTCTGATCCTGAAGACCGCAATCTGACACATACCGCACATCTGATCGTGAGGTATGTTCTCACGTCCTGTTCTAGGCCTGACTTATTAGTGTACACTCGATCAGCGATTACAGCAGCCATTTGTATACACGGGGCATGGTCAGTATATCACTCAGGTACGGGCTTCCTGAGCCTATGAAAGTTCGAAGTATCAACGTACAACCACGAAAGACTACGTTCAAGGCACCTCGTCAGATGGTGTGCGTGCATTCTTAATCATTTCCAAAACGGCAGCTATCGGCCCGTCTACGTTCAGCTATCCCCGTCGGCCGTTTTACTTGCGGTCAAGGGCAGGACTTCCATATGGACACACCCCTTCCGAACTAACACCGTTTTGCCACTCAACCTGTGGTCGAACAATGGCTGGTGGTCGATGACAACGTCACTAGTGCATTTCAAGTGTTATCGACCGCAGCGAAGCTCGCACTGACTTAGTTGGGGAGCGGACGTCCGACTGATTGACGCAAAGTTTTGCGCCGCAATTCGCTTCTTGCTTCAGATAGTGCTGCCAAATCCAATCTACCGTTCTCTGCGTAACGGCATAAATGGGTGGTCGAACTTTGCACGCCTTCTTCCACATAATAGCATCCGCTTCCGTCCACCGCTTCTAGTAGCTTCCCTGTATCGATTAGCTCATTGAAACCAAGGCCGACTGTCGTTTACCTGCACTTCTAATCTCGAGACGTAACATGCTAATCGTGGATGATCTACGTGACTGCACCAGACTACCTATTCAGCCATCTCGAGGCGAGCCCTACAGCAGTTGGAATGTGCCTGCCCGTCGAGGAATATATCTGTTAAGTTCAGCCACAATCTCGCCCGTGTGATCGTTGTGGCAATATGTTCGATTGACAGCGACTCAGGCTCGGAGTCATTGCAAACCTTCTGCCCGTCCTGGTCCGTGGGGCCACGGGACCTGAAGTCTGCACTCGTGTAGTCGACATGAGTTCACCCTGGTCGCTTCGGTTCAGATATGCAGGTGAAATACCCATTGTCTTCGCCTCGTTAAGTTCGCCCACAATATCATTCATGTCATACTTGACTTCGATTTATCCGTCGACGCAGTACTCATCTGATGTACAAAGAGATCTTTCTCCCGTGTGGCTATTCACACGTGTTGTCACAATAGATTGCTGACGAGTCACCATCCTCACCGGCACAGTCTAGTTCCGACCTGATTCATTATCTCCACCCAACGACAGCTTGCCTTTCGTAATGTGTTCAGCGTGAGGTAAGAACCTAGCCTCACGTACCTCAGTCCACAACATATAGTTTTCTGGGAGAATTCTCGCTCAATAACGACCCGCATGCGATACGTATACTCAGCCTGTGTGGATCTCGGGACAGCCGCTCCGGTTGGCACCTTCTTTACAGTTACAGTTGAAGTGACGCCGGTTAACAATGAAGCTGTGATATATTCCTGCATGCCTACACACATGCCATGAACGACGAATTCCGTCTTCGCCTTCAACATATAACACAGCCCTTCCTGGCCCGCGCGTAGCTTACTGCCACGGATCGTCTGATATGTGGGTGTTTAGATATTTGAGTAAGATATGCGACGAATGAACTGACTCGTTTTGTGGCCTTAAGCCAGGAGTGTCCTCAATTATCTCCGACGCAACCATGGGCTTTGGATTCATCAAGTCGCGAAGTTTTGATAGAAGCCGATGGTCGTTAGCAATATTTGCGTCAACGGCCGAATACTGCTGATGTAGCTGTAATGCGTAATTAAGTGACTTCGCCGCATCGCTGAGGCGGCCCATATCCATGTAGAGGTCTCCAAGTTCTTGATGTGCATTCCCTTCATCTAGCTTGGCCTCGGCACGCTGAAAAAGGTCAATGGCTTGGAGGAGACATTCTTCCGCCTTCTGTGCACGGTTGCTCGTCCTGTAGATTGCCGCAAGCACAGTGAGGTCTATGCCTTCACCCAGAATGCTGCACGCTTTGCGATGTAGACTCAACGCCAAATTGATGGCGGTCTCAGCATCGTCAAGCTGGTTAGAACGGTGATACAAATCGGCGAGGTATTGATGGTCATATCCTTGTCCAAGGATGTCTTCAGCCTCGCGATGAAGGTCGAGCGCCCTCAGTATACTATCTTTGGCTTCCTGGAGACGGTTCGTGCGAACGTACAAGGTACCGAGGTGTTGGCATATATGGGCTTCTCCACGAATACTGTGGATCTGTAGGTAGAGCGCAAGGGCCTTCTCAAGAGACAGCCGGGCATCTTCGAGGCGATTGATTCGGAGATAGAGGGCGCCGAGATATCCATGACTGTCCGCCTCTCCAAGTATACTCCCAGCTTCTTGGCTACGACTTCGTGCATCCAGAAGTGCGGCCTCTGCGCGTGGAAGATTGTCTTGGCGGAGGTAGAGAGTGCCGAGGTAGAGTTCTGCGTTAGCAGCACCGATCTTGTTGTGAGTTTCAAGATGGAGACGTTTCACGTCGTGAAAAACGGCCTCGGCCTTGTGGAGTTTGTCAGTGAGAATATATATTAAGCCTAGGTGACCCATATCCTCCGCCTCTCCCTAGACATTATGCACGCTGCGATGTAACCGTGCAGCACGTTCAATCTCCTGTTCTGCGAGGTCCCATTGGCTGCGATATCGGTCTATGCGACCCATGCAGCGGTGGCAGTCGGCACGCGTGCTCACATCGTCGATCCCAATTTTAAGGATCTGCTCTAACAGTGTGTGTGAGGGATAACGAAGATGCAGCATCCATTCGGCATGCGCTATTGCTGCGGAAGCGAGGTCGATGTCTGGCGGAGCACGTCTTAGCGACATGAAAATAACGGCTTCGATGTTGCCTAGTTCTGGTGGGATTATCGAGTAAGATAGCGGGATTTGTGGTAGGGAGAGGTCATATGTTCGCACCAGCACGGTAAAGAACTTACAAATGGCACGGCTCAGGTCGTCCACAAGCTGGAGGCGTGGGAGGCTAGAGCAATACTGTCGAGTAGGTGCGAGCATTCGGTACCGTCCTGTACTAGACGGAGACCTTCGATCAATGTACACGAGCCCGTTTCGAGTAAGAGTAACAAGAGACTGTTGGAGGGTGATGTGGGAGGGCAAGTACGATTGTAATTCATGTAGCAGGCTCGTGGACGAAGGCAGGCCGTCTGAGAGTTCTTTCACGATGGAAAGAACAGTGGCTGCGGAGGGATCGCTGGTCATGCGGTGACTACCGAGGGAAAGTTCGATAGATGTTCCGAGATCTAGTAGTCGGTCTTGGGCACCGTCACTTCTGGAAATCACGGCGGTTCCCATCCCCTGCCAGCGATACCAAAGGGACTCCGTGGTCTCAATGCCAGGTTGTGCAAGATGCGCAAGAAGGCTAATGGCTAAAGGGAGACCATCGGTTGCCTGGACCAGTTTTTCAGCGTACGTGTCTGGTTGAGCGCCGCTGATCCCCGTGAAGATTCGCAGTCCATCGGTAGTCGACAGAGGAAGGAGAGGAGCAAGCGAGGCCCACTTGATTCCTCCTGGGCGCTCAGCCCCGCGCATCGTGACAACGAGCGCAAGGTTTCTAATTTGCGCGAGTTTTGAGAATTTCTCCTCTACCATCCTGCGCGATTGTGGGAGCTCCCAGAGCGTCTCGAAGTTGTCGATACAGAGCAGAGTAGCCTTTTGTTGTAGAACCTGGTAAACCATCGCTCGCAGTCGTTGGCCACGCAACTCCGTGTACAGCCCCAATGAGTTAGCGAGAGTAATATGAAACTGTTCCAAGCCACCTTTCATAGCCTCGCATGTCACAAACAGCCGACTGGTGAATGCAGATATCACATCAGGATCGTGAAGCACCTCGAGGACAAGAGTAGTCTTCCCAATCCCCCCTGACCCAAGGACAATTGCGGGTTCATGGTTCAGTACGGATGTACGAAGGGCAGCAGTGGATTCATGTCGGCCGAAACAGTGTACTGGCTTCGATGGCAAGTCTGATTGTCTAGCATGTGAGTCGCCCTTAGCGCCGCATTTTATCTTAGAGAATGGACAACGTACAGAGCCAGGTCTGGGTTCGGTGATGGTTCATTATCCATCGTTTGACCCGCAATTACTATATGGCCATGTCAGTATGCGACCGGTTCATTCTAGCCTCGATGTCTCACGGTTTACCGTCTTGCGTATCATCTCAACATCTTTCTGTATCCCACCTGCAATGTCAAGTATTCCTGCCGAAACTATCCGATTTTCCTGTTCGAATAACTCCTCCAGCTCCGAAAGAGCATGTTGCGTATCGTCATCTTCTAGCTTGAGAACGAGTCGCCCGTACCGCACTACAGATGTAGTCAGAGATATTGTCGGTCTCCCGGGTTCGTAACTTGCCAAAAAGCCCTCGGTTGATGGCCTTGTTCGCGAGTTCAAACGTGACAAGAAGCTGCGTCAAGATGTCGACGAAGATATCCTCCAGCGCCTGTGTGTATCTTTGCTTTTGATATATCTCAAGACGACGGAGGAACTGTTCTAGACTCTTGAAAAGTTTGAGGATGTTATTGTTGGCCGCTCCGAGGTCTTCACCAGCCTGGACAATGGGAAAGACGTCTTAACGGGTATGCCCTTGACTAGACGCAACGCCATACGCACCTCTGCTAAAATCTTGATTGCGACGGTAACTATAACGGCGTAGCTCGGGAGCTTTGCGTGTATCAGATGCTACCAACATTCTCACGTAGCTGATACTTACATCGTTAGCTAAGTCAGCAGCGGTTGCAACAGACCAACTGAGAAATTTCAGCATTGGTTGGAATAGTCTTTTGAGATCCGACATCTGACTAGAATGGAAGGTGTATTCTCCCCTCGCCAGGGCTGACTTCAAGGCGTCGAGATTATCGATCCGCTGATACTTCATTTCTGGCACGATGTTATTGCCTGTAGTCGCCATGTAATGTCGCATCACGATGCTCCAAACGTCAGGAAACGGTGAGCCACCTTCTGTAACATAGGCGGCCAGTTAGGGTAAAAGGTTCAGGAATGTCTACCCAGATACTGACCAGGAGGAGGAAGAGCAGTTACAAGTTTCCCAGCCAGGTGATCCAACTCGTCTAGGAGGTCCCGAAGATTCTCATGATTAGCCAACAGTGCATGCGGCGTGTAGAAATACGTGACAATGTTTGACTGAGAACGGTGTTCCCTGATGATCAAGCTCGACGTAACGACAATGAGAACAAGCTGTGCATAGATTTGCTTGTATATGCATCGCATGTTCAGTGACACATTCTGCACTCCTGTAGGAATACGCCGGAGAATCGACTTGAGACGACCCGCCAACCTCACGATGAGTATGCACGGGATGCTTGCAATTCTCGCTTCCTATCGCCGGCACCGGCTATGAGCAGCCATCCACTGATAATCCTGATACATGCTTACCGTGAGTAAGAGTAGGAATGAACTGCATACAGCGTGAAGATACTGCTCGTCCTGAAATCGGAACCAGCAAGCAGTTCGGGACACTCAAACAGGGGGCCTCACGTCAGTAGTCCATCCAGCCATAGTCTTCCAAATCGATTGAACTTGCGCACCGATCTCTTCAAGCGTCGCATGCAATTTGATCTGTTCTTTCGATATTTTGACACTGCTGAACCAGTCGTCAAGGCATTCCTCAAAACTCTTCACTGGAACCGCCACGATGTCGCCGAATTCAACACTTGGAATCTTCGTCCACGTGGGAAGAATCCTAGATAGAACGACAGGCAGAGCGCATTCAGATAGGTCTACAGCTACCATAAGGCTTGATCACTCGCATGGCACCTCTGAAAAGGGCGTACCTGCTTCCCAGATTATAGAGTTGAGCTTCCAGCGCAACTGCGCTAGCGAGGTCTTCGATGGTTCACTTCTACCTACTGTAGGTCGTCTCCAGAACACAGTTGGTTCTAGGATGCAGCCTACAAGGGACCTCTGGTCATGGGAAGACTTCAGCTCTTTGCATATTAGCCTCAGGGTGTTGATCTCGTCCGCAAGGAAATCAACGCAGGAATCTGAGAGCATTTCTGGGGCATTATCCAGTGCAGGTATATAGATGCTTCTCGGAAAAAGAGCAAAAGATGCTATGCAAGCCGCGGTCTCCTGCGATGCCTGTAAGTATATAAGTGGGGGATACGCTGTACAATATCGTTGTAGCATACCAAGACTACCGACGCAATACTCCGATAACTGGCTTCACTGTACGAGGAGGCCTTTTAATATCCAAGTCAGGGCGATTGCTACCTCAAGCTTCGTAGATATATGACTTACAGCATGAATATCGTCGCCCGCGACATTTGATAGCCATTCGATATCGGTGAGGATGGGGTCCAAAGTTTCCACCAGTGAACGAAACAGTTTATCATCTTCGACCCATTTCTGGAAGAAGGATTTAAGCGTTTGTCTGTCACGAATCATCGACAGCCCTTTAGAGGGGCCGTCTATGGTGACTTCGCGTTTGAAATGCTCGAACGCTTTCCTCCACTGGTGCCTCGATCCGACAGCGGGCGTTGAATATCGAGACATGATCTAGTAAGTGCGGGAATGAAGAAGTTATGAGGATCCTAACTCAAGACGCTGGACATCATGCTGTTCATCTGTCAATGCGTGCGAATGTCCATGGATCGTTCGCGCAATCGTTATGAAGTTGAGTTTGTAAATGTCGGTTAAGCGCCCATCATGGCAACTTCCTTCCTTCCTATAGCTGAGGAGTTTGAGACGTGTTTTTAGCTGAATAACGGTGAAGATAACGGATCTTAACATCCTTGATGGACTTGGTTTTGGGGGCTTAGTGCCTTCCAGGTGTGGAATGAACTGATGGTCTTCATTCTGGTGTGATCATGCATATAACTCGGCGCTCTAGGAAGCCTGAACTAACATTTCCTCACCATCTCTGACACAAGTGAGTCATCGGGGTCTGCTTAAGCAAATGGGAAATGCCCACTACAGCACGGGAAGGCTGTGATACATTTCGCTAGTATTAGCTCATGATTCCTAGTTTACCCTGATCGCCCAAGATGATGTTGTCGATGAGCCGTGTCCGTCCGACCCACATTGCACCGCTCAGGATCACCGGGCGAGCTTGCCCCTCCTCGACAGCCTCCCACTCTGCCCGATTAATAGTTTGCGAGAGCACATCGAAGGACTCGGGATCGTTCATCTCAATGTAATCCACACGAACATCCACCTTCTCTGTGGACCCCAAATTCAGTCGCTCTGTGGTTTGCGCGATGAGAGCGCATGCGGCTCGTATGCATTCGTCCTTGCTTCTTCCTGCAGCCCACGCTTCCCTGCCGGCTTGAAGTGCGGAGTACAGTGTAGGAGCAGCCAGTTCGCGTTCCCTCTGAGTGAGATACGCATTCCGCGAAGACAGAGCGAGGGATGTGACAGCATCCCTGCGAAGAAGCTGTGAGTGTTCTGATGGGCTTTCAAACAAGCAACGCGGGAACACACCGGACTGTGGGAACGATGTGCAAACTCTCAGGCGAAGGGTGCGACAGCAGCAGATCGCGCACCATGCGTCTGAGCAGTAATGCCTGCTGGATATCCTTCTGCCCGAAATATGTGCGCGTGGGCTTTGGACACAATTAATACCAGATTCATTCTGAATTTCCGTATGCACCAACCTCTATCGCGTTGAACAGTTTGGTAACGATAGTCGCGACCCCACGGAAGAACGTCGGCCGAGTTCTTCCCTCCAGCTGATGGCCGTAGCCCTTCACCTCAATGAAAGTTCCCTTTTGTTCTGACACGTCCTGCGAGATGCCAGCCGGATACATCTCCGATACCGAGGGAAGGAAGACGGCAGAAGGTGTCCTGAAAACACGCTCGTTTCGTCCAGAGCTGTCAACATCTAATGAAACAGACTGAGCACAGAGCAACTCTAGATCTCGAGGGAGAGTCCGGGGATATGTAGCGAGGTCTTCGTGCGGAGCAAACTGCGCTGGATTCACGAAAATGGAGAGGACCGTGAGGTCGTTGGCTTCCAGAGATCTTCTGACTGCGTATTAGGACTCTCAGTTCATGTCCGTGGGGTAGAATGCGTGATCGGTGCTCACCAAGCGAGAGATGGCCATCATGCAGGGCGCCCATGGTTGCGACGAACCCCACAGACTTCCGCTCGTCAAAGGCCTTCCGACGCCATTCCCGGTAGGACGCGACGGTTGTGAAGATCGGAACAGAGGAAGGTGGAAGGGCGGAAGTTGACGAAGCCATGCTTCGTACGAGAGGTCGCGTGGCTGCTGCTGAGCACCTGATGCAAGGACGTGTCACTGTGCCGATCATACTAGATTGTGCGTGCAAGATGATATCTGCCTAAAAACCGCACAATTAACAGGTCAATGACCACACGCCCTGACGATGAGAGCCTGCGAAAGAGACAGGTGGTCGTAGCCAAGACGTAGCAAACAAAGTCGTCGGAAAAAAACTGACCCAGTGTGAGCGCGACGCCCCAGACAAATCCGCGTCACGTGTAGCGCGTTACCTGCCTCAGCGCCAGCTCTGGGTCTGAGTCCAGACTCCAGATTCGTGACTTTGCCTCTCCTTTCTCTATCAGGCGATGTAGATTGGTCCACGGCGATTCAGAAGACTCGCTACTTTGAACATTGTATCGTTAGCTTACCTTTGCGATAGTAGAACGCGCGCTACAAACGACACCAAGGGACAATCACGCCACCTGATCATCGAGGACAAGGAGAGCTGATTCGTAATGGATGTACACATACTCGTACGTACTCATATATGTTGCAAATCGTACGGAAACATGAATCTCCATCAGGTCAAGCCTGACCCGTCGCAACAACGTGTCCACGCAGTCGCCCCGGAACACATGTTTCTACCGCCATTCAAGACACCCATAGCGCGTATCTCTGCCGACATACTCTACGAGATTTTCGAGCTTATTGTCCTCAGCGATTATGGGCCCACAGACTCTTTGCCTCTCAGCCGTACGGCACTGCGACAATGCACAAGCTGGCTCGCGATCACCTATGTATGTCGCTTTTGGCGCAATTTGGCCCTCAACTCCCCCAGATTTTGGGTGTACATTACCCTTGATGACGAATGCAGTCCGAACATGCTGCGCGAATTCTTGCGACGGTCAAGGCAAAGCGTTCTCAGCATCATCTTTGCGGGCCCCACAAAAGACAAATCGATTTCGCTGTCCACAGTGGAGGACCTTCGCTACATGGCGGGCATGTGCTCGGTGTGCAGCCATCGGATCGGCTCATTGTACATCTCTCAGTTCACTCAATTGCAAACGAGTCATATCCTGTCGCCTTTCCGGCGTGCAGCCCATCAGCTGCGCACGCTCGTCGTCTCCGCTCTTCGCGTCCACACGACGTCTCCAGAGGATGCCTCTCTCACCACCCTCTTCCAGGGCGAGATGCCACTAGTCCACTCGATCATCGTGGCACAAATGACGCTCCCATGGCGGCCATACGAGAACCTCACCCGTGTGCTACTGATGAACCAGCCCCTACCTTCCTTCTCTGAGCTCATATGGACGCTCCGCAGATGTCCCTCCTTGGACACGTTGGGCCTCGGACTTAGTGGGTCTACCGTGCACGCGAACTTTGCTAGCTATCTCACCGCGTCCTTTGAGGGCTCGGAGGACGTTGCGCCCATTGAGTTTCCGCACCTGAACAATATGATACTTGCCGCGCATCATGACGTCGCGGCGCCGCTACTTCGCTTGTTGCACTACCCACCATCGTCGTCCACCGTGTTGATGCTGAAGCACACGCCACGCTCGCGCGTCACCTCCTCGCACAATGCCGTAGCGCACGTCACGCGCGCAGCACTCGAGTGCTACTACATCGAGGAGTCTCAGATCCTCAACCTGACCGCGCTGACGTGCCAGCCCGCGGTGCAAGTGCACTGGGAGTGGCAGGAGGGCGTCGACGCGTTCGAAGACCCGGCACGAATGGCGCACATCGCAGACCTCGTGCGCTTCGCGGGCGTGCAGCACCTGCGCATCCGCAAACTACAGTACCCGCTCTACCGCCAGGACTGGCTGCACATCCTCGCGCAGATGCCCGCGCTGACGGCCGTCGAGCTGAACTCGTGCATCGCGGACGAGCCGACGCTGTTCGACGCGCTTGCGCGCACCACGACGGGCCCTGCGGGCGAGCCGTGTCTCGCGGTGTGCCCGGCACTCGCGGAATTCGAGTTCTGCGAGGGGCACGAGTACGGTATGGAGGCGCTCGAGGCGATGGTAGCGTGCTTCGAGCGGCGGCGCGAGCTCGGTGCGGGACTGAAGTTGCTTAAGGTCGCGCTGCCGCGACCGCCGGAGAGCTACCCTGAGGCGTTGATGGAACGGATGCAGGAGGGGCGGATCGCAGAGAAAGTGCAGACGAGTTGGCCGGTCGAAAGCGAGGGCGATGCTGGCGGTGGGCGCGACGCGAGCCGCTACCGCGACGTCGGGACGGGTACTGAGATTCACATGACGGTATGATGCTACGGTGCGGATCCCGTAATGGTGAAATGCATTTGCCGTGTATCAGAAGATGTGAGTGGACATTTGTAGACTCTGAGGCTGGAGAATGATTGACCTGTTGTACCAGAACAGTAGCTTTCGTTCTAGTGCTATACCCGATTATGTATGCCTGTCGTTCAAATTCCGGTTGTGTTGTAGCCAAGACTACGAAGGGTTTGAGAGAAACCTTACTCATGTATCATCTAGACTGGAGAATGCCCTAAAAATACGGGCAGATGTTTTCCCACTCAGTAGTGAGCGTATTCGTAGATGTCAACGATCTTCGACGGTAGGGTACGTCTGATTTCACACGATGATGAACCCAGTATTACATCTTCCAAAGGTGCATTACTGACAGTCAGCGCTGTGACCTTGGAGCAGGGTTGATGCGCCCCAGAATCAACCTCCGGCGCTGAATACTGAGGTTCCGACTACCACTGCGACTTTATACGGTGATACATCCCAGTCAACAGATCTACATAAGGTTTGTTGGCCTGCTAGTATGCCTTGCCGGCGTCCTGGATATTTCCTGCATAGGCACGTTAGCAGGCAGGCTTGAGGGCCTGATCGAGGTCTTTCTGAAAACTTACCTTGAAGCCCTTTACCCTTGGTGGGGTCACTCTGTGGCGAATGGAACTGATCCGTGGTCGTACTGCTCGCATGAGTGTCAGTGCGCTGCTGCATAATGCTAGCAACGAGATACCACAACGTACTCGGGCCGGGTTGTGTAGTTGTTATTGGTGACGGTGTTGGTGCTGGTAAAGTTATTGCAGGTGCTCGTGCTGGTGTTGGTAATGGGCTTCCCCTCTTGGTCGGACATGGTCAAATGTGTCGTAGAGGCGACTAAGTTGTGGGTGTGAGATCCCGGGCGGTATAAAAAAGCTCTGATAGGGAGCCACAGGGAGACATGTCCGCGTATGGTGCTTACATCGTCATTTTGTCCTTGATTGCTGGCTACAATATGAAACAAACACTGTTCAATTTCTGTTGTCTTCAGTCTCAATCCCTGCCGGAGATATCACAAGAATTGGGTTTGAGTTCGAATAAGTATTGGACACGATGCATGATGGTGGGAGCCCGAACCATTGACGATCGCATCGTGTCGAGGTGTTGTCATGCGAAGGCTTCTCTGTGATCCATGTTCAATCACAACCTGTAGACTGATTGACTTCCGCATACGAGGGCTGGCGCAGATACTACAAGCCTATTAATGGTCTAACTCATCGCGAATCAATCAGTATGGACCATGGCATGAACTCATTGTAGTAGTGAGTGTTTGCGACACGTAAGGGTACACTAGATGATGCGGATGACCAGTGGCAGGTTTGATGTTACGCCATAATACCTATGATTACACTCCGATAGATAGTATGGTATTCAGACGCATGCAGACTCAGACAGAAGGCTTGTTAGCTTGCTGCTGTGCCTGTCCCTTGTCGTGCTGCACGTTTCCTGAAATCCCACATCAGCGAACAGAATTGCGGAGGGGGTTCTGCACAGACGTACCTGCAGCTTCTTGCTGGCGGTCACCCATGACAGCACCGAGTACGGCGTCCTTCTTGCCCGCCAAGCGGTCGATGAAACCCTCGGCGTATTTTTGCGCCTGGGCGGCCTGGTACTCAGCCTCGCCCTGCGCATGCTCGTCCTTGCCGGACTGCTGCCAGGTCGACGCACCGGTGAGGTCACCGATGGTCTCGACGGCGGTACCCTTCAGCGAGTGGTACTGACCCGTGGACTTGCTGCACGCAGAAGGGGTCAGCTCTGTGCATCGCAACAGCGAGAGAGTATTTAGAAGACATACCTGGGCTCGCCGTTGTTGTTGGTGGTCGTGGTGTTGGTGGCGGCGGGCGTGGTGTTGTTGTTGGTGGACATGGTTCGATGTGTCGTGAAGATTTCAAGTGGTTGGTGTGGTGTGTGTATAGGGGGTATACAGATGCGTGTTGAGAAAAGAGCGACTCTGTGGCTCTTATATATGTTTCTCGCACTGCGTGTTCCGGCCGTATCGCGTATGATTGCGTATGTTCTCCATAGCCAAAATTCTAGGCAGCACAGCCTTTGATCATGACGCTGCGACACCACAATCCCATGCTCGCGGAGAGCGCCTCGTCACAGCTCCTTCTGCACGTCATCACGCCCCAAGGGCGGCCGACGTCATCAGAAATCCCGATTAGGAAGCGTGGTGGCACGACGGCGACGGCTTCAGATCCGATCTCACGCCTGTCTGACGCGTGACGTCATTCCGCACACGATGCGTCGGGCGTCGTGACAGTTTGGCAGCGAAGGAAGCAGGATGCATCCGCCGTGTTATATAAGGGCAGTCGTCCCCCAGCGCATCACGACTCGTAGCTTGAACCCGTACCACAATCATCGAACTACTCCCCTTTCTTACCGAACATCACCATGTCCAGCAACAGTGCAGAACCCAAGTACGTACAATTCTTGATGGCGCACAATTATCCTCATCGAAGCGGGTTGAACAGCAAGTCCACTGGTCAATACCACTCGTTGAAGGGCACAGTGGTCGAGGCCGTCGGCAACCTCACGGGTGCCGAGTCGTGGCAGGAGTCCGGGAAGCAGGAGCATGCACAGGGCGAGGCTGAGTACAAGGCCGCCGAAGCAAAGGGTTACGCCGAGGGAACGGTAGACAGAATCGGAGGGAAGAAGGACAGCATCATTGGCGCAGTGACGGGCGACAGCACCCAGCAGAACGCTGGTGAGTCATGGCGTCGCATTTGAGACAATACCTAGCTAAACCTTCGCAGGCAACCTACGCAAGAACAAGGGGGAAGCACAGCAGAACATCAACTCCTGATGAACGATTATGTTGCGCAATCATTCTGGATCCATTGTACTTGTAGAAGCCGTCAGTAGTCATAATTATCTCAATTGGGACGTACTGTATGCGTGATTTGAGAGTGTTCGCTTGCATTAGCCATCCACGGCTGGCGTGAGTAACGACAATTTGTTTATCTCTTGAGTTGCCAACTGAGCTGAGCACGTTATGGGCAGTCTCGTACACAAGACCCGAGAAGATCCATGAAAACGTGCGGAAGTCTGTTCACTGGTTGAGACTGCATCTGATGCGCATATATACAGGTATGCTGTCAACTCTGCGTATTCTCCGAAGGCGCAGGACCTGGGGCACAGGCGGCGTGTCGCTTACCTCTTATTACGTTGGTGTCGTGATTGCGCCCCACCTGAATGTGCCCTGAACCGCCAGCGCAGACGCCTCGCCGCATGTTCTATATAGTGCACTGCACTTCCCCGCTGCGTCTATGCAACAGAAGCAAAGAACCGACAAAGCGGGTCTCACGATCTTAGAGTTCGATGACTTCGGTCCCGCGCGGACTCGAGCCGAACCAGCAGCAGCCGAAGCCAAAGAAGCGTTCATCGCGCGAGTATATGTATATGTGACGCATGCACACCCGCCTCCGTCTATCGGTGCATGCACGCGTCCCAGGCGCGCGGCCGATGTCCTGGCTGGGCTGGCTCTCTATATGCCTTGCCCCACTCTCACCCTCGGGGCGATTATTGCGCTGGCAGGTGGACTGGTGGACCTCGCGTGTTCGAAACGGCAGGCACGGACGCCCGACGAGAGCATGTGCAAAGAGAGGGAGCTGGGATGGGCGGCGCTTGGAGGCTTCCCCGCCAGATTACGACTGACCAGCATTATCACACATCCATCTTTACAGCTACGGCGTTGGCGTGTAGTATATACGCACTCTCTCTCGAAGATGTCCTTGACGCGCGTTCCGAAGTTGTCGCAGGATGTGTAGTTCGATCGTGTGAACGGACGTATACTTGACAACCGCTTGTGGTCCTCTACATTTCCGTAAAAATAGAGCTCATCTATCAATGTCGGGCGCGCAAGATCCTGTGTATGGTTCGAGAACATCGCGGGCTATGCCCAAGCTAGTTTCCGTAAATTGCCCGTGGTGGAAGAAAAGCGGTGACTTGGGGCCTACTAGTCCGAATACCACGCTAGGTTTGTTGCTGACGCATGATGGCGAAGCGTGTAGACGCCTTGCACATGACACTGCCGGTCCTAAGGAGTGTGGCGATGAATACGGGGATCCCATGCCCGCCGAGATGACCGAGATGTATCCAGTTTCTTACAACTGCACAAAGACACTCCTGCCGCCACGGAACACAGAAGAGGATGACTGTTATTCAGGTGGTAATCACAGGGAAATCCTCAGAACATGTACATGTCAGAGGCGAAGGACACACCGTGACAAGATACGACGAAGCTGCATGCCAGGAAAACAAGAGAATATGAAGGAACAACATGAGGGCCTGACAGGCCCTTGCGCCACCGCGCACGATGGTCTAGTTATGAGACCTCGCAGACTGGCGGTTTTCAGTTGAAGGGTATGGACACGCCGCGACAGAGCACGGTGAAGCCGCCTTCAATGTCAGAGGAATAAGAGACGACATCGAGCGTTATCAGGATTTCCGGAATGCTCTATGTTTGGAACGTTGAAGGTTGTGTGCAATCTGACGACTTGATACCTTGAGACACTGGGATCCGGAGATGTCATTGTCGCAGAGGCGCTGGCTGCGCGCGCTTGCTCTCGAAGTTTGGTATCTGATGTAATTTCCAAATATGGAAGCTGCGTCCTCCGAGAGTTCGAAGTTCCGTATATGTATAGGCGCCGTGGCGGCAGCTCACACACCGACTTCGAGACAAAACTATTTTGATATGGGAAAGATAGCTAACCAGGGCACAATGTGAAAGCCATCTCGAGCTCAATTCTCTTCATGCGAGAAAGAAATCCGAGCTGCCTTCGCGTCGGACGGGCACATGAGGGCGTCATGGGAGCGCAGCATGCAACGCGCAAAGTTCAGACACCTCCTGCGGTCATTTACAGGGTCTAATGTCTTTACTAAGTGTGTCCCAGTGATACTCCGGAGTACAAGCTCGGAGAACACTTCTCACAAGAGCGGTAAGTGCGCATAATGTACAATCGCGAGGAAAAGAAGGATGTCATATAGATTCCGTACGCCGCCACAAGCCGCCAATGATATATTGTGTAGACGCTGAGGGTGCCACAGATTGGCTACGATGCGCAGGTCTAGGGGCAGTCCCACGATATGATTTGAGAAGACTCAGAGACCGATTATCTCACTGATACTGTCAAATCTCGGATGCATCAATTGAAGCACACGGGCCCTCTCATGCTTCCCATACAACTATCGTGTCGATTTTTGTGGCGGAGGACACGTCGTGCAAAGAGCGTCTAGTGATTATCATTCGGTGTTTGCCTTCCCCGGGGTGCTGGTGTTGACGCCTCGTCTCGCTTCTTGTCAAACTTAATACGCCATCCATTCCTTCTGGCGCTTCACCCATCTGCGTGCTCAACCTGTATTCGACTCTGGACCCTCAGAAACAAAAGCTTTACCAAGCAGGGACTCGCGAGCACGAGGCTCGACGACGTCAACATCTTTCGCCGGCCTTCGGAGTCCTCGTGGAGGCAGACACGCTTGAATGGAAGCTTGCCATGTCAGCTTTGCCGTAGGTCCTTCCTCAAACTCGACCTCATCAGACGCCGAGCACTGACCGTGTCGCTCCCCTCGCAGGCACATCTCGGGTGTCCCCTCCTTGTTCTCGTCTAACATCCATATTCTGGTGTGCGGCATTCACTTTGTCACATATTGTACGCTGCTTGATAGGTACAGACGCTGGGAAAAGGAATGTGCAATGCGGGCGTGCCTGCGTTGTAGTAGGTGCTCCTGCCGGAACTCAAAACACCGACAGCTGAAAGAGTGGTCGTGTGCGGTGATGGACAGCGTCATAGCGCTGAATTTGGCAATTGTTACCGCATTTTTAAGGCTCAACAATAGCATAATAGTTATCCCTTGTCGTTTCCAGCTGATTGTGGTGTCCAGGAGCAAGTATTGTTACTGGATACCATACTTTATGAATTGCAGGTAGCAGTTACAGTGTTTGTAAAATCTCCTTCTATTCCTCAAGATGTATCATTCTACCACCTGCACTTGCTGTACAGGGCGCCACACAACCTTGATCTTCCGGGCCTGTCGCAGTAAACCAAAAACTGACACCTGGTGGTTAGCTCAGACTTTCAGAGTAATGAGTGCAAACGATTATCGATTGCGATAAGTTGTCTAAGGATTTAGGGCTACAAGAAGCTACAAGAAATTGACGAGCGGTTTCTACAAAATATGATACAAGGCGGCACAAGGTGGTGCAGAGCGTTTCTTTGGAGCATAATACAAGAAATCAAGGCTGTGCGCGTATCGGTTGTAGGATGTCCATACGGTCTACACAAGGCATCTGGACGCTCTCTATGGCGAGCCTATGCTTGCTCACGGACTGGTGTGTTGTGTTCTGATATGGTTTCCCAGACTCTGGCACGGGACGGATCTCTTGCACGTGAGCCATTCGCATGTAATCGTGCCACCAGCCGGGACGTTGTGAGCGGGGCCTCGGAGATGCTCGAGATATTGGTTGGGTGTATTACCCATTGGCTTGTTGCAGCCTTTCCATTTACAGATGGTTTCTGTCATAACTAGTGGAGACTATTGGCCAACGGGAAAACATAAGTAATTACTTGCAGAGACAACACAAGTATACAACTCACGTCGACTGTCAGGAGACGAGGACTAAATTTGCGCAGGAATTCCGAGGAAAAGCACTTGCGTTTGCTTGCTATGTGACGGAGATTAGGCCCGCTTTACCCAAGGAGTCAGGTACAACGCACCTCAGAAGTTGGTAGAGGATGTGAGAAGTGAGGAGTCGGTGAGTTTGGGCTCTCCCCTTATACCACGAGCACCTACGGCGACCAAACCTCTACATTTCCAGCTATGCGTGATAACCGCTCTCGTGGTGTCAGACTTGAGGTAGAAAACGCGCTGTCCGCAAACCGATCCGTGGTGGCAGGCGCAAAAGAAATGAAACACACATCAAAATGCAGTGACGCCTGGTTTCCCGCTGTAGGCCCGCCGCCAGGATGCAGGCCCCGATAGCTAAAATAGTCGCGAGATCGAGGTGGATATGCAATGACGCACGGGATGTGTTTTGAGCATTTAGGTACAGGAGTCTTGATTCGAGTATACAACGTTTAGAGTGTGTGTATAAGGGTTGGCGGACAGCTCTGAAAATCGTGGGAGCGGTCAATTACGCAAATCCGCTGAGAAGCGGCGAGGGCCTACAATCCGTGCACTGTATGGGCTAAACGGTAACCCAAACTGCTTTGCAGACAATGAATCTTAGAATCGCATCGCATCTGACCACTTTACCGTGACAAATTCGGGCAGAGAGGCAAGGACCGCACCGGCCATCCAAATAGCCAAACATCGATGATATCTATGTCGCCGGTTGGCGCCAAAACGTGCATCGAGTCGGCAACTCTCTTCAAAATAGCTCACCATGTTTCACATCAGCGAATAGACCGCAGATCCTACCGTGATATCCGCTATGACAACAAATTGGCGTCATCTTTAGAGGCCGACAAGCAAATACTCACCTTGGATGAGCGTAATTTCTGAATATTCAGATATGCAGAATCCATGTTCTACGGAGGGAAAAAATAGCGGAATGCGTGGACCCAGATAGCATTGCCTAGCGCCTGCCGGACGAGGCGGTGGTAAGTGGAATATGCCCATTGTGGCCAATGCGGCGACCATGTGCTGCCACTAAGTGGTGGGCCCATCAGCCAGCTACTTCCCGGCGGCGATTGAGGTGAAGGGACAGTCTCCGGCGTGCCACCGGAAAGTTAAGGCATTGTCGGGTGATTATGTGTGAAGGCCACAAGGACTCTGATCAGCGTCCTCCGTAACAATGCGGTGCGCGCTCAACAATTTCGAGCACGTGATTGTGGGTCAGGGCGCGGTTGTGGGTCCAACGGATCCGACCATGTCGGCCCCGACCCATATGGAGGGATAGTTGCTCGCAATGCATTGTTTCGCGCTTAAGTGGGTAACATGGACCGCATACGCCATCCACCTCATCGCGCTCGGGATTCTGGTACGACCAAGATGTATCGCTTCCGTCTTGTCTACCACCGTCATTGCCAACAAGTTCTCGGACCTACCCACAGTGATTATGATATTGGAGACCGCATCTCCGTTCAACGGATCCGGCGTCCACACTTTCCTACGTCCCTCGGGAAATACCACTCTGCAGGCTGTACAATCTATCCTCTCGTCCGTCGGCATACGCCAGATCGGCACACACGAGTGGCGACAAGGACGCGGCTAAAGATGAATCAGCCGGACGGCGGACGATTCCACATCTCGCAAATTGATTGCGATTCCCTCCAAACATATTACCGTCTAGATAACAAAGTAACGCGCAGTTTTGAGGCTATACGCAAGTACCAAGGGAGAAAAACTTTGATCTTCTGTCCTTCCGCTAAATACGCGAAGACGCAGAGTCGTCACAGATCATACAGGCATTGGAGAAGAAGGAACATCCACTTGGCGTGTGAGCAGTCACTACGCGAGGACTGCTCAAATCCCGCAATCAGCCATGGCCGGGCGGGGTCTTCCCGACCGAGCCGACTGTATGCGCATGCGCACCGGATGCATTGCGTCAGTCACTCCTTAATCGTGTAGATGTTCTGAAGTTATGATTTAAGCCCATCCACACTGTCGGACTATGTGGTACTCACCCTACATTCATTGACGGCGGCTGAGAACCATATGACTGGTGATTATCTTTCATTCGAGTGGCCGGATAACCTCGTAATCGCACCATGTCCGCAGGCAAGTCAGCATTGATCGTAGGCGCGACAGGAGCGACAGGGCGCCATATCCTGCGCGCGTTGCTTGCCTCTACCGTATTCACTCGCGTCGGCGAGTTCGGCCGCAAGGTCACCCCGGAGGACCAGATAGCGGAGCACAAGGCAAGCGGCAAGCTGGTCCAGAAGGTGATCGACTTTGAACGCGTCGCCGAGGAGGGGCTGGGCGAAGGAAAATGGGACGTGGTCTTCATAACGTACGTCAGCGATGCGTCATGTCTTGCTCTTCGTCTTTGTGTAGCCGAGTCCGGAGGGAGACTGAACGTGCGCATCCCACAGGCTCGGCACGACACGCAAGGCAGCTGGCAGCGCAGAGATGTTCGAGAAATCGACCGAGAGTACGCGTTCTTTCCCTGACTGAGACTCCTACGGAACATTAGCACGCTCGTCTGGCGCGCATATATCCAGATACGTTGTCAACGCTGCGCGTGCTACGAAGACACAGGACCTAGCACATAAGCAGCGCGTTGTTTATCTCTCGGTAGGTCGCTACGGCATATGTGTGGTGTTTATGCCTCATCTGCATTGCTTTGTAGAGCGCCGGAGCAGACGCCTCGTCACATTTTCTGTACACACGGTGCGCTCCCTCTTTACCCCACTGCGCTTCTGCTGATGATCGGGTGTATTTACGCAACAGGAGTAAAGGCCTCACAGAGCAGGGCCTAGCCAGCATTGGATTCGACGATGTCGTTATCTTCCGCCCAAGCTTCCTCGCGGAGGCAAACAGGGAGCAACCGAAGCCGGGCGAGGCTTTTATAGGGTGAGCGCACGACCACGTACAGATATTGTAGTCGAAGTCTCATGCAGACCTTCCCAGGCGCGCGGTTGGATTGTTGTCTGTGGTTGCACCCAATGTCCAGATACCGGTGCGTGCCCACACAAGCGATCGTGTCAACCCTGACTCCAATACACGGTAATTGTAGGTGCCGACGCTTGCCCAGAGCATGTACAAGGCGGGCGAGGTGGGATCAGCCGCATTGCCTACGGGCATAAAGACGGAGCAAGTCCGCTTCAAGGACGCGTCCGGGAAGGAGCTCTCGTACACCGTAATTGATACTGCGGCTGCTGTGAAGCTCGCGGGGCATGCTTGACAGTGTGCTTGCCTTGTTTGGCGTGTGGTTGTATGCGTGCTATCTGCTTACCGCTAAATGGTCATTCTCGCGACAGACATGTTGGCTGTGGAGTGTGCAGGTTGGGATTCCTGATCCTTTCAATGCTCATATCGTACCCCGCGGTATGCATGATACGTGATGTCAACTCTAAGTTGTGAATAAGTGCGGTCGCGGTGACTCCAGCGCAGGACATCCGCCACCATTGTTCGATCTCAGCCGCTGCTGCCCATGTAAGATACTAAGGATAGAATGAACCAGCCATCGAAGCAGTGAGACCGCCCCTGGAAGAGTGTCATACTCGACGACCCAAAGATGAGCAATGCGCATTTAGACTATGGACGTGCTTTAAAACTATGTTATGACCATCGGTGGCTGAAGAATAGTCGAACGCATGTGTAGGCAGACATATGATTGATCGTGGACATCCGCATCAAAAGCGACCAAGAGAGTGAGACACGGATATCCGGAGCTCGCGCAGGTTGAAGGAATTGTCTACTCTGCTCTCAGGTGACTACTTGAATTTGTCTCGTACCCATCCCCCCATATTCGCACCCCACCACCGCGAAAAGGGGGTCTGGGGCAGTTAGATAGGCGCACCCCCCCTGGATTAAGCGCCCCACAAGCGCCGGAATGTAACGGTCACAGTAGGCTTCTGGTACCTAGAAATGATGCGATCTTTGATCGCGTTCCAAATCTGGTACTCACACCTAGCAGGTCGTGTTCGAGGAAGTGTCAACAAAGGCATACCTGAGCTTGTAAAATACTTGAAAGGCCACACAAAAAATATCTATGCAAAACTCAGCCTGTAAGTCTATGACCAAATGAAGTATCATGTGGAAAGCATCATGATGAAAGCTGCAACTTCTCCTTTCAGTATCTGTGGCATCCTCATGATGTTACTGGAGGGGTATATCTCATGAATTACTTAGGTTGCTGGATATAGTATGTGAGACTTATCTAAGATGCTTGAAACAAGTAAACTTGAGATTCTGTGGCAGACCACAATGTAGCGTCCACCAGTCTCGAGCACGACCTGCGAGGTGTGAGTACCGGATTTGGAACGCGATCAAAGATCGCATCATTTCTAGGTACCAGAAGCCTACTGTGACCGTTACATTCCGGCGCTTGTAGGGCGCTTAATCCAGGGGGGGTGCGCCTATCTAACTGCCCCAGACCCCCTTTTCGCGGTGGTGGGGTGCGGATACGGGGGGATGGGTACGAGACAAACTTGAATACTCACCCGCGGGCGCAAGCAAAGACATCAAGCTGAGCGATAACAATGGATATTCACAGTTAACTCCATATAGTCAAACCTACCTGGCGAAAGTATTTATGCACAAATGGAGTTGATGCGATATTCGGAATCAATGGCAAAAGATCGTCACAGCCACAAGTTACCAAAATAAGTCGTTGTTTCCAAGGCCCGCCCGAAGTCCGCTTACGCACATATTGAGTTTTACATGGGCGTACGGTTGGCGGGTGGGCGCAGGTCAAGATATGGTAACTAGATATGGGGTCCTGCCTCGTGTGGTACCCCGTGATAGATCTCAGCGTGACAGAGCCCCAGACGGACCATTACGTAACCCAAAAAAGGGCTAAATTCTGTTCGACGGCATCGGCGGCATGGGAGACGAGGAGCTTATGTAATCATAACTGAGTGTTAGATGCTTGGAGACCTAATAAGCCTATGCTATACTCTCAAGGTATGAGCATTGTTCACGCCATATAATACGAGCAAATGAGTTACTCGGCGCTCAGGGAGAATATGCGAGCACTGAGTTCTGAAGGCTTGACGTGCGACGGCACAAAGTGTACTATGCCAATGTCCGATTATGTAAGGTACAGAATGTCCTGCTGAATCGAGTCTGTAAATATACATGACTTTCAACTCCATATATCTCGCCCTCTAGTCTTATATGTTCTCCTTCTAGACTACAATTTAAATAAATATAGCTATTTCAACACCGCAGTAATTGTGCATCATGATGTGCTCGAGAATATTAGTTAAGTTGCTCATATACCAGTTCCTGGCGCATTTAAGTTATGTACTATGGTAAAATCACGCATTCATGCCAAGTACACACAACCCGAGAATTGCTTGATGCCACATGCTCGGCCATCTTATCGTGATAATCGTCTTAGGTACATATTCCATTTTGGTATTTCAATGGACGATTTGCTAGCCTAGGGTATATTATGTAACCATATTGTAGGCGCAGATATCACACGGAGTATCGATAATGGAAAAATATATAGGCCATTGCCGCCACTATACGTTACAACTTAGTCACACCGAGGACCCCGGCAAGGGCCGATCAGCGGCTGAAGCACGAAGTTAGACCTGCGCCCACCCACTAGTAACTCTGTGACGCTGGCGAGGCACGAGTGGGCGTCAAAGACGATTGTCTGTGTTTGCACGGCAGTAAGCGCTGAGGTTATTGCGCTTGCTTTTGACTACACCGTTCACCTCACAATCTGAACACTATCTAAGTGTTGTCTTTCTTTTGTCGTCTCCTTTTCACGTCTCCGTCTGCGCCTCCCTCTACACACACACTCTCCGCCATGGCCGATGCTCCTCGACTGGCCTCAGACCCCGGCCTTCAGCTGTGCCCTGAATTCGCTGACCCCGAGTATGGCATCTTGCGGCAGGGTTTGGTCGCGGCGGGCCAGGTCGCCTCAGATGCCGCTGCGACTGAGCACCTGATCGCCATCTGGTCTGCCCACAATGCTGCCAAGAGGGCCCTCTGGGCTGCCCAAGTCGAGGGCAACCGCCTCGCCGACACCGACCGTCTTTTGCTCGAGGCAGAGGCCTGTCAGCACGCCGACGATGCCACTGCCGAGGAGGCCCTTCTCACCCAAGAGAAGAGGCGTCTGCAGCTGGGCACGCTCCACTTCAATCGTGACGCGCCTTCCTTTTTGGACCAGCGCCCGTCCGCTTACGCACTCCACAAGCTCGCAAAGGGTGAGTACGTTGAACTCTGGTATTTTACTGTCGAGGGCTGCGCCACGGCCAGGAATGACCGCTCCACGGCGGAGGAAGCCTATGGCATTACCCGGACTGATGACACTCTCGCGCTGCGACCGCTCGCTGCGCACTGTGCGTCTCGGCAGGCCGTCCCCGATGAGAAGCTCACCTGGGACCAGTTCTGCGCTGGGAACAGCGAGCTCCAGCTAGCTGTCGAGGCGGCGGGCTGGCCCGCCGCGCACGTCGCCATGCTTGAGGCATTCTTCTACACGCTATCTCGGCACCCTTTCACGAGGCGGCCTCGTGGTAAGGATGCGCTGTTGCTGTACCAGGCCCGTCTGCGTCGCCACTGGCACACACATCTTGCTCAGGATGAGGGCTACAACCTCAGCAACATCAAGGAGGACCTTCTCAACGAGATGCTGCAGGAGATTGCAAGCATTGCCCATAAGGACCGCATTAGTCGGGTACGTCCGTGCACCGCCACTCCTTGGCCATACTGTCGCGACTTGAGGTCGAGCGACAGGGGAAAACCTAAAAGCTGGGGGCGTTCGACTGGTTCTTACCGAAGCGATGGTGAGCAACGCTCAAACCTAAGGCTAGGGACAAGTAATATATTAGTTAGTTAAGTAAGAAAGGAAATACAAGTGAGGGCTTACTGACCTAGGGACAAGAGGTCAAAACTGAGGTCCCTAGGGCAGCAGAGGCCGGCTTATATACAGGGGTAGATAAGGGCAGGCTGTGTGCACTGGTCTGTGCGCAGCTGGTCCATGCACAGCATGCTGACGTGGCCCCGGGGGCCGGTGAGTCAGAGCAGCTGTGTCAGTGGAGCCCGAGCTGTGCCGTGCGCTGCCGTCCTATCTAATCTTATCGTACAGTAGATAGCGACGTGTCCATATCGGGCATGTAGTACAGAGGTCGCGGGTTCGAGCCTGCGAAAAGGAAAAATTAAAAAACGGCTAGACGCCGTGTCAACTCGTGACATTACCCCCCCCTCAATGGTGCATGACCTCATGCGGGGCGCCCTTGCCCATCTCCCATCCGGAGCGGCAGCGTGCTTCAGTCAGCGGCGAAGGTATTGGCTGGAAGTTGAGACCACCAAAGGTAGCAGCGTTGAGGCGGCAAGGGGCGTTTGGATTCTTCCAGTGGAAGTCGGCTATGAGGGCCGGCGCATTGGCAATGTTGCGTGCCGGTTCCCATGACGTATGCGAATCGTCATAACCCTTCCACTTAACGAGGTACTGCAGCTGACGCCGGAAGATCCGCGAGTCCTTGATCCGCTCAACCTCGTACTCCTCGTCGCCCTCAACCTCGATTGCAGGCGGCTCCTCCGGCTCTCGGCCCGGGATATCGCTACGCGTGTACTTGCTAAGCAAGGAGACATGGAATACCGGGTGCACCGGCACCGACTTCGGCAGAATTAATTCGTAATCCAAGTCTCCGAGCTTTTACCGCACAGCATATGGTCCAAGGCGCTTGGGACTGAGCTTCTTGCTCGGCTGTTTCAGCTTAAGGTTCCGAGCGTCAAGCCAGACCTTGTCCCCCGACGCGAAGACCGGTGCCTCCTGCACGTGCTTATCATAGTACACTTTCATGCGCTCGGCTGACAGCTCGAGCGCAGAGCGCGTGTCATCGCGAATCTCCTTCAGGATCTTAAGCCGGTCAGCGGCAGCGGGCATTGCGGACATCGGATTGATCCGAACCTGGATCTCAGGATTGTACCCTTGATGCAGGAAGAAAGGGGAGTGCCCGGTCGCGGAGTGAACTTGGTTGTTCAGTGCGAATTCCGCGAGCGGTAACTGCTTCGCCCAATCATCCTGCCTGTGGCTGGTGAACGCACGCAGGTACTGTTCGATCTCCTGATTCCAGCGCTCGGTCTGGCCGTCCGTCTGAGGGTGGAACACTGTGGACAGTGCCGGCTCGATTCCCAGACCCTTGTACACCGCATGGAGATACTTCGAAGCGAACTGGGGACCTCGGTCTGATATGACCTTGGCCGGGGCCCCATGATGCTTGAACACATCGCGGATGTACAGGTCTGCCGCACCTTCTGCCGTCAGGGTTTCATGACAGGCCGAGAAGTGGACCTGCTTGGTAAAGCGGTCGGCGGTGACCAGGATCGAATCGAATCCATCAGACTTCGGCAAGCCGGCAATCATATTGGTCGTGATGATCTGCCACGGGCACTCGGGGATCTCATTCGGCTTCAGCGGACCCTGGGGCTTGGCTGGGAATGTCTTGGTACGGTTGCACACGTCACAGGTGCTTACGTACTCATTGACAAATTTGGACATCCCAGGCCACCAGTAGTTCCGTGACACGAGCTCCAGGGTTTTGGCACGACCGCCATGACCGGCGATCGGCGAGTCGTGGTGGATCTTGACTATATCCCGCCGGAGCTCTGCGTTCTTTGGGACGTACACGCACCCGCGGAACAGCAGAAGCCCTTGTTCGGCATTCCACTCCTCAAAACCCCTTTGCAGCCGGGGCGGCCTGAGGTCCTGCACCTTTTCAAGGGCCTCGGCCACCTCCCAATCCTTCTCCGAACATTCCCTGATGCGTTTCAGAAGCGATTGATCAGCTGTCACCGAGGCATGACCGCGCCTGGCGGAGGCGATGCGGAAGCGTTCCAGTTTGAAAACCACCTGATCGGTGTTATCGTCCTCATCGCCAATCTGATGGTCTGATCGACGCGACAGGGCATCAGCCTTTCCGTTGGATGTCCCAGCCTTGTGCGTGATGCGGAAGTTGAAACGGGCCAGGAACAGTGACCATCATGCTTGACAACGCGTGAGATGCTGGGATGTATGCCAGTACTCGAGGTTCTTATGATCGGTTACAATCTCGAACTGATTGGGTAACCCTTTGAGATAGTGGCGCCAATCGTCTAGTGCCTCAATAATCGCGAGCATCTCCTTGTCGTAGATCTCATAGTTACGCTGGGCTGGGTCCATAGCGTGAGATCGGTAGGCGATGGGGTGCCATTTACTGTCGTCCTGCTTCTGCATCAACACACCGCCAGTGGCGTAGCCTGAGGCGTCAACTTCAATGCGCGTTTCCCGGTTAGGGTCGTACAGTGCCAAGACTGGAGTCATCGCGAAGAGCCGCTTGAGCTCATCGAAGGCATGCTGCTCCTCTTCACCCCAATGCCATGGGTCATTCCCTGTGAGCCGGTCGAGTGGTCGCGAGATCTTAGCGAAGTCCTTAATGAAGCGGCAGTAGAAGTTGGAGAACCCCCGGAACTTCTGAACATCTTTCTTGTTCCGGGGTACCGGCCACTCATTGATTCCTTTTAGTTTCGCGGGATCCATCGCCACCTCATCGCCACCGAACACATAGCTAACGTAGTCGACTTTGGGAACATCCCATTCACACTTCTCAGGCTTCAGGAACAGATCATGCTGCCGGCGTCCCCTCGGGACCTCTTACATTCACTTTCCTTTCCCACAGGTCGGGTGGTGCGCACCCCTACGGTACATTACGATACGTAGATAGCGTACATACATCGCCACCGCTTAGGGAACGAACCTTTCAACACCTGCACTTCAGTGGGCAGTGTTTGTCCTAACGGACGCGTGGTCTAGGTTCCTGCTGCATACTAGCCAAAAGCAGTACTGGGCCCCACGTGAATCGCGAACCCTAGCGTTACTTTGGGCGCCGTAGGTGTAAGCTAGTATAGCACGGCCATTGTAGTACGCGCACCTCCCCCTGCCTGTCAAGGCCAGGTTCACGCCTTCGACTTTCAAGATCTCATCGACGTCTACGTCGTAGACGGCCCTGAGACTGCCCTCTACCGCTGCGAGCAGCAACCGTGCCCAAATCGGACACCCCGATCGATTGAGGAAGATTACCCTCGCTACAAGGCAATCAGACGGGCTCAACACCCACTCGGTCCCCGCAGCACCCTCGCGTCTCGCTCCGCCTCGCAGCATTCTCGCCCTGTCTCCCCCAGCTCCTGACTTCCTCAAACTGTCATTGCCAGTCCAAGTCAAACGCGAGGAGATCTCCCTCCAGACCCTGCGCCAGAGCCTGAGCCTGAGGAGAGTGCGAGTGAAGAAGGAGTCTCGGAGTCCGAGTCCGCGGATCCTGCTTGGCCCGCCTCGCCGATAGTGCTCGCCTCCACGTCAGCAGTCCCTGACGTACGTGACCCCTCCACCAAACTTCCTTCGGCGCCTTCACCGCCGTCTCCACCGAGAGGCCGCTCGAGCACTCGCTCCTCTCGAAGTTTGACCAGCGGAGGGCCACCACAGCCGCCTCTGCCCCCGCAACGTCCTCTGTCCCCCCCAACGCCGATAATGTCATCCCCCGCAGCCGCCCCCGACAAGGAGACTTTGAAGCTTCTCCTCCCACTCCGATACGATGGTAAAACAGTCATCGAATGCAACCGGTTCCTGTCGCAGCTGCGCATCTACTGGCTGGTCAACACGTCGTTGACCACCATCGAGCTTAAGGTTCAGGTTGCACTAAGCCTGCTCGATGGAGACGCCCGTGCCTGGGCCACTCCCTACTTTGCCCAGCTCGTATCGGTGCAGATAGGAGTACAAGGGGCCACGACCCCATTCAAAATGAAGCAGCCTTTGCCGCCGCCTTCAAGGCCCACTTTGGAAATCTCGACGACGAGGCAGCAGCACAAGTAGAGCTGGCGAAGCTCTGCGCGGACAAGTCGGTCCGTGAAAAATGCACCGCCGCAGAGTTCTCCACGCTGTTCAAGGGTCCGGCGGATCGCTCTGGGTATGGGGACCTGGAGCTACACGACAAGTACCTGAGCGGCATCCCCTCCCGTGTTTACCACAAGATCAAGCTCGAGACCTTCACCACGTGGCAAGCAGCTGAGAAGCGCACCACCGAGGTCGAGCAGATCCTCGACATCTGTCACGAGTTGGTACGGCGTCTAGCCGTTTTTTTAATTTTTTCCTTTTCGCGGGCTCGAACCCGCGACCTCTGTACTACCTGCCTGATACGGACACGTCGTTATCTACTGTACGATAAGATTAGATGGGGCGGCAGCGCACGGCACAGCTCGGGCTCCGCTGACACAGCCGCTCTGACTCACCGGCCCCCGGGGCCGCGTCGGCATGCTGTGCACGGACCAGCTGCGCACGGACCAATGCGCACAGCCTGCCCTAATCTCCCCATGTATATAAGCCGGCCTCTGCTGCCCTAGGGACCTCAGTTTTGACCTCTTGTCCCTAGGTCAGTAAGCCCATCCTGTATTCTTTTTCTTACTTAACTAACTAATACATTTCTTGTCCCTAGCCTTAGGTTTGAGCCTCGCTCACCATCGCTTCGGTGAGAATCAGTCGGACGCCCCCAGCCTTCAGGTATTCCCCAGTCGCTTGACCTCAAGTCGCGACATTAGGTCGAAACTCCCCAAGCTGCCGGCGTCCTCTCGGGACTCCCCACATTCACTTTCCTTTCCCACAGGTCGGGTGGTGCGCACCCCTACGATACCCTACGGTACATACGATACGTAGGTAGTCTTACATACATCGCCACCCCTAGAGGAACGAACTCTTCAACACCTGCACTTCAGTGGGCGGTGTTTGTCCTCACGGACGCGTGGACTAGGTTCCTGCTGCATAATAGTCAAAAGCAGTACTGGGCCCCACGTGAACTGCGAACCTCAGGGTCTTCTCGGGCGCCGTAGCGTAGGCTAGTGTAGTGCGGCCATTTTTAGTACGCGCACCTCCCCGTCCTCCCCCCATCCAACGTGGGCTGCCT